ACTTTAAATTAAAAAAATCCTATTTTATTTCATTACGTGTGAATGGACCAAAAATGATAGGAAAATTCAAAAGGGATCGTCGGACATAAAAACATCGTGGAGCCTAAAAGGCCTAACATTTAGTAATGAAACCCACATGGACTAACATGTTACATCTCCCTTGCAATTAATCAAATTGTTATTGCATATCTCTCTGTATATATATGAACATGGAAGCATATATACGCAAAACGTCAACATTTGTTCTGCACTGGTTGGTTTCCAAAAGAACAGTGGAGTTTTGGTTAGACACTTGAATCTTCTACTCTTTTTTTAAACGCTTACTAAGAAGATGTGGTGGAATCAACACAAGTAATTTGGCTGCGTCAACCAAATCCAAAAGTTATAATGGCAAAAATCTGTTAAAACAAATCCGAGTTTGAATGTTTAAAAGAGCCAAGAATGGCTCTCGCACTGTGATTAGATACTTTTTCGGGTGTGAGAACGACCCTCTTCAATAAGGGCTCTTGATTTTTATATCTACGGTGGATACACTCATGTGCATTTGCTGTTTTCGTTTGCCAATATCGTTATACATGTATTGCTATAACACCAAGAATTCTATTGTACATCAAATACTTAGGACAAAAATAAGGGTTTCTTTCACTTCTAGACCCAAATTTGTGGTCAAATGCAAAAGTAACCTCCTGCTTTTTTCGTTTTAAGTTTGTCCAGATTTTTCTAATTAATTACAGGATTGCCATTACTTTTTTCGACTAGTAGACCGATTTGTAGGTCTACCGTATCTGCTGAAAGACCAAAGACCCCTCATCTCCTACACAAAATTTCGAAAATGCCATATCATCAATGTGGCCAACCACCATTTTCACCGAACATGGAGCTTTCAATGCTCCGAAAACTCGTTGGTGAGCTACCATTTCTCCTTCTTTCATCTCACAAACTCTTATTCTTCATTTTCTCTCCATTTTCATCCCAAAATCTAGAAGAAATCTCAAATCTTGGATCTTGGTATTTCCGATGTCTAGCTTACGTTGACGACCGGAGATCGTTGCTGGAAGCCCAAATTTAAGTTATCAGGCTTCGAAGAGCCTTTCTCCGACGGCGAGGTAACCTTTCTTTCAAAATTGAACGACTTTCAGTTTTGGTCCGCAAAGGTAGACGGAAGAGAAGGTCTACTTTTACATGGTAGACCTCAGTTGGTCAACCAAAAGTAGACCGGGTCAATTCCTTTGCAAACAAAAAAAACAAGTGGTAGACCTCAAATTAGGTCTACTCCACGTGGAGGGTTAGTTTAGCAATTGTTCGAGGAAAATGTTTTTTTGGAGGTCTACCGTGTCGGTCTACTACACGTGGCGGGTTAGTTTTGCAATTGATCGAGTAAAATGTTTGTCGTAGGTCTACCAGGTCGGTCTACCTAAAAAAAAAACGTTGGTCCGGCCGTTGACAAAAGTTTGACTTTCCTCAAAAAGGAGAGAGTTTGCGTCATTGAGGTCTACCGTGTAGGTCTACTGCTTGGTAGACCGAAAGTGAGGTCTACTGGTCAACGCAAAAAAACTGAGGTCTACCACGGAAGTCTACCCGAGGAAAGTCAAACTTAAGTCAACGCCATCACAAACTGTTTTTTAGGTAGACCGATACGGTAGACTAATTTGGAGGTCTACTTTTTTACGGTAGACCGATTTGGAGGTCTACGTCTTCTGGTAGACGGAGACGGTAGACCTTGGCAAAAAGTCAACGTTTGGTCAATTGCAAAACTAACCCGCCACGTGTAGTAGACCGACACGGTAGACCTCCAAAAAAACATTTTCCTCGAACAATTGCTAAACTAACCCTCCACGTGGCGTAGACCTACATTTCGGTCTACCGTTACGTCTACTAGAAGTCTACGTTGTAGGTCTATTATTATGTGTTTTTTGAAATGTCGTTTTCCTTTCAATATATCAAATATTTTGGAATTTATCTCGAACAGTTAGTTGCTTTTGTTTGTTTACTTGCTTCTGTGTGAGTTTGAAATGTTCTTTCTGCGTAATTAAGGCTATATTCGGATTTCTTTTCAATTAGGTATCTAGATTAATTTTACCTGGTAGACCAAGTTGTGGGTCTACCGTAGCGGTCTACCCATTCTGTCTTCTAATCCGTTTTGTGGTCTTGTTCGTTTTTGTTGCAGGTAATGGTTTGTCTAGCTTCCGTTTATGGAAAATGGGTGGTGATGGAAGACAAGACATGGAATTTTGAGGTCGATAAAGGAAAAGGAGGGAGGATGTTCTACTTGCGTGATGGTTGTACACATGAGGAGCTCCTTACAATGGTACAAGCTGACTATATGCTGGATATGGAACCAGAGCGGGTGGAGTTATCCTATCCATTACCAGATGTTATGCTCCATCAAATGCCCTCTGACTTTCCTCCTATGTACATCACCAACGATGGGCAGGTCCATAGCTTGATAGAGACATGCAAAACGCATGTGCTGCGCCTTTGCATCTCTGTTGGAAACAAGGATAAAGGTCAGCAGAGAGATGAGGATAACTATGTCGATGAAGATAACTATGTGGATGAGGATGAGTATGAAGAGGAGGAGGAACTTTCAGATGTAAACTGGGATGCAAATTCAGATGAAGAAGTTGAGGAAGAGTATGATGATGCAGGGGACGATGACTATGTGGATGAAGATTTTGCAGGAAAGAAAGCTGAAGACACGGACGCAGACTATAGTGAGTATGGGAAAGTTCAAGATGAAGATGATTGGGAGAAAAAACGCTTTGAAGAAAGGCTTCGCAGAGGTGATTTGAATGGTCATGGGGTAGGATTCGATGGGTCAGGCGATATATCAGTTGGCCAGAGCTATGTAAGCAAGAATGATCTCATATCTGCCTTGCGAGTGAAGGCAGTGAAGTCTAGATTCGCCTTCAAGGTTTCTAAGTCTACTACCAAGCTCTATGTGGCAAAATGTTTTGTAGATGGATGCAAATGGATGTGCAGAGCTGCTATAAAGAATGAGGCAAAGAGGTTCTTTGTCACAAAGTATGTCAAGGTTCATACATGCTCTGTGGTGGACCGTGCTCGATTCCGCAAGGGATGTACTCCAAGGTATCTTGGGCAGATATTTGTAGAGCAGTTTGGAATCATTGATGGAATTGTCCCAAGGCATATTGCTTCCGCGATAAGGGTGTTGCTTGGACTTAAGCTTAACTACACCACTTCTTACAGAGCTTTAAAAGCTGCCCAACTTTTTGTTAGGGGAACACCAGAAGCTGGATATGCGGCTTTGCCCTCGTACTTGCGAAGAGTGAAGCAGTCAAACCCGGGCTCCGTGACTGACCTTGTATGTGAGGCTAATGGTCAATTCAAATACTGCTTCTTGTCCTTGTATGCTTCAATGGTTGGCTTTCAGTACTTGAGACGTGTTATTGTGGTAGATGGGACTCATCTAACTGGAAAGTATGGAGGAACATTGCTGGTTGCAGCCGGACAAGATGCTAATTTTCAGGTTTTCCCGTTGGCATTTGGGATTGTAGATGCCGAGAATAACGAATCATGGGGGTGGTTTATGAACAAGTTGCAGCAATGCTTTTCATCTCATCACATGGTCATTATTTCGGACAGGCACCCCTCCATACCTAATGCATGTCTCAATGTTCTACCTTGGGTAACCAGAGGTATTTGTTACTACCATCTTCAGGGAAACATTGTCTCAAAGTCAGAGCTGGGTGCAAAGGATTTGATGTACTTGGTGAAAGGAGCTGCATACGCCCATACGCTGAGAGAGTATAACCGTTGCATGGCATCAATCCGGGCTGCTAAACCTGCACTTGCGAACTACTTAGAGTTAGCAGATCCTAAGTTATGGTCCAGAGTACATTTTCCAGGGGATAGATACAATATAAAGACAAGTAACATTGCTGAATCTATCAATTCCGCATTGAAGAGAGCAAAGGGCTTTCCAATACCGTATCTGCTGCAATTCATCCGGGAGAAGTTGGGGGTTTGGTTTGCCAAAAGGCGAGAGGACGCCTTGAGTCTTCAGACCCCATACAGCAAGGGAGTTGAATATTTGCTAGCTATTCGTACACACCACGCAGAAACATACACTGTGGAACACATAGATGGATGGACTTTCAATGTTATAGGCGGAGGAGGGCATTATATTGTGAATTTGGAAAACCGTTCCTGCGAATGTGGTGTATTCCAGATTGAGAAAATACCTTGTTCACATGCGATTGCAGCGTCTACTGAGGCAAACATGCACATTTCGCAAAACGTGTGTATGACATACACGAAAGAATCTTTGTATGCAACATATGCACGTCCCATATACCCGGAGCCTACAGAAGATGCAGAGGAAGAAGAAGACATTTGCTTACCTCCAGAAGTGGCGCCAACTCGTGGCCGGAAAAAGAAATCAAGGTATCTAACATGGCTAGAATTGTCAAGGAAGAGACAGCCCAAACCAAGGAAGGTCCACAAAGTTTATAGCTGTTCGTTGTGCAGGGTTCCAGGACACACCCGACCTCATTGTGTAAGCCATTGAAAACTCCCTCTTTCCGTTAATGTTTCAGTTTTATCCTTACTTGAGTTCCATAACTCCTGCAGATGAACAACGCAGCGGCAGACTGACTTAGTCGACTAATTCGGTAGACCGCATGTTTAGTCTACCTTGTCTACGTAGACGTAATATTCGGTCTACTACGTAGGTCTACCCGACCGATCTACTACAACAATCTACCGAAGAGGTCTACTTTAGCTGTTTTGAGTTACTAATGTTTTATGTTATTCATTTTGTTTGATATTGACGGGGTACGTCCATGTTAGTAAACATGCAAGAATTTGAATTTATCCGAAAACAGTTATATTATATATTTAGCTGGGTTAGGTAGTTATATTTTACACCAAAAAATAATGAGAGCGTCGAGTTTAGGTACACAGCAAAATATGGTACCATGAGCGCTTTACAAAACACACCCAGCCTAAAACTGATATATACCGATCTACCTAGATAGTTATATGTCATTGTCCAGATCCTCCCAGTTACGCTCTGGAGGGCCGCGACAGTTGATCTCGTGATATAGGTCCGCTGCAAGCTTTGCTCTTATAGCTTTCATGTTCCTACCACAAAGCGTCTTCGGAAAAAGCCTCCCAAGACTATGATACTCGATGAACTTTAGACAGTAGACTCCACAGTCACTCGAATTGTCTTGCGCAGGCACATCTCCTCCGGAAATATACTCGTGGGTGTAACGGTCGAGTGGATACTTATACCTATCGCCGATGTCAGCCATGAGCCGTTGTAGATAAGGCAGAAGGACAGCAACGGGCTCGATAGCTTTGGCTAACAACCTCTCCGATAGACATCCTGGAATGCTGTCCCACACAGTAATATGCCTTTTCGGTATAGAAACCATCAAGGCCACCCAATGAGCGTCTTTGACGTTCCATGGCATGTAGATCTCATCAATATCTACTTCCCATTTCTTCAAGGTTTGGCAGAAACGTGGTGCTTTCCCTTCGAAGAGATCGGTCGCACCTCCCGGGACCCACCTTCCTAGTCCCTGTCCATCGGGCTTTGTACTCAAAAACCTCTTCCACTTGTCTTTTTGCCACAGCATACTAGGAGTACTATCACAGAAGCACAGTCGGTCACTCCTAAACCACTCGGGGTGCAACTTCATGCGCTGACGAAACATGTTCATTACTGCGTCCATGTGCTGAAAACAGATACGAAATTCTTAGACAGTAACTAAGAAAACATTACCATAATGGTCCGCCGACTTCCACCTCCACCGGCCCAGGTCTCCATACAGCGCTTTGATGAGTTCATCTACACGCGGGTCTTCCTTATCCTCATCCCACTTTGGGTAAACGAAGTCTCTCTCCACCATTATGCAGTGATCAAAGTTCACCTACACACGAAAGGGAAAGTAAATAAATAGGTCTACCATAATGGTCTACCATAATTGTCTAGCATAATGGTCTACCATAATGGTCTATCAAAATGGTCTACTGCCTATCGTGAGTTCAGTATCGTACCTGCTTCAGTATCGTGAGTTCAATGTTCCTTAGACCCTGGACTCCTTTGTAGGACAAGAGCGGAATGTCAGGAGCGTTTCGTATGGGCGCACCACAACCCGCTCCGAATTCAGGCATGAAACGATATGCCCATACTTGTAGAGCCTCAACAAACCCATCCAGGACATACCCGGACTTCCATAGCTCTGCTTCTTTGACGGCTTCGATCAGGTTCTTGAAAGCTACACGCCCCCACGGATAATTCTCAAACTCCTCTTCATCCATCACTAATCTGGCCAGGTTGACAGGAGTGTGCGAGGTGTTTTTCCGAGCAGCAATGAAGCCAGTGTAGATGGCCAAGTAACCAAGCCTAAGTTTGTCCTCACTCGGCCAGTCTGTTGCCCATTCGCATGCACGAATGATCTCCACTTGACTCGGACCAAGCTCAACATCTACTCCGAGCTTCTCCCAGAATGCTCTCATCTCTAGAGTAACCTTGCACTTGGGGTCATCAATATCTTCCACATAGTCGCAGTTGAGGCCGGTGAGATGCTCAAACTCATGGAGGGAAAATCTAATTGGGCTATCCGCAACCGCAACCCAGATCTCATACTTCTTCTTGCACTCTAACTGATATGAGAGCATCGTGTGGACCAACTTCGAAGACCACGCGAAGTCGAGGTCGTGAAACTTGCAGAAGACACCAACTCGCGAGTCGCATAGTGTTTCCCACTCGGCATCACTCAGTAGTTTTTTCACGGCAGCAAATAGCTTTTTGTCGTTGCTGCCGTAGGAGATGCTCTTTTGGGCTTCCGGTTCAGCCCCTCTTGTGTATAACCTCCTTGGAAAGGTAGGCTTCTTCATTCTGCAACGAACATAAAAGGAAAATCAAAGAAGGCAAAAACGAAGGTCTACTACGAAGGTCTACTACGAAGGTCTACTCTAAACCCTAAACGAAATCTACCGAATCACGAAGAAGAAAGACATATATGAGTTGTAGAGGTTATGTTATAGATTGTTGTACCTCTCGACGACGACGACAGTTCTAAGCGCTTATCGCAAAGCACCAGGAACGATATCTTGGACGAGATCTAACTACAAAAACGACACATGAATTCGGCGGTGAGGTTATTTGTGGTTATACAAAGCGAAAATGGTAAGAAAGAGGAGTGAGTGACGGAGTTACTACCGGGAAATGGGATCGATGTGGAGCGCTCCGATTCTGTTAGACAACGGCGACGAGTTCACCAGACGGCGGACCAAATATGAACAATAAAACGGTTAGATGACTGAGCGGAGATAGATTAACGACACTAGGGGTATAGGGCGAGGTATAGGGCGGAGATATTACCGGCGTAATCAAACAGAGGCGGAGCAAACGGCGTCGGAAACGGAATAGCGGGTCGGAAAAGGAATAGCGGCGGAGCAAACGGCGTCGGACACGGAAATCGCCTGAAATCGCCTCTGGAGAGCGCCGACTCGCAATGTTCTAACAAAACCTAGAAATTAACTGCTCAGGGTTAAAACCGCTTTATATACGTCGGTTCGATTAACTGGTTTCGTTATATCGGTTTGAACCAAGAAATTAGCCGGTTATTTCAATTAATATCGGTTCAGCCGTTCAATTTACGGTTCTACGCAAACAATTGAGTCGGTTATTTCCGGCTTAGGTATACCGTTACGGTCTACCACGAAATTACCGAAACGTCGTTTCAATCTCAGCCGTCGCTTTGAAACTTCGGGATTCCCGCTAGGTTAAAACGGTTGGTAGACCTCCACTTCGGTCTACGCGATCCGTCTACTTGTTAGGTCTACTTTACCCTAAACCCTAAATCGAATAATTTATATACAATTTTGCAACGATTTGCTTGCCATATTGTCAATTTACAGTGTATATCACAAATAAACAAACATTGAATCGTAAAACCAACCAAAAACAATTCTTCATCTAAAATTTTTCAAAACCCTACAACTCTCCCCATTAACTCCTAAACAATCTACTCAAACTCTTATCCTTATGAACTATTGGGGGAATTACCAAATCTAGACCACAATTTCATTTTTTCTAGTCAACTAGACCACAATTTGAATCAAATGCAAAAGTAACCTCTTTGGGTAGTAAAATTACCCCACAAGCCCTCATGACCAAACAAAAAAACGCATGCCTCGATTACGATTATAACCTCCAGGGCATGTAGATCTACCCGTAGATCTACCTGGTAGACAATGTTAGAGGTCTACCTCATAATAACATCTTAAATTTTAATTAATAATTCAATAAAAAATATTTATACAAAAACAAGTATGAATAATTCTAATATAGACATTATCATCTACAAAAAATATAAATGCATACAAATGAATCATTTATAGATAAGCAAAGACATAGGTTAATATCTATAAAAATGTTTGAGGTCTACCGAGTAAGTCTACTATATCATTAAATTTAAATTTTTATTATAAAAATTGAAAAAAAAATATTTTGAGGAAAATTATTTATACATAATTACAATACAGACAACTTGCATCTATCTAAAATATAATTTCATAGATTTGAACCAACTGAACTATGAAAAAAAAACAAATTAGGTTAAAAGCCTATAAAACCATGAGAGGTCTACCAAGTAGGTCTACTAAATCATCAAATCTTAAATTTAAATTAAGAAAAATTTAAAAAATAATTTGAAATATTTGTTTCACAAATAACGAAATAATAGACATTTAACATATATTAAAAATGAAATTTCATAAAAACTCATGAATCTATAAATATCATATGTAAATAGTTCATAAGGATAAGAGTTTGAGTAGATTGTTTAGGGTTTAATGGTGTAAGTTGTAGGGTTTTGAAAAAATTTAGATGAATAATTGTTTTTGATTGGTTTTACGATTCAATGTTCGTTTATTTGTAATATACATTGTAAATTGACAATATGGCAAGCAAATCGTTGCAAAATTGCATCTAAATTGTTCGATATAGGGTTTAGGGTAAAGTAGACCTAACAGGTAGACTAATAGAGTAGACGGAAGTGAAGGTCTACCAACCGTTTTAACCTAGCGGGAATCCCACAAACCGACGGCTGAGATTGAATCGACGTTTCGGTAATTTCGTGGTAGACTAAATCGGTAGACAATTCGAGTAGATCGAAGCGGTAGACCTAAATCTAATTGAACCGGAATTTTTATTAAACCGGAATATTTATCTCATGATATAAAAGAAACAAGAAACCCTAATTTTGTTAAAAATAAAAAACCAACCCCTCTCTTAAACGGCGCTCGCCTCTCTCTCGCTCTCTCTCTCTCTCTCTCCGGCGTTCGTCTGTGGAGCCATCGGTGCTTGAGATCTGATCTGCGGCGGTTGCCGATGAGATCTTCGCAGGTTCTTCCTTTGGTTCCTCAGGATGAAGGAGAATCTCCTTATGCATAACATGTTTATCTTCGTTTCTTTTGGTTGTGGATCTGAGCTCCCTTTCTTTTTGTTGGTTTTGCAGATCTAAACTCTCTTTTCTTTGTAGATTTGAGCTTTAACAATAACTCTCTTTTCTCAAACGGCGCCTCCCTCTCCTTGAACCACCACCATTCATCTGTGTCCTCCAGATCCAGATCTAGAACCGCCGCAGTTGGCTTTTTCCCCTTCAGATCTGCTCAAGAAGACTTCTCCTCTTGACTCCCACGACCCTCCCTCCCGCCAGCTCTCTCCTCCAGCAATTACGGGGCGATTTCCAACCGTTTCATAAAGTATCAGAAGCTGATTTTGGTACCATCGGAAAGATCATTTTCTCAGCTTTCCATAACATCCAAAATTACGGTAAACCGAGTTATATTCAGAGAGTTATGGATATTTTTTCTTGTGACGTCAGATCTGTTTTAGGATATCAATTTATTTTTGTGAAGGTTTTGTGAAGCAATTTCCTGACGATTCGTAAGTCACTAGGAGTAGATCTACATGCGGTTTTGAAGATCTCCAACCCAACTTTTCAGATCTTCTTTCAGTTGTCCATTCAGAGGTATATTTCATCTGCAAATCAGCTCCAAAGTTTAGAGAAATTCTCTATTTCTGTTTCCAGAAAAATCTCAATTTCTAGTCTTATTTCTTTCATTAAACTTAAGATTTGTGTTTCATTACTCTGACTTGTAGCAGAGAAGGTCTTACTACAGAAGCTGCTGATGAGAGGCCTCTCCTCTATGGGAATAACAATCTCCAAAAGAAAAAGGTTCTGTAGACTTTTTACGTAGACCTCTGGTGTGGACCTTCTACGTAGACCGCTGGTGTGGACCTTCTACGTAGATCTTCATCGTCGACCTTATTTTTAATCTATCTTTTTAAAGTAGGCCTCATGTTACTTGTTGGATTTCAGTTTTTCTTTTCAATTTTGATTGTAACACTTTGCTTCTCTAATAAAAAACTTTCATTATTATTGTCATGATCTCTTTTGATATTTGCACTTATTTGATACACAAATTTTGTTTATTGAAAGAGATCAATACATGACTTATTATTAATATAGGTTTTGTTTCTTCAAAGAGATTAAGTCTAACTGAAAACTTACATAAAAAACTTGAAAATAGCACAAAGTAGATCTACTACGTAGATCTCAGTTGTAGATTGCATTTGTAGACCTTATTATCAGTCTACTTCTCCGAATTATACCTCATATTTAGTCTACCTTTCCAAAGTAGACCTTATTTTCAGTCTATCTCTGTGTTGTTCATCTACATCAGTTCAAAATCCAATTTTATAAAACTCATGTAATAAAAAAAACAGAAACCATGAACACACTGTGAGTTGTCATTAGCTTACGCAATGAAGGCGGATATGTCCCGGTTGCTGCACTTCGAACAACTATAAACTCTATCAAGCTATGAACCTACTCGTTGGTGATGTACATATGAGGAAAGTCTGAGGGTATTTGATGGAGCATCACATTGGGTAATTGATAAGATAATTCCACCATGTCTGCTTCCATATCCAACATATAGTCAGCTTGTTCCATTCTAAGAGGCTCCTTATGTGTACAACCATCCCGTAAGTAGAACATTCTCCCTCCTTTTCCTTTGTCCATCTCAAAATGCCATGACTTGTCTTCCATCACCATCCATTTTCCATAAACGGAAGCTAGACAAACCATTACCTGCAACAAAAATAAACCAGATCACAAAATGGGTTAGTAGACAGAAGGTGTAGACCGACAAGGTAGACCCACAATTTGGTCGACCAGAAAAATAAGCTAGTTACCTAATTCAAAAGAAAACCGAATATAACCTTAATTACGCCGAAAGAACATTTCAAACTCACACAGAAGCAAATAAACAAATAAAAACAACTAATTGTTCGAGAAAATTTCAAAATATTTGATATATTGAAAGGAAAACTACATTTTAAAAAACACATAATAATAGACCTAAAACGTAGAAGTAGACGTTCATGGTAGACCTCCACTTAGGTCTGCTCCACGTGGACGGCCACGTGGAGGGTTAGTTTTGCAATTGATCGAGAAAAATGTTTTTTTGGAGGTCTACCTTGTCGGTCTACTACACGTGGAGGGTTAGTTTTGCAATTGACCAAACGTTGACTTTTACACGAGGTCTACCGTATACGTCTACCAGAAAACGTAGACCTCTCAATCGGTCTACAAAAAAAAGTAGACCTCTTAATTAGTCTACGCCTTAGGTCTACCTACCGAAAACAGTTTGTTTTGCCGTTGACTCAAGTTTGACTTTCCTCGGGTAGACTTCCGTGGTAGACCTCAGTTTTTTGCGTTGACCAGTAGACCTCAACTGCAGTCTACCAGACGGTAGACCTCAATGTCACAAAATCTCTCCTTTTTGAGGAAAGTCAAACTTGAGTCAACGGCAAAACCAACTTTTTTTTTTAGGTAGACCTAAGAGGTAGACCTCCGTCAATTGCAAAACTAACCCTCCGTGGAGTAGACCGACAAGGTAGACCTATTTTTCTCAATCAATTGCAAAACTAACCCTCCACGTGGAGTAGACCTAAGTGTAGGTCTACCACTCATTTTTTTTGTTTGCAAAGGAAATGGTACAGTCAACTCTGCGTTGACCAGTAGACCTAAACGTAGACCTAAACTCAGGTCTACTATGTAATGGTAGACCTACAATTCAGTCTACCTTCGCAGACCAAAACTGAAATTCTTAAAATTTTGAAAGAAAAGTTACTTGGCCGTCGGAGAAAGTCTCTTCGAGGGTTGATAACTTCAATTTATGTCTTCAATTACGAGTTCCAGTCATCACTGTAAGCTAAACAATTGGAAATGCCAAGACCCAAGATTTAAGTTTTCTTTTAAGTTTTTGGGATGAATATGGAGAGAAAATGGAAAAATAAGAGTTTGTGAGATGAAAGAAGGAGCAATGCTAGCTCTAAAGTGAGTTTTCAGAGCATTAACAGCTCCAAATTGGGTAAAAATGGTGGTTGTCAACATTGATGATATGGCTTTTTGGCAATTAAATGTAGAAGATGAGGGGTGTTTGGTCTTTCAGCAGATTTGGTAGACCTAAATATCGGTCTACCAATCGAAAAAGTAATGGCATTCCCGTAATTAATTGAAAAAAAAGGACAAACTTAAAATGAAAAAAACAGAGGTTATTTTGCATTTGACCACAATTTTGGGTCTACATGTGAAACAACCCCTGAACTATTTACATATGATATTTATAGATTCATGATTTTTATGAAATTTATTTTTAATAGATGTGAAATGTCTATTATTTCGTTATTTGTGAAACAAATATTTCAAATTATTTTTTAAATTTTCTTAATTTAAATTTAAGATTTGATTATTTAGTAGACTTACTTGGTAGACCTCTCATGGTTTTATAGGCTTTTAACCTAATTTTTGTTTTTTATAGTTCAATTGGTTCAAATCTATGAAATTATATTTTATATAGATGCAAGTTGTCTGTATTGTATTTATGTATAAATAATTTTCATCAAAATATTTTTTTTTCAATTTTTATAATTAAAATTAAATTTAATGACATAGTAGACTTACTCGGTAGACCTCACACATTTTTATAGATATTAACCTATATGTCTTTGCTTATCTATAAATCATTCATTTGTATGCATTCATATTTTTTGTAGATGATAATGTCTATATTAGAATTATTCATACTTGTTTTTGTATAAAAATATTTTTTATTGAATTATTAATTAAAATTTAAGATGTTATTACGAGGTAGACCTCTAACATTGTCTACCAGGTAGATCTAGTAGATCTACATGCTCCGGAGGTTATAATCGTAATCGAGGCATGCGTTTTTTTGTTTGGTCATGAGGGCTTGTGGGGTAATTTTACTACCCAAAGAGGTTAGTTTTGCATTTGATTCAAATTGTGGTCTAGTTGACTAGAAAAAATCAAATTGTGGTCTAGAATTGGTAATTTCCTCCAAAAATAAAGTGTAAAGAGTAATAATTCGGAGCTAATTTTAAAAATTGAAGGCAGCAAAAAAATGGTACATAACTCTACATGCTACTTTCCTCCGCCACTGGCTGTTGTTTTTATTTGTTGTTGTGTTGTATGTAGCAAATCCGAGACATGTAAGTGCAGTTGAAAAATATTTACTGTAATTGAGTGAATTTATTGACTAAAACAAAATTCCGTTTCGGTCGGTATTTAATTTTGGTCCGTTCTTTTCGCACATTTGTTCCGTTTATTCCATATTAACTAGACAACTACAATTGTTCCCCTCATTTCATGTTGGATCTGTTCCACGCCAATTGTTTTGCAATCACCATGCAGATCCCTACACATACATCCTCCATGTATTTCAGTGTCGTAGTCACAAAATGTATAACAACTGAAAATCAATTCTCCGTCCGTACGTGTTCATTGATAAATAATACAAAAAGTAGACTATAAGTCTATAACTATTTGTTTATCTCTAATTAACTAAAATGTGTTTAATACATAAAACATTACATTATAAAATAGAGAATAAAACAACCACATTAGTACAAAAATAATCAATGTGATGTGAAGCTTAGGCAAACAAATGCTTCAACAATCACATACTTAGGTGTCCGTCCTCATGAAGGACAAGAAATGATAAAATATTTAGTTTTAAAATGTTGAAAGAGATGTTTATAACTTGTGTAAATTGCAATCAGTAGACTTTTCCTAATTTATTGACACTTTTAATATGTCATGTAAACACACACAAAGTACGTAATTAAGTACCTTGTGTCCCTGTTGTAATCATGATTAAGAATCTAAGGAGGCATAGTCCGAGATCTTAAGCAACCACATGGGACATGTATGCCGTTTAACATCAAGTGTACTAAATCTTAAGCTTCCGTAACATAGGAGTTAAATAAGGACGCAGACGAACTTATTATGACTACTTTTTTGGGGTAATCGATTGGAAGGCCGAAACAAGTCCACGCTTGATTTAATTTCTGATGAAATGCGTCATCAATTGGATTCAGCGGAAAACTGAATAACGGGGCGTTAAATAATTAATGATATAACCATCAAACCCAATGCTCAAAATTTGGTAGATGGTGATCGGACGTTAAAGAATAATATAGCCGTTTAAAAAGCTAACTAAATGTTGGTTTTTCTTTAGAAAATAAACTTAAATGATTTTCAATTTTACTAAAAATTTGAAACTGTTTTTATATAGATGTCTAAACTGATTCTTCAACCGATATCGTTTTTTACTAACAAAGTCAAATTTGTAGTGTTTTCAGCTGCCTAGACACATTTTTTTTTTGACAACGGCTGCTAGACATTTAAACTAACTACATAGAACATTCGATTTCAGCCAAACCGACTCAGCTAATTTGGTCATGATTATTTCCATCTCACACACATCCAACCACATGTATACTGACTTACAATACATGACAGAAAGTTAGTTTTACAATCTTGAATAGAAGATATGTTCTTAAGATGTTTCTGGATCAGTCACTCTAGTTCTTACTTCTTAATATGAGTCCAAGGTGGGATAATAATAATATAGTAAATAGTAATGGAAATGAAAATAGAAAGTCAATGTCATCACATGGTATTGCCTTTTTGTGACATGCACATAAAGGGCCACATTGTTAGCTCAAAATGGAACACTTCTCTTACATCCCACTTCAACTTCAACACCAGCTTTGGGAACACTCTGTTTTTTTTCCATCTCTTTCTCCATTTAAATTGCTATAGTGTAAATAATTCCAAAATATATGTTTTGCAATGTCATTTAGTAAAACAAATTGATTACTTCTCTTGATTACCAGAAAAAAAAACCACTTAGAATATTACATATTCATTTCACATCTTGCCTCTCGGTGAAAATATATAGATGAGATAAAATAAAATTGTAATTTATTTTAAATATTTGTTGGTTAAAGGTATCAATTATCTTTCTCTCTTCTCTCAGTTTCTTTACCTCTCCTGTGGTCCTTGACCTCTTTAAATCCCTCAGTTTACTTTCTCGTAATTTTTTTATATAAGTATCTCTATACCCCCGAAACACTTTCTTACATTTCCTATCTTTTCTTCTCTTCTTGGCTCTCTTCTCTCTTTTTTGCTCCACATCCTCAACACAATATAAAACTTGTGGAATAAACATAAACCATCAACATCTACTAGCTAGCTATTTAGCTTCTCTTGTTTTTTTCCATGATATAACTCTCTTATTAATACTACCCGATCTCTCTTCCTCTCCCTCTCCATCTCTTATCTATTGTCCAATCTAGAGATTGGACCACGCAACTTAAGGGTAAATTTCCTGCCATCGACATTGTAGTGTCACAGCTAATCACCAAGTAAAACCGTACAAAAAATGTCTAACAGAAGATCAAGGCAGTCTTCAAGTGCTCCGAGGATCTCTGATGACCAGATGATCGACCTCGTTAGTAAGCTCCGTCAGTTTTTGCCGGAGATTCGTGAACGGCGCCGTTCTGATAAGGTATATTACATACTCTCATATTATTTAACATCTAGATCTTCATATATTAAAAAAATGAAAAGAGAAAACTCCCTTTTCGTTGGAAAAAAGAGGAAGAAGACATAAATTAAACAAAAGAAACAAAAAAAGTCGGAACTTTTGACACCGCCTGAAAACATTTTTGTTTTCTATTTTGACCAAATAGAAACGTCGAAAAGTCATGTTTTGGTGTGAAGTCAGTACATATACTGATATAAATCATGGTCTTCAATCTTGATATGTTTGCTCGTAATATCTTTTTAAAAAAAAATAGGTGTCAGCATCGAAGGTACTGCAAGAGACATGCAACTACATAAGAAAGTTGCACAGAGAAGTTGACAATCTCAGTGACCGTTTGTCGCAGCTCCTCGACTCCATTGATGAAGATAGCCATGAAGCTGTCGTCATTAGAAGCTTACTTACGTAACCTTCCACTATATTAATTATTATTATAACCTCATAATATATACTACTCCCTCCGTTTCAAATTAGTTGTCGTTTTGGCAAAATGTATCTGCAAATATTTGGACGTATCTGTAATACAAAACACGTCCAAATACATCCAAATATTTGCAGATACATTTTGCCAAAACGACAACTAATTTGAAACGGAGGGAGTACTATTTATTAATTTATATAAATATGTAATCTTGATCGTCCTACATATATTATCAAGCGACGTGTTTTATCTTTTATGAACTTCCGAATTTTGGTAGAGCATTTACATTACTTCCTTTTTTTCTTGTTTTAAAGATTTACATTAATTCCTAGTCAGTCGTCTCCGAAATATGTGATATCTACTAAGTAATGCGAGGACCTTGATGGAATTCTTTTTGAGTATTTTCAATGCTTATAAAATTTGGACATTGTGATGTTTGAAGTCGATTGTGTTAGTTAAGGATCGAAGAAATTGCAGGATGAATATGCAATATATAATCCATCTCTTTCTGTAAATATTGAAAAATTCTAATTATCCATTATCAACAAGATGAGTCATGAGTATACTATTTTTCCTTTTTTACTAAATTTGAGCTTACATATCCCCTATAGGGGTGATCAAACAATGTAGAGTTCGAATGCGAAAAATTCTGAAAGAAATAGCCAAAACAGAATGGCAAGGCAAAAACAGGGCTAAAAACAAATTAAGGCCTAAGCAAAACAAGCAAAGCCAACAAGAAGAGTATACTATATTTATTGGGTAAGCACTAAGCACCGGCTCGTATTTATTGCATTATATAAACGCCTGTGACGTTGACGAAGTAACAAGAGGTATCTACGTTTAACGATGACATATATTTAAGCAAAAGGGGCATGATGAGTGTATATGAACGTCCGACAAATTTGGAAAAACTTTTGGCTTATGGGTTTCCACGTAACCACGTTGATAAATGATATGATAGAAATGTCCCATGAAGAACTATTACGTACTTTGACGAGAGGTTCACAATTCTTGAAAAACAAATTTACATTTAAATGGCACCCCGCCAGTTTTTACACAATAATATTATTTTTGAATGAAAATCCTCTTGAAATAAGAAAAATGCAGCTGAGTAGTTAATTATATTGCGATGAGTTGTAAACGTCAATAATCAAATTCATTTTGTAGTAATAATATGAGTTATTGCCATAAGACGATGGATGTTGATGGGCCTTCATGGGCCTAAAACGAAATTTATCCTAAAAATAAATTCCGGCCCACGATAGAAATTTGTGTCGTTACAGCTTTAGTTTTGAGTTATCTTCTAAAGCAAGTCAATAGATTTTGTTCAAGTGTTTGATTCAATAGATCTCCTCCTCTCTCCGTCGTCGATTCGATAAGAAACAAGGTCGGTGGTTTTGATATAACACCCCCGTTATACTTATTTCAGCATGTTTGATTAATTTTCGTTCAAGATTAAAGACGTAGTAGCTAACTGCGAATCGATTTTGGTAGGTTTGAATACGAGACGATGAAGTCGCCGGCTAAGAAGACGGGGGTGTGGTGGGACACGAACACGGACACGGGCACGTCCTGCTATTTTCCGGAAGAGTATGATCCTTATAAGGTCCGTCAGAGTATAGAATCGGCGTTCAAAGACCACCTTCCTCTCACCATCACCGCCATCGGCAACCTAAAACGCATGCCTCACCCTCTCTGGGAACCCATCTTATCCTCCGGAATCGTTACGATACACTCCCACTTCGGTAAATCTTCTCTTCTCTGTGTATATAAATTTTGTGAGTTTTTTTTCTCAAATTAGGGTTTATGTGTAACTCGCTGTATTTTCCAGTTTCCACAACAAAAATTATGCATGATATGTATGACTGGGCGGATAATAATCCAGCTCCGGCTGAATTAATTCTCATAACCGATCGAATCAACCGCTTTGAAGTATCTGGGTTTCTCCCCTCGTTAAGGGACAGAGGATACACGATCGTAACGAAGCCCTGGAAAAACATATTATCAGGTGTCTTTTTCATCTCTCGCATTGAAATAACTCACCAATAAATTTACTAGCTTGATTTTTTGTTTTCTTTCTTTCAGCTGCTTGTAATGAGACTACAAGCAAGAAGGATAAGAAGAAGTGCATTGACACTGCTTGGGTTTGCCACACTTGCATTGATTCTGGCGGCCTCACTTTTGCTGGCGAAAGCTATGAAAGTTTGACCAGGCATTTCGTGACTTCAGAACATATTTATCAAGTAAGCACCGATCATTACCATATTTTTTCATCGTAGATCCAACGAAATAATATCAAAAGTTGCTATCTTGTTTCCAGGAGTTCATGCGTTCGCCTGATACCTTCATTAAAAACAGATACTTCATTAGTGTGGAAGATGCCAAGAAATTAGACTTCTCTTCAACGGGGGTGTGGTGGGACATCGACACCTGTCTTGTTCCCCAAGGGTTTGATCCTCGCCAGGTCCGTCAGCGTCTAGATTCGGCGTTTGTAAACCATCTTCCTCTCACCATCTCTGCCGTTGGCAACCTAGAACGCATCCCTCCTGGCGTCTTGGGACCGATATTATCCACTGGAATCATTATGAAACACGGCCTAGAAGGTGAATCTTCTCGATATATATAATTTAGTTTTTGTTTTAACTTTGGGGTTTATGTTTGACTGTGTCCTTCTTTTCCAGGTCCGGTGGACATTTCGAAGGATATGGAGAGGTGGGCGCGGTATCATCCACCTCCAGCTACGATAATACTCATATCCGATCATGAACAAGTCTTTCTTACAAACAGGTTCCTCCTCAAGTTAAAGGACCTGGGATACACGATCATTCGTGCATATGCAAATCATCCGCAAGTTTCACCCAAATACGCTTCTCAAACAATGCTCTGGGATTACTTATTGGCAGGTGTTATTTTTATCTCTGGCATTGAAATAACTTACACTTAAGCTGTTTCCGATCATTAGCTTGATTTTATTTTAATAATATGGATTCAGATACTAATCAGGAGACAACAAGCACGGAGATTATGGAGAATGTTTGGGTTTGCAGCATATGCATGAAACCTGGCCACACCTTTGCTGGCGAAAGCTATAAAAGTTTGAAGAGGCATTTCAAGAGTGTAGAACATAAAATACAAGTAAGCATATCCTCTCTTGCCTTGGACTATTACGTTTGTTCATTTTACCAACCATGAATGCCACGAGTAGAAAAAAATATCTCCATTTCAAGAGTTTCACCCAACGCTATCTTGTTTCCAGGTGGAGGCTATTACCATGGCGAAGAGCCAATCAGAGGCAAGTCTCAATACCTCAATTTCAATGATTTCGTGCGACTATTTTCTTGATGAATGTGAATATCTCCATTTCAAAAGTTTGACCTCGATGCTAACTTTTTTTTTTTTCCATTTGGTTTTCAATCAGGATGAGGAAAAGGTCTCTACCATCACCTCAAACCTCCATCTGCTTATGGCGTGAAGAACAAGGCGAAGACTGCATGGCCCGTGGGGTGCACTTTTCACTTAACTATTAGTACATGCTTATGTGGATGCCTAATTCTAATTGGAGTATGGACTATTCGGGTCTTATGACGGACGAGCAGGCCCAATAAATTTCACGCTAGTATTTGAAAGCAATCCGCATTGACTTCTACCCAAACAGAAATATACCTTTTTGTTTTTCCAACTATGAGTCTATGACTACCAGTATTATTCAAAGTTTCAAACATAACATAAGAGTTTGACATATTGACGAAAGAAAAAGCATTCCGAGTTTGACAGATTCTCCCCTTTCTCCGGTCATTTTGTCAGCTGACTTCTTTCGTCAACCTGCTTTTAAATATACGAGTCTAACAAAATGTAAAAGCATGACTGTAATTTCAATGAACAGACAACAACATATCATAAATTACACTTGAAATATAACCTTTTCTCCACAATCAAAAATCTTTTGTATGTACAACAGATTCTCTAGAGGCAAAAGAAAACCCTCAGAGAGCACTCAAAACTGAAAAACAAACAAAAAGAAGAGTAAAAATTCCCTTTTTTTTTTCTGTATATGTATGCTCAAGTAGCTAATCACAACAAAGAGGGCATCTAATGAGTCCATTCTCATTACAATCAGGACATGTTTGAAACCCAAACTCTCTTTCTTCCTTTCCACTTTCATCATCATCATCATCATCTTCTTCTTCATAGTACACTTTGCAGCTCCCTGAACATGTCTCACACGGCACAAACCTTACATCTCCACAACCCTCACACTCTTGCCCATTCCCGTTTTTCTTTTCTTCCACCCTCTCACACCCTTCTAGAAGCTTCTCCAGCTTCCCATCCTCATTCAACTTCCGAATCTCCTCTGCTCCTCCCAGATACTTCCTCCCCAAGAAAACTCTAGGTAAACTGATCCCAACACCATCGTTGAATCTATCCCCTAGCAGCTCCTTGATCTCCTCCTTAAAACCCGAATGCATCGACACATCTCGCTCATCCACTCGAATCCCGAGGCTTTTCAGTATAACTCTCACATCGCAGCTTTCTTCATACGTCTTCCTTATACCTCTAAGGCTAGTGAAGTAGAGTATCACTTTCTCTTTCCCAACATTCTCACCCAAAGTCTCCTCCTTTTCTTCCTCTTCCTCCTCTCCTTCAGAGAGACTGAATTGTGGATTCAGTTTCAAATCATGAATCGAGATGTGAAAAGGATGATCAGAAGGAAGCTCCTGGAGCGATTTCCTGAACGAGGAGATGATCTCAGGATCGAAATCTTTGAATCTGCAGCTCGAATCAAGCCCTTCTTCCTCCATCTGAAGCCACACCGGCTTCACGTTCGACTTTGGACGTTCGCAATCGCCACCATTGTTGCGAGAGACATCAAACGAGAAGCTCCTAACGTGATTCGGTGATCGAAGAGGACTAACCATATCTTCAAGCCCATCCATCATTTCCCATGTATTGATCGTCTCCGGCTCTCCCGGCGGCGTCAAGATCGGAGTTTTCGGCACAATTTTGGGGATTTTGTCGTTCATCATGCTTGACCATACTTTAGCTTCCATAAGCTTCGCCTGCATTTCCAAATTCAGTTTCTCGTTGTCTGGCCTCGCTCTGTGACCGAACCCATTTCCGGGGACTTGCTTATCTTCAGATTCGTTGGCGGCGGTGAGCTTCCCGGTGAAGTCTGCCAAGTGTTTGTGGTTATGCCCGAAAGAGGAGTCGCAGAGCTTGAGAGATCCGAGGCTCGAGGAGCTGAGAGCGACCATGTGGCAGCTGTCTTCAGAGTGTTGGGGTGGGTGGTGCACCGATTGGCTTCGCGGCGGCATGTCCACCGGAGAATATCCTCGCCGGCAATGAACGCAACGCTTGCGGTGGTGTTTCGAGCTCGCACAACCCATAATCGATCAATCGGAAGCAAACAGGGGAAAAGAGGGAATGAGAAAGCACAATGAAAAAAAAGGATTTTGATTTCGGGGAACGAAAATTGAAAAGTGAAATTGGATTTGGAGACGAGGGTTTTGGTGAAATCGATGAGAAGATATCAAAAGCGTCGAGATTTGTGAAAATGATAGCTGGAAGACAAAAATGGCTATCCAGAGAAAAGGACGAAAGAGAGATCGTGACGAATAACGAGCAACAATCAATTCAAAAACAAAAATTTAATATTTTTTGCACACTGGATTTTAGATCAATCCGAGAAAACAGAGACAAAGCTTGGGACCAAAACAGAGGATTGTGAGGGTTTTTTGTGTGATTCCAAGAGTAAACGACGGAAACTGATTTTATTTTTTTTTTCCAGGAATTACAAACAACAACAAAACAATCAGTACGAGAAAGAAAATGGACCCCAACCAAATCAATTATGAAAGCGAGCACAAGGACATCATCATCATCATCGGCTTCGTCGTCTGGTCTGGTTGCAAACTCTCTCTCTCTCTATAAAAGTTGTAGAGAGAAGAAGACGGAGAAGAAAGAATGTCGGATTATAGTTGAAGAAAAATTCTAGAATTTCTCAGATAATTTTGATTATTTATAAAAGTCTCTGTTTTTTGGGGTCACTATTTGGTAATTCTTTGTATTGACTCCTCCTTCCATCGTTCCCTCTTGAAGGCGCGTGGGGGTCTGTGAGGGCGTGTGAACCACGCTCCTTTTCAGATTAAACTTTTTAGATTGCTTAAATTAGGAATCATATCTACTGGTTTTTGTCATCTTCTTCTCTTTAATTTCTTTTTTTCTCTTTTCCTTTTATTCACAGATATTTTTTAAATTTTGTTTTGTATATTGTTATTTTTTGGGTAAGAAAATAATGATATCTTACACTGAAATATGCTATTGCAATTTTTAAAAAGAAAATAATAATTTGATTATCTATGTATTTGATTTTTTTTTATGATTGTTTTTTAATAAATTTATTGGCATATGTGTTAAACTTTAGTCAAAAGATGGGATTTATTATCTTAAAGTAATTATTGACAAGTTTTACAAATCACGACGACCTTAGTATTCCGTATTCTACTTTTATTTACCAAATTTAAATTCATCACCAAAAATGTAGTTTGGATTCAACATATTTAAATGTAAACCTTTTTAGAATTTTCTTTAAACATTTTGATTATATAAATAAGAATTTCCAATGTTCACTTTTCTTATTTTCTATATTTCTTATTTTTTAGGATAATTAAAAAGTTTTAGGCTGAAGTTTAAATATGTATATGGTTGCATCCTAAATATTATTCAATTCTGTAATTTCCAAACTTTTTTGGGGTGTTTTTCGAGTTGAACCGGCAACAATTGATTACGTATCTATTTCTTTATCAAAAAGAAGATAACTACATTTCCATTTTTTGGAACACTATATAGCATCTACTTTTACATTCTTGACAAAATAGGTACGTAGTAGAATAGGAGGAGGTGACATGTGAATTATTTTTTGTAGCCGCGAATATTATTAGTTTTATAGTCCGTTCTATCATAAAATCCAATTGCTCTAAATGGAGCTTTGTAATTTGTAAATCAATCATCATCAAAAAGAAAGTGTATCTAACTGTATTGTTTTCATCTTCCCACCATAAACAAACAAAAACATTAAATTAAGACACTAAACTTGCAAGTCGATGTACATTTCAAACATGACGGAAAACATTATAGTTTGACTAACTAAACAAAAAGAGAAAAGGGGAATTTTTTTATCATAAACAAAACAGAAAAACAGAGAGGAGGAAGTCAATAACGTCAACAGTGTTCCGTGTGAACATGATGAATTTCCAATATGGTAACTCAGAATAGGTTCATGTGAAAGTCTTATGTATAGATGAATTAATAACATTAATTTGTTTCTATAATGTAAGTATTACTCCGTTTAGGATTCGTGATGTCTCGGCCATTCATTCAGAGCTAATGAAATGCCTCTCTAAGGCCAATATTAAATGCAAATTATTTTTGAACTGAAGCTTGTGAAAGCGTGGATTAATCTTCCACCCGTTCATTTATTTTGGTTGACAAAAATAAATAAATAAATGATCATTATAATACGAAATTTAGTGAACATGCAAACAACCCACCACAAAGCCACGAACTAAGTAAGAAATAGAAATAAAACTAAGTACTTTATTAAAAGCAAAATGAATTTCCACTTATTATGTCGAATGTTTCAAATTGCTGCTAGCACACATATATGTGAGTCCAAAATTTTAGCCTCAATTTCAGGATTAATGTGTACATTTACATGTCTATTACCCTCCAATTATATTTGTGCACATATAGGAAAACGACAACAAATTATAAATATATAATTAGTTTCTCCCCCTCAATTTCAGCCTCTGACATATAGTTAGACTCAGCACATAGCTAACTTTCTTTATTTTTCTGTTAAATTTCTTTGATAAATTTATTTTTCTGTTAAATACAAAGCCGACTATTTAACGTGATCGTATTCTTAATGTCAACAAAATCGTGTGAATAGTAATTTGCCGTTTAACATAGAAGATATTTAAAAGATTTTTGATTTATTTGTTATTTAAAAAGAAGCTATTCTCTGATTAATTATTGGAGAAAAAAAAACACTCTCACGGCAATGGTTACGCCTTAGAGCCACTTCAAAATATATATTTTACGTCACATGTTCTTCAATGAGACTAATCTGAAACATCCACATCATTTTTAAAGTTTGGGTGTTTCATGAAACTGGGTGTAAGATGATGAATGGAGACAAAAATACAAAGTATGCAAACATTACCGAGAAATTGGGAATCTGAAGGGAAGAAAACAGAGAGACTTAGAGCATGTATAACGCAGGGTGCTTATTAAAGTGCTTACAAGATTTTTTATTATTAAAATTGGGTTAAGCAACACTATTAAAAATTATATGTTTTCTCTGCTCCAATGGAGAGTGCTTATAGGGGTGCTTAAAAAAAACTATTTGCACAAGTTTGTTTTCTCCTACAAAAAATTATATGCACAAGTTTGTTGTCTCTACAAAAAAATTATGTGTAAATCTATAGTACTTTTACTTCTATATCAAACAAACAACTCTCTGCACAAGCTTGTTATCTCTACAAAATCTCCTTTGTTCGGTCTACTGAAAAACATGTGCGATTACTTCTGCATCTGTTAGTATTTTCAATCTGCATCTGCATTTTCACTGGTTCCTTGACAAACTTATCATCCACCACTGCATTTTCCAAGTTAAAACAACACAATCCTTGCTTAGAGAAACAAGAGATGTGTTTTGATTAATCTATTAGTGGAAGGAGGATTCATCTTTTTACCTGAGAATGGCTGAGTTTCCACAACCCCAAGTGATGTGTTTTGATTAATAACGACCATCACCAGAGACCACAAGTGCGTGGCACCTGCACAAGTTAACAATTGTTCATGCTTAGATGGAATATGCAGTTATCTGCGTAACACAGTTATGTAAACAGAGATCTTACCTTTGACTTTCTCCTTGAGGTCGTGGTGGAACATGATTTTGAAGACGTTTGAGCTAGCCGAGAGGATGGCGTTGTGAGCGGAGAGCGTACCGTCGGCTGTGTGGATTTGGGATTGTGACGTCCGATAGGATGCTTTCTTCTAGCATCCGGGATAAGCATTTGAGAGTCGTTTGTGTTGAGATTGATTGCATTGTTGTATCGTTTGGCCAAACAGGAGACGCTTCACCACCCTGTGATTTTATTTTGATTTGATTTGTGATCAAAATGAAGGCTAGAGTTATGAAACTTTGCAGCTAAACAACTTACATTCAAAGGGGAGATTTTGAGTTCCAGAAACTCAAAATCAATGGTGAATCGGCCGTGGAAGCTGGAATCCACATGCCACACACAATCGTCTATTGTACGAATCAGTTTATCATACACTGCACCACACAATACAAAGGATCATATAAGGTACTACTCATCTTTAATCATATATTTTTTTTCTGAAAACCCCTAATTCAGTTTCCACATTATAATTCAAATTCCACATGTAACGAACTCGAATCAAGAGACTATACATACCGGGAGAGATGTAGAATCTGCAATTGGGGCCAACGTTGGAGACGCGAAGAACAAATTTAGCAACAGAGGTTGCTCTTTGGAAACTCTGAGAAAGTTCTGGGAAAAGCCTCACTGAGAGATAACGATTCCTCTCTATAGACAGATGCTTTCATATCCAGAAACAGAATCAATCATAATTTTGAGAGTTAAAAAGGAGGAGGTGATTGATTACCAATTCCAAATTCCGACTTTGAAAGGATCGGAGTTTTTTGAAAGAGCAAGGAACCGAAATTTCCAATCCGCCATTGATAAATGGACCAATTTCTCACTGGAAATCGAGAAGCTTTCCAATCGAAATCGAATCACCATATGGCCTTTGAAGAGCAGCGGAGTAGTGAGAGAGAGGAGAGAGAATCGAAAGAGGAAAGTGAAGAAGAAAAAAGAGTTTTGTTTCTCTTCATTAACGATGAGCCAATAACCTGCTGCCACGTGGCACGTAAGCTTCGACGCTTCTCACGGATAAGCGTCGGATTCTCCTTTTTCTTTTATTTTTGCATTAAATTTTTGCTTAGAGCTGCATTAAGCGCCCTGCGTTACACATGCTCTTAGTGGGTACTTTAGTGGCTTCATGGATGGTAATGTTGGTCTTCTGTCTTTTTTTTTTTTTTTTTGTGTTGCCGTATCGAGACAGGACTTAGATGGCCTCCACTAAACCCTGTTTTATGAAACTTATTTTAATCCACTTATGATGATTTAGCCATTTGAATATATTGAATTTGATGTCATTCTTCAATGGTTAAGGGATCTTTTAAAATATTGAGTTTTATGTCATTCTTTGAAGTAAAATAAACCTTTATATATAATTTTAGACGTTGGACCGAAAAAAAAGATCCTGTATTATTTTAGGTAGGCTTATATATTGAGCCAAAAATGCTACAGCTCGCTGCTGTGATATGTTTGCAGGGCCGTCCTCTTATTTAAACGATATTACTAATACATTATAGATAAGATAATTCTAGGTCGGTCTTTCTAGTTGGAGAGCTGAGTCAATCCCTTCTATTTAGCTGCCTGTGGTGGTGGTGGTGGTTTGTTGGGTAGATTTCTGGCCTCCGGCTTGATAGTTGACACTACCTTGATAATTATTTGACCCACCAAAAGAACCTCCTCCTCCACCGTTGATAGCTGTTTGGGCCCCTCCACCCATCCCAGTTCCGCCGCTGCTTGTGGTTTCGCCCCTGGCAGTGCCTTCAACTTGGGTGTTATAGCCCCCATTGTAAGGAGAGCCTCCAGAGGCAGTGGCTCCAACTTGGGTGTTAGAGCCTCCAGTTCCGGAGCCAGAGCCAGTGTAGGTAGAGCCTCCAGCTCCGGTGGTAGGGCTTGTGGGATAACCTCCAGTTCCGGTGGTAGGGCTTGTGGGAGAAGCTCCAGTTCCGGTGGTAGGGCTTGTGGGAGAACCTCCAGCATCGGCGGAAGGAGAGCCCATATTAGCATCAATGCCATCGATCCCTAGGGATGATATATCAATAGAGGTTCCACTCTTTGATGCGGCAGTTGAAACGAATTTTCCGATCACTCCTGCCCATTTTGCCATAGACATGATCAACTCTTTCCTTTGTGACAATGACATTTCCGTTGTTGAATCGCTCCTCGTTTGCGCGCTCAAAGTCTTTCCCATAGACGTTAACGTGTCCAAAACATTACTGTTATCCGCCTGATCACCATCATAAAAGGATTTAAATTTTTTTTTTTTATCAAACCACGGTCAGTTGTTACTTGTTAGTACCACGTTAATTACTTGAATACATTTCGAGGTTTATATATGGGAGATATAAAGTTTACCGATGATCCACCACCTAGTGCAGACATAGCACTGTTTAGGCCCTCAGCTTGCGATTTCAATTCGACGTCAAAGTTTTGCGACCCGGATGACGAGCTTATGAAGTTCATGTAAGACCTTAGCCTTCCGAAGAAGCTCCTGTACTCTGGCTTCAATGGACATTTAAGCTCCAAAAGTTTCACGAACGTCAGCATTCCCTTGCAAGCGAATGGGCTAAAGTCTCTAGATCTTCTGGGAAACTTCCTCAGGTAATGCCTTAATAAAAACGTCCCTTGCACTTCATAGACCGCACTTAGAGCTACTAGTAACAATAGACATACCGCCGACGTAGTTCTTGACATTTTTTGTTTTCTCTGTTTTTTTTTTTTTTTTTTTTTGGTTTTGGAGTTTTACAATTGCTTAATTCTCTACGAAGCAGAATATAAAGGTGCTGCAATGATCTAAATTTAAGTGAACAAAAGAAAACCGCCGACGTAGTTCTTGACATTTTTTGTTTTCTCTGTTTTTTTTTTTTTTTTTTTTTGGTTTTGGAGTTTTACAATTGCTTAATTCTCTACGAAGCAGAATATAAAGGTGCAGAATATAAAGGTGCTGCAATGATCTAAATTTAAGTGAACAAAAGAAAATGGTGGATCGGTTCCAAGGTCCCGAGAGAATCGCACAAGAAGTTCTCTCATGTTTTTCACTTTCTCTTTGGACGCTAAGTTCTGTTGCTCGCCGTGATTTACTTATCTTTCTATTTTTGGAAAGAATCATTTTTCCCATTTAGAATTTGAACTATGAAATATTTTAATGTGGAATTGATGCCAGCACTAAAGTCATATGGTCTAAACTCTAAAGCGAACGTATGTTTTTCATAATTTTCAAAATCTTTTATTTTTATTATAAACCAAAGTTTGTTAGGATAATAACACATGCGAGGGAAAGATGTGCCCCATGCAATCATATAACTTTCTCATCAAGGAACGCTAAGTTTAATTGGAAAAACTAAATAAATGTAGTTTTAAAAACTTTTAGAAATAGGTTTCGAAAATTAATATCTAGACCGAGGAGACATTTCGAGAAAGTTATTGATATCTTGCCTCGATAGTCGACAGTGACACTTGATATGATACGAAAATGTTTAAGACGAAGAAAAAAGATAGTTGACAACTTGACATGATTTCCTAAGGTTGACTGTCCAAAGAATTTTACACGGCGGAAAAACAAGGCACGTTGAAGTCATTTTTCTCTGCTACATATATTTTTTAAAGTTTTTTCTTTTCTTTTGAGATTACATAACTAAATTATATGAAAATAACATTGTTATATTGTTGAGGTACCCACAAGGGGTTCTCAACCAATGGGGATGCTCTCACGTGTTCAAAGAACTTAAAATTAACAAAGAAAGAATAATATGATTTCTTTTACAAAAATATGTGAAAGAAACAAGGACTTTGCTCTAGGCGATCTCCACTCAAATGCTTTCATTTGTAAACCATATTTTAACTTGGATACTTGTACTTTATAAAAAAAAAAAAAACTTGGATACTTGTGTTAGTTTACGAAGCAAAGCTTCCCATATATTATTGAGTGCATACAGTGAAATTTCTAGAAATCAGTAGATCCCCTAGATAATAAGAGATCTTAGGTAGACCTTATTTACTTGGCAAGAGAAAAAGATTATTCAAAAATCCCTTTTATAGGTATCACTCACTTCTGTACGTTAACATACAGAGCGGTTACATTCTATCTGTAATTTTTTTTTTACAGAGATATCACTTGCATATGTCGGTCTATAGGTAGACATTGCTAGCCAAAACCGATCTTAGTTTTATTTACAAAAACGAAAAGAAAATCTAATACTTAGCTAATTTTTATAATATGTGGCTTTACTGGTATGTCTTTCTTGTTGATTCTCGGCGTATTAATGCAGCTTAGCCTTTGAACTTAGTTGTTCTTGACCATCCCCATACTGCCTTGCTGAGTCTGAGATGAGGAGGAAGAGGAAGAGGAAGAGGAAGATGAAGAAGAAGCAGTCTCAACATATTGGCTTGTGACTTGTTCCATCTTTGTGATTGTCTGCTTAATCTCTGTCTGTTGTGCCGATGTCACTGTCTTCGCGGTGACGATTTTACTGTTGATATCTTGTAGTTGTTTGAGAGACTGCAACAACTGATCTTGGCTAGTTTCCATGTTGCTCTTCATCTATCGTACCACAAAGAAAAAAAGAAGATGACTTCATTAAAATTTATTAATCAAAGGAATCATAGACTAAGAGTAAGGGAGTTCACAAACATAATTTGAATCTTAACACACCTTTGCTGATTTGCTCATCCTTGAACTCACTAAAGCCATCGCTTCAGTGAGTTTAGTAGAGGCTGCTCTTGTGGTAGAAACATAGTCCTGCTCGGTTTTGGAAGAAATCGTCGAGGAGGCAGTCATGGAAGCCTTCAACTTCTCGAAGAAGAGCTTGAGCTCTGACTGTGATGAGTACTTCTTCTCGAGCCCCATTACGAATGACATTACTTCTTTGGAAGTCTCAGTCTCGACTTGTTTCACTGATGTGCTAGATGATGCTGTAGCTGTGCTTCCGCTCATGGTTGAAGAAGCACTTCCGGTCTTGGTTGAAGAAGCACTTCCGCTAGCACCTTGGGCCTTGACTTCTTTCTTCTCGGAAGAGGCACTTCCGCTAGCACCTTGGGCCTTGACTTCTTTCTTCTCCGAAGAGGCACTTCCGGCCTTGGTTGAAGAAGCACTTCCGCTAGCACCTTGGGCCTTGACTTCTTTCTTCTCGGAAGAGGCACTTCCGGCCTTGGTTGAAGAAGCACTTCCGGCCTTGGTTTCTTTCTTCTCCGAAGAGGCACTTCCGGCCTTGGTTGAAGAAGCACTTCCGGCCTTGGTTTCTTTCTTCTCGGAAGAAGCACTTCCGGCCTTGGCTTCTTTCTTCTCGGCCTTGGCTTCTTTCTTTGCAGCCTTGGCTTCTTTCTTCTCAGCCTTAGCTTCTTTCTTCTCGGCCTTGGCTTCTTTCTTCTCAGCCTTGGCTTCTTTCTTCTCGGAAGAAGCACTTGCACTTGCACTTGAACTTGCGCTTCCTTTGCTAGAGGATTTACCTTTGACAGAAGTCTCACCAGAAGGGCTGCTAGTGGGACTTCCACTCGGGCTGCCGGAACCAGTAGTGTCTTTGAAAGTGGCTCCACTTCCGGTTTTGGTTTCTTTTGACTTGGAAGAGCCACTTCCGGTTTTGGTTTCTTTTGACTTGGAAGAGCCACTTCCGCTCTTGTTTGAGGATGCATTTTCGGTTTTCTTTGATGCGGCTCCACCGCTGGCTTCTTTTGTCTTGGCAGAGGCTTTTTCGCCACTGGCCGCAACAGCTCCGATTTTGGTTGAGGATTCTGATTGGGTTTTGGTTGAGGATGAAGAAGCGGCTTTGGTTGAGGATGAAGAACGGGTTTGGGTGCTTGTTGTGCTTCCCATGATTGCTTGGTCGTTAACATCGACGTCAAGCCCGTAAGTTGCAATATCGATTGTCTTTCCTTTCGTCTCAGAGGCGGTCTTCACGAATGTAGCGATCATTTTAGTCCACTGCACCATAGCCGTGACTAAGGATTTCTTTTGAGTTAGCGACATCACCACTGTACTCTTCTTCTGCTGAACCAAAGTCTGTCCCATAGAAAGCATGGTCGCCTTGAATTTCCCTGCATCAGCCTGTTTTGCAATATTAAATTAAGGAGGCAATTATTATATATAAAAAACTGAAACACAAACTTTTTTTTTTTGTGTGTGGGTGCCACCATTATATATTAGTATTAGGGTTTACTAGGAGGACGTACTGATTTTGCGGCAGCACCACCATTCAATGCAGACATAGCCTTGAAGAGGCCATCACATTTTGTTGTCATCTTCGCGTTGATGTTTGTCGACGTGGTTGATGACGTTTCGATGAAGGTCATGTAACTCTTAAACTGTGTAAAGAACTCTTTGAACTCTACGGTCTGGGGACAACCAACTTCCAGGTCGGTCGCGAAGGTTATCATACCCTTGTTAGCGTAAGGTGTAAACTCGTTGCACGTTCTTGGGAAATTGCTCCTCAAGTAGTTCTTTAACAAGAAGTGTCCTTGCGCTTCGTACATCACGCTTGATGCTACAAGAAACATCAGACATATCCCTAGTGAAATTCTTGCCATTTTTTTAAAAGAGAAAACAATACTAAACATTTTTTTTTTTTTTTTTTTTTTTTTGTCCTTCCTGTTGGAATGATTTTATTTTGAGGGAGAACCGGGGTATATATAGATGCTTAGAATGTCTAAAATATAAGTGAATAAGAGAAAAAGGTGGATGATCTAAGGTCGCGAGAGAATAGCAGAGAGGAGGTTCTCATATTTCATTGCTCTATTTTGACGGTAATTTTACTTGGTGTCCATGTTTTTCTTCAAACTATTTTTAGAAGGATCAATCTCGAGTGAATTTGCAATTGGCAATAACGAAATGGAACAATGGAACGTTAAGTAAATTCTTATAGTGACATACAATTACTTTTATATTTATGTACGTACGTAATTTATTCGATTCTGCCATAAATTGATCTGATACCAAAAGCGTGATTTTTTTCTCATAACTGTTACTTTATTCATAACATGTTTTTTTTGTATTTCCTGATGTAGACGTCTAATTTATCAATTATCATTACATGGGCTCCTAATAATGCTACTGTAAAGAAATCATAATTTTTTTTTTTTTTTTTTTTTGGTTTTAATGTTAAGAAAGAAATCATAATTTTTCTTACTTCTATTGTATAAATTAGACGTCCACAGGTCTACGTAAAACGATACCATGGTAAAAAACAAAAATCCGTTCCACATAAGTACATAACATTTGAGAATTTGACTGATTTAAATGATGTAGTTGTGGGTGCGAAAATTTGTAAAGTGGATGATTGTGGTTAAGTGGATCAACAAGCAGTTTATACGATAACGACTCATTGACTTGATAAAAACTAAATAAACATATTATATAATTATAAAACCATCATAAAAATATTACTATGAGAAATCTAATATATTATTTGCGAAGTGATTATTTCGTTTCCAGCCACCACGTTAACTCTCAGCTGGTTGATTACTCGGTTACCCTTAATGAAAATTCTATTTTTAAATCTTCATAATTTCCTTTTTTATTTTCACGATTTATATTTTTTATTTAAAATATTTTATGATGATAATAATCCTAACTACTATATTACGCGCCACAATTATGTAAAAATTAGAATATTTGGAAAGAAAAAAAAAGGAAAACCTAGGTTTCTTAACCGACTATATTTTATATAAATAGATAGCAATATTGAAAATCTAAACAATCCACAATTCTTCAACCTAGAGGTGAGATACTTTCTTCGAATCCATATATCATCTTCTCTCATGTAGGTTATTCATTTTTAGTTTGATCTTACGTATGTACCTTTAAGTTAAAGTCGTATAATCAGTCGATATGTTCTCTGTTCGACAATAGATTCACAGGAATATCCGATCCATTCATGATTTCTTCAGTCTGAAAAAAATAAAAACAGAACCAATGATGCCGAGATCCCTAGCTTCATGACGCTTTACTTCGAAAATCCTGATCATCAAGGTCACCAAGTTGGCCCTGATGATCCTCAAGATCACAGAAGCTGTAGTGAACATCGATAGGTTAATAGGAAGAATCATCGATGGGAATCAAAACAATCCACGATTTTTTTTCTTGACGTGAGATAATTTCTTTGTTTTAGGCTGATTCGTTTTATTCTTTGATTCATCTTTTGTCATGCAGTCGTTTTTCTTTAGATCTGAGTGTTATTAGCTATAATGATTAACTGATTATTCATAATTTTCTGTAAATTTTATTAGTCAAATCCATCTTATTTGTGTTCTTAGTGTTATATCAATATCTGCACATGGTAACCCTAGCGGTTTTTGAACTCAGCAAGCTCTGGAATTGAGTATAGATGAATCTCTTGGGTCTGAAGTTTTGAAATTCGAGTGATGGATTCTGATACCGATTAGGACATGGCTATGCTGGATATTTGAGATGAATGAGCTTAAGCCGTTTATTAGGTTTTAGTTTGAAACCCTATCGCCTTTACTCAAGTAAGATGGATCGAAGGAAACCCTGCTAGAATACAGTTTTGGTTTGGAGACTTGCTCAAATATACAACCAAGACTAGGATTAATTGTCATCTCTTATTCCCTTGGCGAATACTTACTTTCGTAAGAATAATTTATTCTGAAAATATGATTGTAGCTGGAAACGTTTGATATCTTCATAGACCTTCTGATCTGAAAATCTAGCTTTCATTATTAGCCATACTTCTTCTGTTGAAACCGTCATGCGTAACACTCCAATCATCTTCTCAGTTTTGGAAGTTCTGATTAGTTAGAGTATGTTATTTTCTTAATGAAAGGTGTGTAAGATCTGCTACAGAAGTTGCTGGGTTCAGGGTGGAGTATAATTTGGAACTGATGTGGAGAAACTCATGACCATGTAACTTTGGAGTCGGTCATATATATTTTTTTCTGTGGGAGCCCTAACATCGTCCTAGCCTTTTGCTTTCAAAGTCAGAAACTGAGAGTTTAAAGGAACATAAACCATTGATGTTACAGATGCTGTTGTGTCCAACATCTGTGCTGATAGTAGATTGATTCAGATATTGATATTAAACGGAAGTTACGGAACCCTAGCAATTGCTATTGTCTCTGTTAACACTTTATGGTCGATTTACAGTTTTTAGGTTAATATAAACTTTTGGATTGATCGATGATCAAAGGGTTGTGGCTCTTGAAGTTGACTTCGCCAACAGGTTGTGCTCTTGGCAGGGGATGTGTCCAAGTCTGTAAACCGTAACCTTAAATCCTTGTGATATTGTGAACACTTTTAAACTTTGACTTTGTTTCTAATGTGAATGGTTTCATGAAATCACATGAAGAGATTTGGTTCATGATCAATCCAGAATCGATCGCTGGTATGCTCTTCTTAGCTGCAATGCGTAGATCATGAAGATGGATTACAGGGAGTTGGGGATGTTTTGCTTATGGTGGAGATCGTGAGCTAAAATCCCTTCTTCAATGGATTAATTATTTAATTGTTTCATAGATTATAATCTTAAACTTTTTCTTACCATCAATTGCTTAATTATCGATTCAATATTTTTTTTACATTCATTTCGGGAAAGAAGACCTTTCATGTCTTATTACACTTTTGGATTTAATCTCTCTTATAGGTACGAGAACGATAACGGACATGTGATAATATATATATATTCTTAAAACTCTTTCAGACATGTGATTACACCTTTGGATTTAACCTCTCTTAGGTTTTCTCACAATACCTTTTCCTTACAACGTGATGATTTCACTTTGACATGCAATAAAAATCGAGATAAAGTGGAGGAGGAAGACGAAGGTGCTTAGGAAGGAGGGAGGAGAGTAAGAAACAAAGGAAAGTTGGAAAACAAAAATGGAAAAAAAAGAAGAAAAGAATTAACAAATATGAAAACAAATAAAAAGTAAAAAAAACTCAAAAGATAAAGAAAAATGAAGAATACGTATACAAAACTATTAAAAAAACAAATTGTAAATATAGGGAAGAAAATAAATAAAACAAGAAGATAAAAAATGGCGATGAAAAAAAATGAAAAGAAAAAAAATATTAAAATGTTGGATAAAAAAATGGTAAACAGTGAAGGAAACAAAAATTTGAAGAAATAGAAGACAAAATAAAAGAAGTAGATACTTTGAAATACGAAGAAGTCTGAGCATATGAATGTGACAAGGTGGGGAAATAATTAATGAAGATCAAAAATCGAAAGACGAAGATGATATAGATAGACAGAGGGGAAATGAAGACGAACAAAAACCGGAAAAAGAATGTAAAGAAAATTAGAAAGAAAAAAAAGAATAGATAGTTGGAGGATATGAAAACATAATAAAAGATTCATGGAAGAAGAAGATGAAAAAAAAAGATGATGACAACGAATAAAAAAATAGAAGAAAAAGAATAAGGTGGGATCACTGAGAAGAATAAGAGGAAGAAGAAAACAAACATTTCAAAAAGACCTTTTAAAAGAAAAAAAAAAAGTAAATCCAAAACCAATTTGTAATGTGGGATTCATGTGTATGATTTAAGGGGAGATTATAATGTGGCTTTGGGTTTAGGGTGTAAAGTTGTTTAGGGTGAGTTATAATGTGAGTTTGGGTTTAGGATGTAGGGTTATTTAGGGGAGGGTTATAATGTGGTGCTTGGGTTTAGGGTGTAGGAAGTATATTGATGGGTGTAGGGTTTAGTTTCTGGTGCATTTTTAAAAAATTGAATTATTATAGACCTATATCACAATTTAAAATCATTGACTATAAAGTAAATACAACTGAAAAAACAAAACTGATATAGGTCATTTTAGAATGGTTGTAAATGTGATACAACTGAAAAATTTATTTGTAAATGAACAATTTAAAATGAACCGATACAGTTAGGTCAATTTAAAATCATTTTAGAATGCTAGATGAAAGAAATACAACTGAAAAAACAAATAACAAAAAAGGTATGAGGAGATGAAAAAGAAGAAATATAAGATGTGAAAAAATAAATAAAAGAAGAGAAAGTGGAAAACAAAACTGATAAATAAGATGTTGCAAAAAAGAAAAACATTGATAACACAAAATGATGAAGAGTACAATATGAAATAAGAAGAAAAACCTGAATAAAAATAAGGAAAAGACAAAAGGCGAAGACGGAAAAAACGAAAAACAAAACAAAACAAAAGAAGAATATGTGAACAATAAAGAGGTTGGAAAAATCAAAAGATAATGAATGAATAAGAACACAAAGACAATTGAAAAAAAAATTGTAAATAAAAGGAAGAAAATGGATAAAAAACCCGGATATAAAAAGCAGACCATGAAGAGAGAGAACAATAAAAAGAGAATAGAAAATTTGACAAGAATAATAAAAAATTGGTAGAAAATGAAGAAAAAATATGAAATAAGTAAAAGACAAAATAAAAGAAGAAGATAAAATGGAGTTGGGGTTTACGATGTACAGTTTATAATTATGGGCATAACGTTTAGTTTTTGATGCACTTTAAAAATTTGAATACACTACATTAGCAATGAAAAAAATATATGTTAAAATAAAATAAAAATAAAAACAAATCTAGAACTAATATGTAAAATATGGGGTTCGGGTGTGCGGTTTAGGGGGATGGGGGGTTATAATGTAGGGTTTGGGTTTAGGGTTGTTTAGGGGGCGGGTGGTGTTACACTGTGGGATTTGGGTTATTTATAGGGTGGTGTTACACTGTGGGACTTGGATTTAGGGTGAAGGGTTTATTTTGGCGGTGTAGGGTTTAGTTTTTTGTGCATTTTTAAAAATTTGAACTATTATGAAAGAATTGCATAATTAAAAATCATTGATTAAAAATTTATATCTATTTTCTAAATTACATTCACAAATAGAAATGTTAAAACAATTAAAGCAAATCCAAAATCGAAAGATAACAAAATCAATAAATTTTTAAAAGATCTCGACTATATAAAGATAAAAACTATTTCACAAATCTTTGAAAATCTAAATTATCGAATGAATTGATAGGTGAAATACAAGATATAGACAAGAACAAATAAAAACCCAAGTAAAAGAAAAAAAAGATGAAAAATTTGGAGAAGAAGAAGAAAACTCGAATATAAGGAAAGATAAATTAAAGAGGAAAAATTGGAATGTGAAGAAAATTCCAAAGATTACGTAGAAGAACGTGAAAGAGAAGACAAAAATAAAACATATCAAGATTACAAAAATAAGAAGTTTGCGAAAACAAAAATGATGAATACAATACAAAATTTCACTACTTATATTATTAAAATCTTTGATTAATCAATATATTTAGAAAATATTGTACCCGCACAAGGTGCGGGACAACCACCTAGTTATAAAATTATTAGTCAACATAATTACTGATATTCAATGTTAGTGCTCCTACAAGATCAAGATGTCGCTCTACCTCGTGAAAACGGATTTGACATCCCAAGGAATCAGGATATTCCGTAAGCTCGTATTCTAACTGGAAGTGGATCTCATATAATTTTTCAGCTAGGAAAGTATTAACTTAAACATGAAATATAGACAGGCTACCAATTGTGTTAAACTTATGAGAGTTGTAGTTAAATGAAATGGGTCATAAATTGTATAGCAATTCAGTGTTTCAAAATTACTAAGGTATTGAGGTCATGGAGAAGGTACTAAGAGCATCCTCAACGGTGAGATACTATCATGACTTGGAAAGTTATCTGAACTTTTTTTGTTTGACCATCTTTATGAGAGAGACTTTAAGGATGTCTTAAGAAATAATTAAAAAGATGTATTAATATTGTATTAAAAATCTATTGGAGAGTATGAGGACCTAGTGTCTAAAATGTATTTATTAAGTTTTTTTTGTTGAGTGTCTTACTATACATAACACATCTATTATATAACATTACTATTTTATGAATTAATCTATGTTAAGACACTCGTACAAAGTTGTGCAACGGAGATGGTCTCAAGGTTCTCATATGAGGACTGGTAATGTCCCTCTTTTCTCATTTTTCATTTTTTTTTTCACTTTTTTAATTATGAGATTCTCACTCAAAATCCACTGATGGGGTTGCCCTAAGGATCCAAGAACAGAGACTGTAGCAAGATTGATTTTAAGTAGCAACTAGCAATTTAAATCAAGTAAATACTCTTGTTAAAACTAGAACAAGAGCAGAGACATGCATGTTAAAACTAGAACAATAGTGAGAACTGAGAATACTCTTAAGTCTTTAAAGACTAACTATGAATGAAGCTAACGTACAGTTGCAAGGTGTTATGGCAAAATTGAGTATCTTTTTTTTTCTCTTTATAAGTTTGATTTAATATTTCAATATACTGCCTGCCCTCTCCCATCCCATGAACTCTGGATCTACTGTCCGTATTCAAACGGGTCAGGTCCGGATATCCTGATTCCCCAGTCCAACCGTTGTTTCAATTTCAAGTTACGTGCTATCATCAGAGGATATATACATAGATTATAATCAAGAACATGTATCAAGCGCATGTTGAATGTGACGAATAATTCAAGGGGTTTGGTTCAAAAATAATGATAATTGAAGGGTTGGGACAAGCATGACCACAACTTTAGTATCTATTATTGGACACAGTTGAACTAATCAATTTCATATAATTTGATCCTTCTAAATATATATTGAAGAGAAATGCGGACAGCAACATAAAATATGAAAACTGAGAGAACCTATTATGCTATTCTCCCGCGACCTTAAATCAATCCACAATTTTCTGTTGCTCACTTAAAATAGACATTTTAAGAGAATCTATATAACCTCAGCTTCTCCTACAAACTCAAATCATTCAAAAATAAATAAAAAAAAAGAAAAAAAAATCTTTAAAAAAAAAGAAAGAAAAAAAGAAATAATAATCTATACACTGTTCTAGGTTTCCTCTAATAAGAAAAAATGGCGAAAAATACACTAGCAATCTGTCTGATGTTTCTAGTAGCATCAAGTGTGGTCTATGAGGCGCAAGGGACATTCCTTTTAAAGATGTATTTGAAGAGGAAGCTTTTCCCGAGAAGGTGCGTCGACTTCACACCTTTCGCATGCAAAGGTATGTTGATGCTGGCGAGCAACCTTGAAGGTGGATGTCCGGCGACTAGAGAGTTCAAGAATTTTTTTGTACAGTTCAAGTCGTACATGTCCTTCATCAGCTCCGTACAGGTCTCATCATCGAAATCCATCGATGTTGATTTGACATCGAGATGCGAGCTGCTCTCCAAGGCTATGACTCTATTGAATGGTGCACAATCAGTAAGTCCTCTTATTACATACGTAGATTCAACCCCAAGAAATATACAATAATTAAGTTTCTGCTGTATTCTTACGTACTGATCTTTGTTTTTGGAACAGTCGAGTGACGATTTCAAAATGACCATGTTGTCAATGGGAAAGACTATGGTGGAGCAGAAGAAGAGAGGTTCAATGATAATGACAATTTCTCAAAGGAAAGAGTTGGTCATCTCTATGGTGAAATGGACTCGACTGGTCGCTACATTGATGAAGACAGCTGCCGAGAAGAAAGGAAAGTCCATCGATATATCATCTTACGGACTCGACGTCGATGTTAATGCCAGTGTTGGAAGCTCGAGTGAAGCTTCTTCATCCTCCCAAACCGAAAGCCAAAACACCGGAAGCCAAAACACCGGAAGCCAGAACACCGGAAGCCAAAACACCGGTTCCTCTTCCACAAGCCAGGGATCATCAGGAAGTGCCACATCCAGCAGACAAGGAAGCCAGAGTTCCACTAACGGTGGAGCTGCTTCCTACAGTGGAGGTGGAAGTGGAAGCACTTACCAAGACACTACCGGTGGATCAGGTTCGGGAAGCCCCAGTGGAAGTAGCCCGAGTGGAAGTCCCACCCCGAGTGGAAGTAGCCCGAGTGGAAGTCCCACCGGAAGCCCAAGTGGCTCAGCTTCTGATAGTGGCTCAGCTTCTGCTAGTGGCTCAGCTTCTGCTAGTGGTGAAACCTCTGTGAAAGGAAGCGCTTCCAAGACCAAGGAATCCAAATCCGAAAGCAAAGGTGCAGCTTCTTCTGAGAGCAAACAATCCAGCTCTGGATCTTCGAGCCAAAGCGGAGGTGGAACCACATACTCAGACACTACTGGTGCAACTTCTGGCAGCCCTAGTGGAAGTCCCACCGAAAGTCCCTCTGGAAGTCCCTCCGGAAGCCCATCTGGCTCAGCTTCTCTTAGTGGTGAAACCTCCGTGAAAGGAAGCGCTGAAAGCAAAAGTGCAGCCTCTAGCGAAAGCAAAGGTGCAGCCTCCAGCGAAAGCAAAGGTGCAGCCGAGACCGAGAGCAAAGGTGCAGCTTCCACCGAAAGCAAAGGTGCAGCCGAGACCGAGAGCAAAGGTGCAGCCGTGACCGAGAGCCAAGGTGCAGCTTCCAGTACAACTAGTAGTAGTTCATCATCCACTTCATCGGTGAAACAAGTCGAGACTGAAACTTCGAAAGAAGTTATGTCATTCATATCGGGACTCGAGCAGAAGTATGCATCAAAGGCAGAACTCAAGGTCTTCTTCGAGAAACTGAAGACTTCTATGTCTGCTTCCTCCAAGATTTCCACCACCGACACAAACAGCTTCCTCTCTGGAATGAGATCTGCTGTTGGGACACTATCCCAAGCGATGGGTTCCGTGCGTTCAAAGGCTACCAAAGAGGAGGTGCGTAAGAAAAAAAAAATAACATTCATCATTATTTTCATAATTTTAATATCTGATTCCTTTAAATAAAATATACTCATCTTTTTTTATATTCTTTGTTGTGTGATAGTCGAAGTCCAGCATGCAGAGTAGCGAACAACAAGTGATAAAGACTCTCAAAGAACTAGAAGACGTTAACAGTAAAATCGTGAGCCAGAGTCAAGGCAAGACAGTGTCGTCGACACAACAGACAGAGCTTAAGCAGACACTCACTAAATTCGAACAAGTCACGACCCAATATGTGGAGACTGCTGCTTCTTCAAGTTCATCTTCATCTTCGTCTCAGCAAGGCATGGCGATGAAGTCCCAGAGCCAGGCCAGTTAAGCTACACTAATGCGCCGCAAATCACCAAGAAAGACAAACTAGCACCGCCAAATATGATGATAATTAGTAGCTAACTAGAGATTTTTTAATTTTTTTTTGGTTTTCAATAAAACTAAGATCGGTATAGGCTAGCAGTGTCAACCTATAGACCGACGTATGCAAATAAAAACTTTGTAAGCAGTAACGATAGACTGTATGCGCTCTCTCTATGTTATGATAGAGAAGTGAGCGAGACCTTTCCATGAAAGGGATTTTGAATAATTTTCTTCTCCTTCTTATATTAAATATAAAATAATTCTTTTATTCTTTTGATCGTGGTAGTTTCTAGGAGACTAGTGTGATGATCATGATTCATGATGATGAAGATAGAAAAACATAATCATAATAGAATACTAGTTTGTTGCTAAAAGCCAATAATTGTTTTGAAAAAATCCGGGTAACCTTGCTTCTATGAATATTGAATGTATTGATTTCATAGAATGACTAGGTTACATATTTATACAAGAATACAGAGGAGACTAGGTTATACAAAAGTACAGTTTGACCCTTTCCATATATACATACACACACCCTTAATACGCCCCCTCAAAATGGAGACACTCTTGTGACTCCAATCTTGCTACATGCTGTGGTGAATGGTTGTCGCGACAACGGTTTTGTTAGAGCATCAGCTAATTGATCTTTGGTGGAGACATGAGAGACACGAAGGATACCTGCTTGAATCTGGTTCCGGATGAAATGGTAATCAAGTGCAATGTGTTTCATCCTTGAGTGAAAAACAGGATTAGCACAAAGATATGTAGCGCCGATATTGTCACAATATATGGTAGGTGCAGCAGGTACAGAGAGTCCAAGTTCAGTAAGAAGGGAACAAATCCATCGTACCTCAGACGATGTGTTTGCAACAGCACGATACTCCGCTTCCGTCGACGATCTGGCGACTCCTTTTTGTTTCTTCGACGACCATGATATCGGATTGCTGCCGAGATAGACAATGTAGGCATTTGTGGAAACATAATCATCAGTGTCACGTGCCCAATCCGCATCTGAGAAAGCATGAAGAGTGAGAGGTGAATCTGCCTTGAGGAAGATGCCATGCGTGATGGTTCCCGCGAGGTATCTGAGTACCCGTTTAGCAGCTTGCCAATGTTCTACAGTTGGTCGATGCATGAATTGGGACAAACGGTTCACGGCGTAGGAGATGTCTGGACGAGTGAAAGCGAGGTACTGGAGGCTTCCGACAACAGAACGGAACTGAGATGCATCTTCGAGTGGGGTGCCACCATGGAGAGTCAGTTTTGGAGAACCAGGCAGGGGAGTAGACACCGGTTTCGCGTCAGTCATGTTATTCTTTGCCAAGAGGTCAGAGATATACTTCCGTTGCATCAAGTGAAGACCTTGGCGCGTCCGTGTAGCTTCAATACCGAGAAAATAGTGAAGATCAACTGGATCCTTGATAGAGAAGCGATTAGCAAAATCTTCCAATACAGAAGCCACGTCCTTAGAGTCATTACCTGTGACAAGAATGTCGTCGACATAAACCAAGACATAAGTGATTTTGGAGTTCCGATTACGGATGAATAGAGATGCATCCGCCAAAGAGTTGACAAATCCGGTTGTGAGAAGATGTTGCTTCAGAGCATTATACCATGCCCGTGGGGCTTGTTTTAAACCATAGATCGGTTTGCGTAGTCGACAAACGTGTGTAGGCCTGTCCTTATCAACAAAACCTGGAGGCTGAGACATATAGACTTCTTCAGTGAGATCTCCTTGTAAGAAGGCATTGTTGACATCCAATTGCTTGATTTGCCAGGATTTAGCCACAGCGATGTCAAGAATCAAGCGAATAGTAGTTGATTTGATCAATGGGCTAAAAGTTTCCAAGTAGTCGACACCATACCGTTGATTGAAGCCTTTAGCGACTAGTCTAGCTTTGTTGCGCTCGAGTTCGCCGGTGGAGTGATATTTGAGAGTGAAGACCCATTTGCATCCGACGACATTTTGATTCGGCGCCGGAGGAACAAGATCCCAAGTACGATGTCGCATTTGGGCATCGTATTCTGTTGACATCGCTCCACGCCAACGTTTATCCTTCAAGGCTTGGGTGACAGATGTAGGTTCACGATTTGGTGGTTTGACATAGAGAGCAGCGAGTGAGTATTTGGCTTTTGGCTTGGTAATATTGTTTTTGGCTCTGGTTTTCATTTGATGGGTATTTGGTGGTGGTTCAGGAGGTGGATTTTGGATAGCGACGGTGGTGTTGGATTGAGAGGCGGCACCGGAGTCGGAACGAGGTTGAATTGGTTGAGGGAGAATAGGATTCGTGGACTGGGATGGCTGGGCCGTGGGTTGCGACCCATTATGAGTGTGAGCAGTGGGCTCAGTGGAAGCAGAGGTTGGCTGGGCCGTGGGTTGCGGCCCATTTTGATTTTGAGCAGTGGGCTCTGTGAGTGTGTGCAATGAATCAGGAGAAAGTTGAGGAGGCAATACCTGAGACGACGATGTCGTATTGTGCGGCAGCGGCGATGGCGAGTGGGGGTGAAGATCGGAGCACGGAGGGGTTCCCATCGGAAATTGCAGGCGAGTGACTGGAGGCGAATCGTCGACCGGCGGAGTGGACTCGTTAGTAATCTTGGGTGTCGAGGAATCAGAGAAGGGGAAGATGTGCTCAACGAATTTCACATGTCTCGAAGTGTAGATCCGACCAAAGGCTAAGTGGAGGCAGTAGTATGCACTCTGGGTCAGTGAGTATCCCATGAAGGTACATGGCATCGAGCGGTCCTCAAGTTTGTGTGAGGTGTACGGTCGAAGCCAAGGGAAACAGAGTGAGCCAAAAACACGAAGCTTCTCATAGTTTGGTGCGGCGCCGAACAGTTTTTGAAACGGTGACGCAAGCGACAGCAACGGCGTGGGAAGACGATTAATCAGATAGACCGCCGTCGAGAAAGCATAGGGCCAGTAGGATTTCGGCATGGAAGCCGTTGACAGAAGAGTCAATCCCGTCTCAACAATGTGACGGTGTTTCCTCTCCGAGATACCGTTGTGCTCCGGAGTGTGTGGTGGAGAGGTAAGATGACTGATTCCGTGAGTGGCGAGAAATTCCCATAGAGCAAGAAATTCTCCACCGTTATCAGAGTAGAGAGTGCCAATTTTGGAGTTGAATCGGTTTTCCACCAGAGATTTGAAGGTAATGAACACTTGCTTGACATCCGACTTGCGTTTTAAAGGGTAGAGCCATGTATATCGGGTAAAGTGATCGACGAGGACGAGATAGTATTTGTAGTTATCTTGAGACAGAATAGGTGAGGATCAGACATCTGTGACGATGATTTGTAGAGGTTTATTTGAGGTAATGGAAGTTTGAGAGAATGGAAGTTTATGGCTCTTATTAATGAGACATTCGGAGCAAGACAAGTGTTTTTGTGAAGAAGAAGAAACTGGTAAAGAAAACTTGGAAACAACAGAAGATAAAATGGAGGACGAGGGATGACCCAGACGGCAGTGCCAGGATGTCAAGGTCGTCTTGGAAGTTGGTGATGCAAACAGGGAGACAGCCTGATGTGGAGAGACAGGCCACTCATAGAGCTCGTTCTTAGTTCGGCCTTGGAGTAATGGGACCCCCGTGCTCAGATCCTTCACCTAGAATGAAGCAGGAAAGAATTCAACCGAAACTTAGTTAGTATTACATAACCGATAGACTGAGATAAGATTCTTGTTTATGTCAGGAATACATAGAATTTTATTCAGTAATAAATTGCGTGCAGAGGAGGGAAGTAGGGTGGAACCCGTGTGAGAGATGGCCAGATTGGAGCCATCAACGATCATCACATCATCACCTCCATTGTAGGGCTGGTGGAGGGAGAGATTATGGAGATCAGAGGTGATATGGTGTGTAGCACCACTATCAAGGAGCCAGTTTGAGGCTGTGTACGGTGATCCAACGGCAAGGTTCGCACGAGGCTGCCAAGGTGTAAATGGCTGAGGTGAGTTTCCCGGTTGTTGGAGCGCAAGAAGTTGAGGACATCTTCTGGCACTGTGACCTTGAACACTACAGATCTGGCACTTCCCCAGGTATGGTCGTGGGGTGCGTGAGTCAGATCTGTTGTTGTATTGCTGTTGGGACATGTTGTTGTTGTGCCTTCGATAGTTTTTGTTGTTGTTGGTTGTGCGATTGTTGTAGTAGTGATTGTTGTTTCGGTGTTGAACAACATTAGCAGAGGCAGGAACAGCGGCTGGAGAAGCAACAACTGCAGAGAGTAACTTCGCTTCATGATTGAGTAGACGCTCGTGGATCTCAGTGATAGTAGGAGGAGTGTCTTTGCCTTCGATCTGGTCCACCACAGGTTTGTACTCCTCAGGAAGACCTTCAAGGATGGTTTCGACTTGGTCCTCATGATCCATGGCTTTGCCAAGGATAGCTAGTTGATCCAGCCTCGTCGTTACACCTTGTAGGTACTCATCGATTGTCTTGTTGCCCTTAATCCAGTTTTTGAGTTGTGTTTTGAGCTGTTTGATGTGGCCACGGCTAGGCTTTGCATAGGTGGATGCAAGCGTAGACCAGATCTGGGAGGAGGTAGTCGCACGAGACACCAAAGGCTGGAGAGGTGTGGATATGGCGCCTAGCAGAGCGCTGTAGATCAGCTGATCTTGTCTCTTCCAGAGAGTATACGCCGGATTGGTTGTGGTGACATCTCCAACGGTCTGCGTGGCAGCAGGAATCGTGAGAGATTCATCAAGATGATCCGCAAGAGCATGACCATCAAGTAGAGCGTGAACTTGGAGACTCCACATCAAGTAGTTGGATGTTGTGAGTTTCGAAACACTGGTCATGTTGACATGGAGGACAGTGTTTGTGTTCAAGGCAAGGGTTTCAGTCAAGTTGGCTGAAGTGTTGGTGTCTGAAGTAGACATGGCGGCTAGGTTTTGAAAAGAAAAAAAATATATTTAAGTTTTGAATCGTAATGGCTCTGATACCATATGAATATTGAATGTATTGATTTCATAGAATGACTAGGTTATATATTTATATAAGAATACAGAGGAGACTAGGTTATACAAAAGTACAGTTTGACCCTTTCCATATATACATACACACACCCTTAATAGCTTCTACCTAAAGTATAGAAAAATGTGAGAAGTCCTGAGAACGATGAAATGTTATTGTTATTACTTATTACTGTTTTTTTTTTTTTTTTTTTTTTTTTTTTTTTTTTGATAACTCAGGGGTAAATCCTAGATCTATGGTTGGACCCAGACTAATCCCGTGGGGGAGGTGCAGCCCATGGATAGACCCTCTCTCCGGATATTCAAATGGGACGTAAGCAGAGGCCCATATCCGTGTAGGTGTCCAGAGAAATCGTGAGTAAGTTCCCTCTAGGGAGGTTTGAACTCACAATCTGGATACAGGAAGGAGCCCATTCTTGCCATTGGACCACGATGCTCCGAACTATTACTTATTACTGTTACAAACGAATTATGTACTGTAGCATATAATTATTACTTATTACTTATTACAAATTATTACTTATTACTTATTACTGTTGCAAACAAATTATGTACTGTAGCACATAATTTCAAACTATTGTTTTTAAGAAGAGAGTCTGGTGAATACCATCCGTTCACCAAAAAATTAAGTAAACAAAATATCAATGAAGCTTAAAATATTTAAAAAATAACAAAGAGAACATTTAAAGAAAACCATATATACCATATATTTCCTTTTTAATTTATTGTAATTACATAAATTGCCATTCAAGTTAAAATGGCCGCCAACACTATTAGCTTTGCATTCATCACCGGTGGTACTGTAGCCGATACAATTTTTCTGATAAATTGTAGAACAATTGGCAACTATGAAATTAATTATCAAAATTTGTAACAGGTTTCGCAGATTTGTACAAATCTCCATGTAAATAAACAAGTATTATTTACCTTACCGTTAATTAATAAATTAGTATTTTTGCTAATAATTAATCAATTTTATTATTTTACTTAATAAAATCGAGGATCTTATAAACAAATACAAGTAAAAGAAAATCACACATACATTTTTTATAATAAAAAACATTTTGGTAAAACCATATTTATATTATTAATTGAGAAGTACATGAAAAATTTATGACCAAAAACCAATCTAATTATAAAGAGAAAATGTTTGGCAACAGATTTAATGAAGGTCAATTTAGTACATTGAAATGTTTGGATACAAGATAAATTAGAAAAAACTTTTTGGATAGAAGAATAAATGATTTTTGGATACAAGAATAATAACTTAAAACAAACCGACGGTTTAGAAAACTTCTGTTTTCCAGCTCTTAAAAATCTGCAAAAAATAAAACTTAACATAATCTAACGATAATACCAAATCAATAGAATATACTTTTTGGGTTTAAGTGAAAATCTGAGACCTAATTTTATACAGATATAGAGATATAGAAATTGTTCGGGTTTCTTTGAAAATTTCTGTTCGGGTTGGGTTCGAGTGTTTTTTTTCTTTTCAGTTTAGGCTTTTCCAGATTTTTTTGATTTCGGGTTTTCGGGTTTAGATATATTAAAAAAGTATGAGTATTTTAAAATTTTGATTAGGGTATTTGGGTCGGGTTCCGGGTGAAAAAGTTTCCAGATTTTTTTGTTCAGCTCAGGGTTTTGAGGATTTTTTTGATTTGGATTTTCGGGTTTAGACATATTAAAAAGTTTGGGGTTTTAAATTTTTGATTAGGGTTTTTTGGTCGGGTTCGGATTTAGGGTTTAAATTTTTACACAAAACCACAACGTCACACCGCACAAACGTGCGGGTACTCTACTAGTTATGATATGATAACTTGAAAATGATTAAATCATATTACTAATTCTAGCGCAGGCTAAAAACCTAGTTTGTAGCTATATAGTAAGGAAGTGATGGCTTTCTAAGGGTTATTATTTTTACGTGTTGTTGTGTGTCACGAATCAAATGTATGTCGAAAAAATGTAATAAGGAATGAGAGGATTATAATACTTCTACAAAACATAAAGGATGGATTAGTTTTTAGTGTTAATTTATATGGTGCTGATTTATATTCTAAATATAGAATGATAGAAACCATGAACACAATTTGTCATCCAAATCGGTGATGGAACTTGAGAACCGAATTTCCTTTGCTATTCTCTCGTGACCTTAAACGTATCCACCAATTTCTCTTACTCAAATTTAGAATTTGTAAGCATCTCTATATAAACTAAGTGTCTCTTAGAAAATTAAATCATTCAAAAACCAAAAAAAATAAAAAAAAATTCGAGAAAACTTTACTGAAAAATTAAAAATGGCGAGATTTCCTTTACCAATATGTCTAATGTTTATGCTAGTAGCATCAAGCACCGTATATGAAGCGCAAGGGAGTTTCTTATTAAAACATTACTTGAGAAAATTTCCGACAACGTCCAACGAGTTTGAACCTTTCGCTTTCAAGGGCATGCTTAGTTTTGTGGACAACCTTGAGAGTAAATGTCCCTTAAACGGAGCGTACAAGGAATTCTTTACAAAGCTGAAGGCTTTCATGGCCTTCATAAACTCGGCATCAGGTTCGTCATCAGAATTCCAGTCTCAGTTGAAAGCACAATCTGAGGGGCTCTTCAAAGCTATCTCTGCATTGGGTCTCAAAGGAGTATCATCCGTAAGAGTTTATTTTATTATTATTCATATGGTGACCATATTTGAGAATTAGAACATACTCAATCGTAATTTGAAATGAAAAAGATTTTTGTATGTGTGTTTTTTTGTGTGTGGCTTTGCCGTAGGCGGATACCAGCAAATTAATTGATAGCTTGATGTCGATGGGAAAAACTTTTGCTGAGTACAAGCGTAGCGGTTCACAAACAATGACTAGTGAACAAAGGACAGAGCTAGTCACATCTATGGCAAAATGGGCACAAGTGATTGGTCAATTTGTGAAAACGGTCAGTGAGAAAAATGGTGGCGGTTTAAATATTGACCTACCGTCTCTTTTAGGTGGAGGTATTGGTGGTGGAAGCTCTGGCAGTGATTCTTCAATAGGAGCTGGAAGCACTGGTATGGGAGATGGAAGCAGTAGTGGTAGCGGAAGTCCAAGCTTTGGTGATAGCACTGGTGACAGTGGAATTCCAAGTGGTTCTCCCTCTGCTGAAACTGGAAGTCCTGCTGACAGTGGAAGCAGTATTCCAAGTGGAAGTCCAAGTGATATCTCCGCTATGGGTGGTGGAAGTACAGATGGTGATGCCAGTAGTGGAATGGCCAGTGGTGAAGCCTCTAGTGCTGCTGGCCCGAGTGGAAGTCCAACGGATAGCTCAGACTCAGGTGCTGCCGATGGTGGAGCCTCTGATGCTGGTGCTGCCGATGGTGGAGCCTCTGACGCTGGTGATGCCAGTGGTGGAGCCTATGACGCTGGTGCTGCCGGTGGTGGAGCCTCTGACGCTGGTGCTGCCGGTGGTGGAGCCTCTGATGCTGGTGATGCCGGTGGTGGAGCCTCTGATGCTGGTGCTGCAGGTCCTGAATCATCTGGTGCTGGCGGTGGTGCTGAAACATCTGGTCCTGCGGGTGCTGAAACCTCTGGAACTACGGGTGCTGGTGCTGAAGCCTCTGGTGATGCGGGTGCTGAATCATCTGGTGCTGCTGGTGGTGGAGCCTCTGACGCTGGTGCTGCAGGTGGTGGAGCCTCTGACGCTGGTGCTGCCGGTGGTGGAGCCTCTGATTCTGGTGCTGGCGGTGGTGCTGAATCATCTGGTGCTGGCGGTGGTGCTGAAACCTCTGGAACTACGGGTGCTGGTGCTGAATCATCTGGTGCTGCTGGTGGTGGAGCCTCTGATGTTGGTGCTGCAGGTCCTGAATCATCTGGTGCTGCAGGTGGTGAAGCCTCTGGTGCTGGCGGTGGTGCTGAAACATCTGGTCCTGCGGGTGCTGAAACCTCTGGTTCTACCGGTGCTGAAGCCTCTGGTGCTGCGGGGGCTGGTGGTCCAAGCGGAAGTACAACTGATATGTCTACCGGAGGAGAAAGTTCCACAGGTAGTGAAAGCAGTACTAGTGGAAGTCAAGGTGATACAATGGCGGCTGGTGGAGGTTCTGCCTACTCAGATTCTACAGGTGGAACTCCTATGGAAAGTCCTGCCGGTAGCCCATCTAACGAAGTTGGAGCATCCGCTGGTGGCCCAAGTGAAAGTACAGCCTCAGGAGAAAGTTCTATGAGTGGTGTTAGCGGAGGAGGTACACAAACAGATTCCCAAGAAAGTTCATCATCAGAGGGTGGTTCTGTCAGCGCTGGAGGCAAATCTTTCAAAGGAAAAATCGGCTCAGTTAGCTATGAAGGGTCTGTCTATGAAAAGACACATTCGAAATCCTCAGGCAAAAGTTCCTTTAGCCATTCTTCAGATACAAACTCCAACACATCAAGTTAAACTCGTAGGTTCGGACCAAGAGGTCAAAAATATACTACATACTATTATTTTGAATAAAGAGACGGCCCTGCTAGATTACGGCAGCGAGCTGTAGAAATGTTTTGCTAGAAGTCTATTAATTAAATACTTTTCAATAGTAGAGAATTACTGGCATACGCTTACTACATGCATAATTGTGCAAAATTTTGTTTTGTTTTTCTTTTTCTTCTCTTGATGTAAAATATGAATATGAACAAAAATAAATTGTGAATATATAATGATACATATTAAATGTTGATGAAGTAATAATAATAAATGATTTACATTATATCAAGTTCAGTCTTTTCTCTTGCTTTTTTTTGGTTATGTTATTAAATCAAAATGCAAGTCACTTGGATTCCTTATAATAAATGTTACTTTTTTCTCATAATAATACTCTTTCTATTTTATAATAAGTGTCACTTTGACACTTTTCATATAAATTAAGAAAACAGTCAAACACTTTGACTATTAAATTTCTATAAGATTTAATATTTTTTTCTTAGTTAATTAGGGGCAAAATAGATAAATTAATGAGAAAAAGTGCATTGAAATCAGAAAATAACACTTATTTTGTAACATTATTCTTTTTTTTTATAAAAGACACTATTATAAAACAAAGGAAGTAATTGAGAAGAACATTTAAAAAATTGACAAAAAAGAACATTTATTTACAAAAATGATACTGATTAATGAAGAAAAATGAAAGAAAACAAAATGTATAGAAAAGAACAACTCGACGATAGATTAGCTAAGTATGCTTTTACTCTTCCTCTTCCTGTTGGTTTTCTTAGTTTGGATTCGGTTCCATTAAGTGTTATTTCGATTTTACATGATGATGTACTTGATAGGAGAAACATTTGTGTTGCTTAGTTGATTTTCTATTATGAATAAAGGTACTCACCAAAAAGAAACAAATCGGTTGAGTCAAAAGGGTCACCTGTCTGCTAAGGTTTGTCAAAATCAGGGAATTCAGAGGTATTAACTAAAAAGCAATACCTATTACATATTAAAATATTATTATATGTAACATTTAGCTTTATCCAACGGTGGAAAATTTCCTTTGTGATGCAATGCAATCATTTGGATGCTTATGTTGCCTGAATTTTAGAAGTCCGTAAAAGTAATCAAGAAGTTCATAATCGACGCAAAATCAGCGAAATTGACGCATCTGACTCGTCAGAAACAAAAACAGCAACAAAACAAAAATATGTCTTTGGCCAAACACATAAAACATGCATACTGGTCTAAGTTCTAAATGTTAATGTGTTCATGTGTGATATCATATCAGTGAGTAACGAAACTTCTTTTATTTTAATATATCCACGACACAAAATTGGCATTTGCATGCACGTTCATGTGTTCCGAGCTATATAGTATCCATCCTATGATTAAAAGTCTAATTAAACCTCAAGACGACTTGGGTTTTTTCTAATTAACTTATCTGTAGAGTTTACTATTCAGATTATGTACTCTCTAACCGTTCACACCCACCATCTTCGCACTTTCATCGTTGAGCTTGAGATCTGAACCCGGATTTGAACTCGATGTAGAGCTAGAGCTAGAAGTCTTCTTGATATGAAAGCCGCTTCCAGTTGAAGTCTCGACTGAAAATTGTTTCTCACTCTCCGTCGCAATTTTGACGAATTGAGACATCACTTTCTCCCATTTCATAACTATCTCCTTAATTGCTTGTTGTTGTGATAACGTAAGCGTCAAGGAACCATCGTTCTGGCTTTGTTGTTCGGATACGGATTTGCCCATGACCGATTGCAACATTGTTAGAGTCTTCATAACTTCTTGTTGGTATCCTTGTAGTGTTGTTTTCATCTGTCAAAGAAAGCATACAAAGCTTTAGTTTTGATATGTACTTTCTTGGATTATTCTATAAGGGTTGTTTTAGTTAATTCACCAGTCCTGATCCAATTTTCTTGGCTTGCAAGACAGCCATAGCATCCGAGAGTTTTGTCGCCATATTTATCATCGTAGACATGTAGGATTTTGAGTCTTTTGTCTCGAAGGTTGAAGAGATTGGACACGCGTATTTCATGTAATCTTTAAGCTTCTGGAAGAAACTCTGGAACTCTTGTGTTCCTGGAGATTTCTGCTCTAGGTTTGATATGAAACTTGTGACTTCTTTCGAAGTGGTGCTCTCTATATTTGTCGTCATGTTTTGTTGCGTTGTGGTTGTGGAATTCACGGCCCCTCCTGCTATTTGATTATCCGTGGAATTTTCAGTGCTTCCTCCATTCTGGATTTTTTTGTTGTTTATAGATTCACTGCTCTCATTAGTCTCCTCTGTTTTACCATTCATTGAATCTCCACTACCACCTCCTTGAGCATCCGCTGTCTCATTCTTCGTAGAATCTTTGTTGATGTCTATTTTGTCTTCTTTGATCCCTGTTGATGTTGAGTTGTCCTTACCTCCTTGTGTTTCAATTATCTTATCATCTTTAGAACCTTCTTCCGTTGGTGCCTCTTTACCTTCATTTGTTTCATCTGATTTACCATCTTTGGAACCTTCTTCTGTGGAATTTTTATCTCCACTTATTTCATTTGTCTCACCATCTTTAGAACCTTCCTCTATTGAGTTGTCCTTACCTCCTTGTGTTTCAACCATCTTATCATCTTTAGAACCTTCTTCCGTTGGTGCCTCTTTACCTTCACTTGTTTCATCTGATTTACCATCTTTGGAAACTTCTTCTGTGGAATTTTTACCTCCATTTATTTCAACTGTCTTACCATCTTTAGAACCTTCTTCCATAGTTACTTCTTTACCTCCATTTATTTCATCTGTCTTACCATCTCCTTTCTCCATGGATTCTTCTTGACCTTTATTGACTTCTATATTATTACTATCTTTAGACCCTTCCTCCACAGATTCTTCTTTACCTTTGTTATTTTCACCGGTCTTACCATCCATGGAACCTTCTTCCTTTGAAACTTCTTTGCCGCCACCAGTTTCAACTATCTTGCCATTTTCAGTAGCTTCCTTTGAGGACTCTTCTTTATCTCCACTGATTTCAACTGTTTTACCATCTTTGGAATCTTCTTTACCTCCATTGATTTCCGTTGTCTTGCCATCTTTGGAAGTTTCCTCCGTAGAATTGTTCCCTCCACTTATTTCAGTTGTCTTACCATCATCAGAAACTTCTTCCATGGATCCTTCTTTACCTGCATTGATTTCAAACATCTTATCATGTTTCCAACTTTCTTAAATGTACTTTTCCTTAGCTTCATTATGTTCAGCTATCTTACCATCTTTGGAACCTTCTTCCATGGAATCTGCATTACCTCCATTGACTTCAACTTCCTTGCCATCCTTTGAATCCTTTTCCGTGTTTTGACCTCCATCGTTTACCATAGTCTTATCATCATTGGAGACTTCTTCATTAGAACCTTCTTTAGTTTCAGTTGTTTTACTATCTTTGGAACCTTCCGCAGTTGAACCATTTTGATCCTTTTTCTCACCCATATTGGTTTCTTGAATGTCTTCTTGTTTTTTGGTCGAGGAATCTTTATTTTCTTCTTTCTTTGTTTTTGACTCAGTGTCCTCTGCCTTCTTATCTTTCATGGACTCTCCTTTGTTATCCTCCACAGATTCTACACTCTTTATTTCAGTCTCTGTTTGCTTTTCTTTCTCAGAGTTATCACTCGTTGCTTGAGCCTTTGCTTCAAGTTCTTTCTCAGATTCCTCACTCTTTGCATGAGCCTCTGATTGCATATCTTTTGATTTACCATCTTCTTTAGTCTTCTCTTTATCCTTTCTAGAATCTTGTGTATTAACTTGATCGCCTACTTGCTTCTGTTGCTCAGAATTCTCCTGTTCTTTTTCAGCTTCTTTTGACTCAGCATCTTTCGTATTTGACTGAAGCCCTAGTTCCGTTGTGGCATCTCCACCCTGTTTTTTAGTGTTCTTGGATTTTTCATCTTCAGATTCTTTGTTCTCTCTTCTGGTTTCTTCATTTTTCTTCGATTTGTTGGATTGAGACCCTTCCTTATCTTTCCTTTTCTTCGATTTATTGTCTTGAGAAACAACTTTCTCCTTTTTATCTTCTTCTCTTTTCTTCATTTTCTTATCTTGAGACTCTCTTTTTTCTTTTTCTTTTTCTTTTCTTTTCGATTTTTTGGCTTCAGATTTTTTCTCCTTTTCTTCTTTCTTCTCCTTTTTATTCTTTTCAGTCTTCTTGGACATATGGTTTTCGGACTTACTCGCCTCTTTTGTATCTTCATCTTTTTCCTTCGATTTAGTATCTTCAGAATCTCTCTTCTCTTTTTCGTCTTCTTCCTTTTCATTTTTTCCAGTTTTCTTGGACATATGGTCTTCATACTTACTCTTCTCTTTTTTACTTTCTTTTTTCTTCTTTGATCTATTATCTTTAGACTCTTTCTTCTGTTTTTCGTCTTCTTTCCTTTTGTTCTTCCTAATTTTCTTGGACATATGGTCTTCAGACTTGCTCTTTTCTTTTTTCTCTTCTTCTTCTTTGTTTGATTTATTATCTTCAGCCTCTCTCTTCTCTTTTTCATCTTTTTCATTTTTCACTGATTTACCCTTTTCAGACTCTTTCTCCTCTCTTTGTTCTTCTTTTTTTTTCTTTGATTTGTTTTCTTCTTGCTCTTTCTTTTTATTTTCTTCATTTTTCTTCAGTTTACTCTCTTCATGTTCTTTCTTCCCTTTTTTATCTTCTTTGTTTTTCTTTGACTTTTCACTGTCTTCAGATTTTTTCTTCTCTTTATTCTCTTTTTCTGTTTTCTTCTGTTTATTGTGTTTAGAATCTTTCTTCTCTTCTTCTTGTTTCATTGATTTACTGTCCTCGGACTCTTTTTTTCCGGATTTGTTGTCTTCAGATTCTTTCTTCTCTTTTCTCTCTTCCTTCTTTTCTTTCTTCTCTTCTTCCTGTTTCATTGATTTACTATCCTCAGACTCTTTTTTTCCTAATTTGTTGTCTTCAGATTCTTTCTTTACTTTTCTCTCTTCCTTCTTTTCTTTCTTCTCTTTTTTTCCTGATTTGTTGTCTTCAGATTCTTTCTTCTCTTTTCTCTCTTCCTTCTTTTGTTTCTTCTCTTGTCTCTCTTCCTTCTTTTTCTTAGATTTCTGGTTTTTAGAGTCTTTCTTCTTTCGTTTCTCTTCCCTTTTCTTAGATTTGCGTTCTTCAGATGCTCTCTTCTCGTTTTTATCTTCTTCATTTTTCTTTGATCTTTTATCATCAGAGTTTTTCTTCTCACTAATATCTTCTTTCTTTCTCATCGAATTGTAATCTTTAGAATCTGTCTCCTCTTTTTCATCTTCTTCTTTTATCTTCGACTTATTGTCCCCATGTTCTTTCTTCTGTTTTTTCTCTTCTTCTTTTTTCTTTGATTTACTGTTTTCAGACTCTTTCTTCTCTTTTGTCTCTTTTTTCTTTTTCGTGGAATTATGGTCCTCAGACTTTTTCTTCTCTTTTTTATTATTTTCCTTCTTTGAGTTACCATCACTTGTATCTTTCTTCTCGTCTTTCTTGTATTGTTCCGACTCTCCGCTTCCATTTTGAACCTCTATGCCCATGTTCTCTGCGGAGCCACTATCTTTTTCTGTAGTCGTCTCCTTCGACTTTGCGTCTTTAGACCTTTTTTTCTCAACCTTTGTTGTATCTCTACCACTTCCTTGAGATTCTTCTTTTTTCTTCGTAGAACTTTCCTTATTGTCCTTAACTTCCACTGATTTATTGTCTTTAAACTCTTTTTTATCTCCTTTGTCTTCAACCTTTTTGGATTCTTTATTGTTTCCTTGAACCTCTTCTTGATTTTCTTCCACGAAGCTGTCATTTGCATTAGCCTCTGCCGACTTATCGTCCTTAGATTCTCTATTTTCCTCAGACTCTACCGACTTATCATCTTTAGACTCTTTCTTATCTCCACCATTCCTCTGAGCCTCATCTTCCTTTTCTTTCACGGAACTCCTAACATTTTCATTTTCTTCATCCTTTACTGACTTATCTTCTTTAGATTCTGTCATTCCTCCTTTGGTTTCTACTACTTGGGACTCTCCATTGTTTCCTTGGCCCTCTTCTTGCTTTTCTTCTGTAGAACTTTCTTTGTTTGTCTTCCCCTCTACCGACTCATCCTCCTTCAACTCTTTCTCACCTTCTTTGTTCTCTAAGTTGTTATCATTGGTTGAAACTTCATTGTTGCCTTGAGCCTCTTCTTCCTTATCTTTCATGGAACTCCCATTTTCCTTGGCCTCTACCTCCGAGTTAGCATCCTCTTTACTCCCCAAATTTGTATCCTTAGTCAAGTCTCCAACATGTTCTCCTTGCACCTCTTCTCCCTTCTCCTTACTAGATTCTGTATTTCCGCCTTTGTTCTCATTTGTTTCTGTGCCATTCACAGCAACTTCATTACCTCCTTGGTTTTCCTCTCGCTTCCCTTCCATAGAAGTTTCATTATTTGCCTGGGCCTCTACTGATCCCTCCTCCTTCAATTGTTGATCTTCTTTGTTCTCTATGTTCTCGTCCTTAACTGATTCACCATTGTTTTCTTGAGTTTCTTCAGTCTTTTTCTTTGTCTCATCTTCATTATTTGTCGTAGCCTCCTCCGGTTTATCATCCATTTCGATATCTTCGTTACCTTGAGCTTCTCCTTGCTTCTCCTTCGTGGAACTTTCAACATTTTTATCAGCCTCTACTTCCGGCTTAACATCTCCTTTATTCTCCAAATTCGTATCCTTGGTTGAGTCACCTTGAGACTCTACTTCATTCTCCTTAGCATCTCCATTTCCACCATTAGTACCCATAGTTTCTCCATTCTTGGAAACTTCAGTGCCTTCTTGCCTATGCTCTCGCTTTTCTTCCATAGAGATTTCATGATTTGTTTTGGTCTCTTCCTTGTTCTCCAAGTTTTCTCCATTCACTAACTCTCCATTGTTTTCTTGATTCTCTCCAGTCTTTTCCTTCGTGTCATCTCCATCATTTGTTACACCCTCTACTGTTTTGTCATCTTTAGACGCTTCTTCACTTCCTTTGTTTTCCAAGTTATTATCCTTCATTGAAACTCCATCGTTTCCTTGAGCTCCTTCCAAATTCTCAGAGTTGAATTTTCAGTACTTCCTCCTTGAACCTCTGCTTCCTTCTCACTATTAGACTCTACATTTTCACCCTTATTCTCTAAAACTTCATTACCTCCTTTAGCATCCACCACTTTATCACCTTCTTTAGCCTCCTCCATTGCTACATCGTTTCTTGAATCTAAACTGTTTCCTTCAACGCCAACATTTTTTTCTTGCGTGGATTCTGAGTTTTCTCCGTTACTCTCCGCCATGGTTCCGTTCACAGAAGCACTGTTTTGTTCAGTAGTACTGCTCTCTTCTCCGGACGACTCACTTGAACGTCCCGTTTTAACTTCTACAACAATCTTCACGATTCGAGTAATAGTTACTTCCCATTGAGACACCGCATTTTCGACAGCAATCTTTTGCTCCGAAGAGAGTGACGTTGATCCATCCCCTTTTATATGTTTCTCTATAATAACCCTTTTGATCGCAGCATGTAACTCAGTGAGCGATTTCATCACTTCTAGCATCTCCTTCCTTACACTTGAACTCATCTATCATACTCACAAAAGAAAAACATTGATTAATAAATTCCATAAGTTCTTGAGGCATAACTAGACAATTCACATCAAACTACAACTTTGATTGTTTCAAATGCAAAATATTTGGGTGTATTGTGTCTACGTATTATTTTTTTTTTTGAAATGTGAGCTATGTGAAACTATCTTACGTTTTCAAAAGAAGTTATACTTACGTTTGAAGATGAACACATTATTAAATATGAAAACACGAATGTTAATAGCAAGAAAACCAATCAGCATACACAAAAACATTATATGATTTATTTAAAAGGTTGAATCATTTTTTTTTTTGCTTGTCTTTCAAGATAACTCACCAGTCCTCTCTTAAGCATTGTCACCGTTTGGAAGAGATTTTCGGCTTTCGATTTAAGATCAAAACTGAACGTTTTGGGCTCATTGTTCTCGATCAGCGGTGTAACAGAAGACTCAAACTTCAAGAGATCTTTTAGCTTATCAAAGAATGATCTCAGCTGTTCTCTTATAGGGCAATTGTTCTCCAGCTTCAACACAAACCCAATGGCTCTATGAGATATGTACGGCTCTATATCTTTGATCGTGTTTGGCGCGGCCTCCTCCTGTCCTGACACTACATTGAGACTTAAACTTGTTGCCAAGATGGTGATGCAACATAGAGACAACAAAGAACCCCCTTTCATGATTTTGATGATTATTATAAAATGGTGAGAACTGTATCTTCTTCATCTGTTATATAGGTAATCAAAATGAATCTGTGACAATCACTAAGTTTAGATTTATGGAATCAATGACTTGGAGAATTTGATGGACTCATCTTTGACAAAAAATAGCAAACCGAGCTTATTAGTGGTTGGCCAAATCATGTGGAGCTTCTTTAAGTTATAAAAACTGACCCGAACCGGATCCGGTTTAGTCGGTTTCGGCTGAAACGAGATTCAATTTTCAAGTTAACCGATTTGACCCGACCAATCTTTGGGCCAAACCCGTATTAATCCAACACAAACTCACAGTCCTGAAGTGAAAGATCGGAACCGTCAAGAGATTTTATGGCTACGCTTCTGGTCTCCTCTGTTTCTCATATTCATTCCTTAAATCAATTCCATTGTTTCTCTCTCAGGAAAGGTTAGTCTTTCTCATCGATGTTTCTCACTATGGAAGTAAACTCAATTTTGCGAATTTCACATCGACATTGTCAAATTGGAGTTCATTGATCGGTTAATTGCGGAAAAAAAAAATCTAATTTTTAAAAAGCTTAAGATGCTAATCCTTGCTATGAATGTAGTTTGATTCCATCTGGGTTTTGTAGATAATGCAGAAAGAATGAGTATTTTCGTGATTTAATGCAGAAAAATTGGGACTTGATAGATTACTATCGTTGAGCTCTCATCATAGATCAATTAGATTTAGTAAAAGAACGTTTCCTCAGAGATTGACTGTGAAAATGTCTGATGACTCATCATCCACTCTGCCTGTGAGCCTCCGCCGACCAAAGAAGGTTTGGATATGGACTGAGTGCAAAGAAGTCATGACGGTTGCAGTGGAACGAGGCTGGAACACGTTTATCTTCTCATCAGACAATCGACAACTTTCGGATGAGTGGTCATGTAAACAATGCAGCTAAATAAAAAAGGTTCCTTTTTGAAGTTGCTCTGTTTTGATTCTATGCTCTTAAGTGTTTTGCAGCGGTTGCGTTGATGGATTCATTGTTTATTGACGAGAAGAAAGTTACTGATGGTGCCGGAAAAGTTGTCGCTGCGGTTTTCGAAGTTTCAACACCTGAGGAGCTACAGAGGCTTAAGATCGAGAACGAGCAGACGGAAAATATTGTTCTTGATCTCTTAGACTGGAAGGTAGCTTTCTCAAGCTTTGAGCACACACAGTATTGTTATCAGTTAATAAGTCAGAAAGTTTCAATTTTTGCAGTCAATCCCGGCAGAGAATTTAGTGGCGGCTCTACAAGGAAGTGAGAAAACGGTGTTTGCTGTTTCAAACACTCCTTCAGAGGCAAAACTATACCTTGAGGTAGCTTTCTTTAGTTAACTGATTGTTGAGATAACGCTTTCACAAGAAGTTTATTTCTCGTTGCTATGATTGGCTCTAGGCTTTAGAGCATGGCCTCGGCGGAATCATACTTAAAACTAAGGATGTCAAAGCTGTTCTTGACCTTAAGGTTAGTTAGTATCTCCATTAGCATAGTGCTAAAACATGGTTTCTTTATAACTGCAGCTTTTAAACTAATAGGAGTACTTTGAGAAAAGGAACGAAGAAGGTGATACATTAAGCTTGACGGAAGCTACTATAACTCGGATTGAGATGGTCGGTATGGGAGACAGAGTGTGTGTTGATCTTTGCAGCCTCATGAGATCCGGTGAAGGTCTTCTTGTATGTTTGCCTGTATATATATATATATATATACTCTTTTCTCAAACATGAATATCATCAATGTTGCTGATCTTATAAGCATTTAAATATGAATCTGTCTTTTTGTTTATATACAAGGTTGGATCTTTTGCAAGAGGACTGTTCCTGGTTCACTCAGAATGCTTGGAGTCTAATTACATTGCAAGCAGGCCCTTTAGAGTAAACGCTGTACGTTTTGTTTCTTTCATACAGTAATCCTTTCTTGAAGATACTGTTTACTCAAAGATTCAATTTTTCTCATGAAAATCTACAGGGACCAGTTCATGCTTATGTGGCTGTTCCAGGTGGAAAGACTTGTTACCTCTCGGAGTTAAGGAGCGGAAGAGAAGTGATCGTTGTTGATCAGGAAGGGAAACAGAGAACAGCAGTTGTTGGACGAGTGAAGATAGAGAAGAGACCACTTATCCTTGTGGAAGCTAAGGTTCATATATGTCTACATTCTAATAAGCTGTGAGTGTTTTGATTCGATTCTTAACTGTTTCGTATCATGCAGCTTAGTGCAGAGGAGGAGGAAGAAACGTGTTTTAGCATTATCCTACAGAATGCGGAAACAGTTGCATTAGTGACTCCTAATCAAGGTTCTTGTATTGAGTGTGATCCTCATTGCAGTTTGCTATTTTTCTTTACATGAAAATGGATACTGAAGAATGTGTTTGTTTCTTGCAGTAAACTCATTGAGGGAAAGCGCGATTCCCGTGACCTCGATGAAACTTGGGGATCAAGTTTTGATCAGGTTACAGGGCGGTGCACGCCATACTGGTATAGAGATTCAGGAATTCATTGTTGAGAATTGATTCAAAGACTTTCGGATTACATTGAGAAACATATCAAATAAAATGAAATGTTTCTGTCTATTCTTATCTTGTTTTTTATATGGTTCTCCATTGTTTCAGATTTAAGCTTTTGCATATGCTTTTGTGTTTGCGTTTAGGTATGAATAAAATTATAAAGATATTGTTCAGCTATTAATAGAGCTAGCTAGCTAGACCGGAGACCTAAATTAACGGATATTGACTTGTTCCCACCATTTTCTAACATCATTCATCAAATTAGCTAACTAGAAAGAAAAAAAGTCAAGTGAACACCCATGAATCTCTCGTCTTTGAGTTGGTTTTTTCTGTTCTTGTAACCTTTTTTACTCTATTATTAGGCTAAATGAAAATGTATTAATACCTTTCAAAGTCCTCATTCCAAAGACGCACTTCCTTCATTTTCTTTTAGGTTTTTTTTTTTTTTAATAACCTTGCCATCTATACAACCATGGCAAGGATCTCTCTGTTGTTCGCGTTGGCCTTCGTTGTAGCCATCGGCTCAGTCACAGCTCACGCACCTATCAACAGGAGGACACAAAAGAACGTGTGTCCATCTACTTTGTCTGAAGTCCAACAGTTCCCCTCCGTTGAAATCTCCAAGCTCATTGAGAAGAAGGCCCTAACCGGACCTAACACCCTTCAGTTCAGGACTTTGTTTGCCGTCTGCAAGAGCTACAACGACTACCTCGCGTCCATCAAGTTCTCAGCTGCCAAGAATGTGCTTGGCTTGGTTCATGCCAAGTACGCTTTGGTGACCAAGGCGATGCTTGCGGCGCAAGCATTAGTTGGTGTTGAAGGACAACTCTCCGTTGAGCTTAGCAAGAGTTACACCGGGATGGCTAAAGGGTATGTTAGCATTGTGCAGACGATTGCTCAGCTCTCCGCTAAGTACAAGTTCATTGCTAGTGCTGAGATCAGGAAGAGTGATAGGGCTAAGGTCGAGAAGTGTTTGAGTAAGTTGAAGGCTGCTATTGATGTTTTCGTCAATGTAGTCTCTGAGTGCAGCAACAAGTTAACTTCCGAGGAGAAAGTCGGTCTACCCATTAAGTTCCGCGGCGGTTTCATCGGTAAGAAAAGTCTCGGATTTAGAGAAAACTTTATCGGCTTGGGCGCCAACGGCCAAGTTGGAGGCGAAGTCGAAGCTGGAGTTAAGCTCGGAGGACACGCCAAGGTTGGAGCCAAGGTTGGAGCTAAAGCCGGAGCCAAGGTTGGAGCTAAAGCCGGTGCCAAGGTTGGAGCTAAAGCTGGAGCCAAGGTTGGANATATATATATATACTCTTTTCTCAAACATGAATATCATCAATGTTGCTGATCTTATAAGCATTTAAATATGAATCTGTCTTTTTGTTTATATACAAGGTTGGATCTTTTGCAAGAGGACTGTTCCTGGTTCACTCAGAATGCTTGGAGTCTAATTACATTGCAAGCAGGCCCTTTAGAGTAAACGCTGTACGTTTTGTTTCTTTCATACAGTAATCCTTTCTTGAAGATACTGTTTACTCAAAGATTCAATTTTTCTCATGAAAATCTACAGGGACCAGTTCATGCTTATGTGGCTGTTCCAGGTGGAAAGACTTGTTACCTCTCGGAGTTAAGGAGCGGAAGAGAAGTGATCGTTGTTGATCAGGAAGGGAAACAGAGAACAGCAGTTGTTGGACGAGTGAAGATAGAGAAGAGACCACTTATCCTTGTGGAAGCTAAGGTTCATATATGTCTACATTCTAATAAGCTGTGAGTGTTTTGATTCGATTCTTAACTGTTTCGTATCATGCAGCTTAGTGCAGAGGAGGAGGAAGAAACGTGTTTTAGCATTATCCTACAGAATGCGGAAACAGTTGCATTAGTGACTCCTAATCAAGGTTCTTGTATTGAGTGTGATCCTCATTGCAGTTTGCTATTTTTCTTTACATGAAAATGGATACTGAAGAATGTGTTTGTTTCTTGCAGTAAACTCATTGAGGGAAAGCGCGATTCCCGTGACCTCGATGAAACTTGGGGATCAAGTTTTGATCAGGTTACAGGGCGGTGCACGCCATACTGGTATAGAGATTCAGGAATTCATTGTTGAGAATTGATTCAAAGACTTTCGGATTACATTGAGAAACATATCAAATAAAATGAAATGTTTCTGTCTATTCTTATCTTGTTTTTTATATGGTTCTCCATTGTTTCAGATTTAAGCTTTTGCATATGCTTTTGTGTTTGCGTTTAGGTATGAATAAAATTATAAAGATATTGTTCAGCTATTAATAGAGCTAGCTAGCTAGACCGGAGACCTAAATTAACGGATATTGACTTGTTCCCACCATTTTCTAACATCATTCATCAAATTAGCTAACTAGAAAGAAAAAAAGTCAAGTGAACACCCATGAATCTCTCGTCTTTGAGTTGGTTTTTTCTGTTCTTGTAACCTTTTTTACTCTATTATTAGGCTAAATGAAAATGTATTAATACCTTTCAAAGTCCTCATTCCAAAGACGCACTTCCTTCATTTTCTTTTAGGTTTTTTTTTTTTTTAATAACCTTGCCATCTATACAACCATGGCAAGGATCTCTCTGTTGTTCGCGTTGGCCTTCGTTGTAGCCATCGGCTCAGTCACAGCTCACGCACCTATCAACAGGAGGACACAAAAGAACGTGTGTCCATCTACTTTGTCTGAAGTCCAACAGTTCCCCTCCGTTGAAATCTCCAAGCTCATTGAGAAGAAGGCCCTAACCGGACCTAACACCCTTCAGTTCAGGACTTTGTTTGCCGTCTGCAAGAGCTACAACGACTACCTCGCGTCCATCAAGTTCTCAGCTGCCAAGAATGTGCTTGGCTTGGTTCATGCCAAGTACGCTTTGGTGACCAAGGCGATGCTTGCGGCGCAAGCATTAGTTGGTGTTGAAGGACAACTCTCCGTTGAGCTTAGCAAGAGTTACACCGGGATGGCTAAAGGGTATGTTAGCATTGTGCAGACGATTGCTCAGCTCTCCGCTAAGTACAAGTTCATTGCTAGTGCTGAGATCAGGAAGAGTGATAGGGCTAAGGTCGAGAAGTGTTTGAGTAAGTTGAAGGCTGCTATTGATGTTTTCGTCAATGTAGTCTCTGAGTGCAGCAACAAGTTAACTTCCGAGGAGAAAGTCGGTCTACCCATTAAGTTCCGCGGCGGTTTCATCGGTAAGAAAAGTCTCGGATTTAGAGAAAACTTTATCGGCTTGGGCGCCAACGGCCAAGTTGGAGGCGAAGTCGAAGCTGGAGTTAAGCTCGGAGGACACGCCAAGGTTGGAGCCAAGGTTGGAGCTAAAGCCGGAGCCAAGGTTGGAGCTAAAGCCGGTGCCAAGGTTGGAGCTAAAGCTGGAGCCAAGGTTGGAGCTCATGTCGGAGCCAAGGTTGGAGCCCATGTCGGAGCCAAGGTTGGAGCTAAAGCCGGAGTCAAGGTTGGAGCTAAAGGCGAAGTTAAAGTAGGAGTTGGTGCCGGAGCTAAAGCCGGAGGATTCTTGGGTGGATTCTTGGGGTTAGGAGGAAGAGTTCAGTACGACGCAGCCGGTAAGGCTAAGATCGGGGGAGGAAGCGGGTTCAGGTCTCTGACCCTCCCTCACGAGAAACACTTAAACTGAGCAAAGGTTCGAGTTTAACAACAGATGAAGGAGCCGTGAGTTCACTTCTATTTTATTGTTTTCAATTTTTATTAATATATGAGGAGGGAAACGCCATGCGATATTCATAGTCTCTATTTGTAACCATTCAAAAAAATATTTGTAACTCAAAATATATAATAAAATATCGCATGTTTTCTTTATTGCTATTTTCGTTAGCATTATTTGGATAAAATGAATCGCATGCATTTATTCCGCGCGCGAGCTACACAATTTTTACGTAGTCCATGTATTTATTCCGCGAGCTGACAAAAGGGTCGTTTTCACTTAATTAATTTTCACTCATCCACTAGTTTGGACCACAAAAAAAATCAATTTCCCGACCCGGCCGGTTTTCAAAACGTTAGGTAAATGTTAATAAGAAATGAAATATTGGGACATAAGCAATGCAATGACATCAAACACATCACATGATGATAGTTAGCACGTGTGACGTGTCATGTGCATATGGTAAATATCATCTTGACATCGTCACTCTCCCACTCCACGTTGGTCGGAACACAATCGAATATGGTAAATATCATCTTGGCAGTGACGTCATCAGAATCTATTATCCTCTTCTTTTATTTGTCGTTCAAAAACATTATCCTCACCAACACACGAACATGTGACGTTGGGAGTATAAGATTAGATTTGCTTACTAAAATTGAGGCAACACTCATTTTTTATCGCTTCACTATAAAATCAGCTTAAGCTCATATGTTTTTTATTAACTTACCAAATAGAAAAAAAAAAACAAGAAATCATCTCAATAATGGAAGCTCTCTACCTGATTCTATCTCTCTTCTTCCTCTTCCTCTCTCTGAAATTCTTGTTCGGAACACGACGGCGCAAATTAAACCTACCACCGAGTCCAGGTCGGCCATTCCCGGTTATTGGACACCTCCACCTCCTAAAGCTGCCGCTCCACCGGAGATGTCTCTCTCTCTCCCAGTCACTAGACGGCGCTTCGATTTTCTCTCTCCGCCTGGGCACTCGTCTCGTTATTGTTGTTTCTTCTCACTCCGTCGCCGAGGAATGCTTCACCAAGAACGACGTGGTTTTAGCTAACCGGCCTGAGTTTATCGCCGGGAAACATATCGGATACAACTCCACCACCATGGTCGGTGCGTCTTATGGTGACAGCTGGCGTAATCTCCGTCGTATTGGCGCCATTGAGGTCTTCTCGTCTCTTAGGCTCAATAGCTTCTCATCCATTCGTAAAGACGAAGTCCAACAGCTGATATTATGTCTATCCAAAAACTCTCAACAAGTAAGTGTGCTATTAAAAAAAATGTATACTTGAAAAAAAATGTGCGATTTAAAATACTTTATTACATTTTTTTTCGTAATACTGTTACAAAATATAAACAAATAGTGGATTTATGTATCACCATATTGCAAACATAATAATCTAGATTTATACAAATACTTGATTAGGCCCGCGTATAGGGATTTAGTTTAGGATTTTTGAAATAAATTACAGAAAAATATTAAACAATTTTTTTTTTCATTTAGAATTATATTGATTTGATAGAATTTCAAAGTGTTAGACACCGACCAACCTTACAACAAGACCACAACATGAAATACTAAACTGGAGAAGACAAACATTCTCCGAAAGAAAAAACGGTGAAAAACAAATAATACCAGAAAGGTAGAGACTAAGCCCACATAGGGGAAACTAAACCTTACAACACAACAACAATCAAACTAAATCTATGAAACTAAAGGTGAATAGGGGAAGGATCCAAGAGATTTCACCGAGATGAAGGGCAACACCAACTCACACAAATGCACCAGCTATAAATGTTTGTTAGGTTTTTTATGTGTGTTATTACATTTTTTCAATTTTAATATGTTTCTTTCTTCTTTCTCCTAGTGAATGTAATTTTTTTTTTCTAATTGTTAGTTTCCTGTTTTTCTAATTATTTTAGTTTTATATATATAATATTTTTTTTTCTTATTTCATGACACATTTCACGATTTTAATACTTTCAGAAATAATAAAAAACATGTCATGATCCGGTGAATTATAAAAATCATATGTGTCGCAACTATATCATATGCATCCAACTTTATATAATATTATAAGATATAAAAAAATGAAAATTTGAAATTTAACCATTTTCGTTTTCATAATTGTACTTCAGGAGTTTGCCAAGGTAGAGATGAGACCATTGTTTATGAGTTTGACTATCAACAACATCATGAGGATGGTGGCCGGAAAACGGTTTTACGGCGATGGAACCGAGGACTACGACGAGGCAAGACACGTGAGACAGTTGATCGGCGAGGTGGTTGCTAGTGGCGGCGCTGGAAACGCCGCAGACTATTTCCCAATCCTTCGTTGGATAACGAATTATGAGAAAAAAGTGAAAGAATTAGCGGGTCGGGTTGACGGATTCTTGCAGTCTCTAGTGAGCGAGAAACGTGCGGAGAAAGAAAAGGGTAACACGATCATAGATCACTTGCTTTCCCTCCAAGAAACTCAGCCTGATTACTACACAGACGTCATCATCAAAGGAATCATACTCGTAAGTAATGAGATATCAAAATAGTAACTATAATATAATGTTTTATAAATGTGTTTTTTTTTTTTTTAATTTTGGATAGGTTATGATGCTTGGCGGGACCGACACATCAGCAGGGACGTTGGAATGGGCGATGTCGAATTTGTTGAACCATCCAGAAGTATTGAAAAAGGCAAAGACCGAAATTGAAGACCAAATCGGTTTAGACCGTTTAATAGAGGAGCAAGACACTGTGAAACTTCCTTATCTCCAAAACATTGTATCGGAGACTTTACGACTTTGTCCGGTGGCTCCAATGCTTCTCCCTCACTTGGCATCAGAAGATTGCACGGTGGCTGGGTATGATGTTCCACGCGGCACGGTGATATTGGTGAACGCATGGGCTATACATAGAGACCCAAATTTGTGGGAAGAGTCGGAAAAGTTCAAGCCAGAGAGGTTTGAGAAACAAGGGGAGGATGAAAAGTTGATGTCTTTTGGGATGGGAAGACGATCTTGTCCTGGATCAGGGCTAGCTCAGAGGCTAGTGACGTTGGCTCTTGGGTCTTTGGTCCAATGTTTTGAGTGGGAGAGAGTTGGAGAAGAATATGTGGACATGAGAGAATCTAAAAAAGGGTTCATAATGCGTAATGCTACGCCGTTGCAAGCTATGTGTAGAGCTCGTCCTATTGTCCATAAGATTTTAGATGCTTCTTGTCTATAAATTTCATCATTCAGAACCTCGTTATGTATTATTATCTTGTCAATTCATAAACGGAGATCTCATCTCTCAAACATGTCTTCTTTCGAAAAATTAGCCAAGGTCTGAGCCAAGGATGGAGTTAAGGTTGGAGCTAAAGCCGGAGTTAAGGTTGGAGCTAAACCGGAGCCAAGGTTGGAGCTAAAGGGGAAGTTAAAGTAGGAGGTCGTGTGGGAGCTAAAACCGGAGGATTCTTGGGGTTAGGAGGAAGAGTTCAGTATGACGCAGCTGGTAAGGCTAAGATCGGGGGAGCAAGCGGGTTCAGGTCATTGAGCCACCCTCGCGAGAAACACTTAAACTGAGCAAAGGTTCGAGTTTAACAACAGATAAGGAGCCATGAGTTCACTTCTATTTTATTGTTTTCAATTTCTAATTATATGAAGGAGGGGAACGCCACGCTTATGCGATATTAATTCATACTCTCTATTTGTAACCGTTAAAGAATATTTGTAACTCAAAATATATATAAAATATCGCATGTTTTCTTCTTTTTTTTTTTTTTTTTGTTCAAAATCGCATGTTTTCTTCATTGCTATTTTCGTTAGCATTGTTTGTTTTCTTTATCTTTCTAACATCGTTGGCATTGTTTATTAGAAGAAAACAAATCGATGGTATATATAGCACATATATAATATATTAGATTGAGAATTACGAGAACAAAAATGAAAGGCTAAAAAGAAAAAGACAAAAAATCTCTTGCATGCGACTAAACCGTGCGTTCTAGTCACCCAACAACTACGCATTATTTGGATATGAGTAAAGAACTACGCATTGAAAATAAGACAACAAGAATTAATCGCATGTGCTCTCGTAATCCATGAGCAACTGCTTATGGCACCATCACATGCGCAACATCACATATATCTTGTGCTTTACGCATTATTTCGCGAGTTAAACAATTTTTACTCATCCTTCTAGGATTTCCCCCAACAAAATAAATCGGAAATAGCAAAACCATCTAGATTAGATCACAAAAATCAATATCCCAATCAGGTTTTCAGGTTTTCAAAACGTTAGGTAAATGTTAATAAGAAATGAAATATTGTGACATAAGCAATGACATCAAACACATCACATGATGAGAGTTAGCACGTGTCATGTGCAAATGGTAATATCATCTTGACATCTTCACTCTCCCACTCAACGTTGGTTGGAACAAAACATATATAGTATGCAGTGACGTCATCAGAAACTATTATCCTCTTCTTTTAATTGTCGTTCAAAAAGACTATTCTCATCGACACATGAATATGACGTTGGGACGTATAAGATTTGCTCACTAATTGAGTCAATATTATATTTTTATCGCTTCACTATAAAATCAGCTTAAGCTCATATGTTTTTAATTAACTTAACAAATAGAGAAAAAAAAAAACAAGAAACCAACTCAATAATGGAAATTCTCTACCTGATTCTATCTCTCTTCTTCCTCTTATTCCTCTCTCTGAAATTCTTGTTCGGAACACGGCAGCGCAAATTAAACCTACCGCCAAGTCCAAGTCGGCCATTTCCGGTTATTGGACACCTCCACCTCCTAAAGCTGCCGCTCCACCGGAGATTTCTCTCTCTCTCCCAGTCACTAGACGGCGCTCCGATTTTCTCTCTCCGCCTCGGCACTCGTCTCGTTTTTGTTGTGTCTTCTCACTCTATCGCTGAGGAATGCTTCACCAAGAACGATGTCGTTTTAGCTAACCGGCCTGAGTTTATCGTCGGGAAACATATCGGATACAACTCCACCACCATGGCCGCTGCGGGTTATGGTGACAGCTGGCGTAATCTCCGTCGTATTGGCGCCATTGAGGTCTTCTCGTCTCTTAGGCTCAATAGCTTCTCATCCATCCGTAAAGACGAAATCCAACGGCTGATATTATGTCTTTCGAAAAACTCTAAACAAGTAAGTGATGTTATGTCTTTTAATCACAGTTTTGATTGTTTTACATCTTTAGAAAAGGATTTACATATTTTTTTTCATATAATAATTTTGCAAAAAAAAAAAAAAAAAATAGTGGATTTGTTTATCTTGATATATACAAAAATATTTAAGAAAATGAAGATTTGAAATTTAACCAATTTCGTTTTCATAATTGTAAATCAGGAGTTTGCGAAGGTGGAGTTGAGACCATTGTTTATGAGCTTGACTATCAACAACATCATAAGAATGGTTGCCGGAAAGAGATTTTACGGTGATGGAACAGAGAAGGACGACGAGGCAAGACACGTGAGACAGTTGATCGCGGAGGTGGTTACTAGTGGCGGCGCTGGAAATGTGGCCGACTATTCCCCAATCATTCGTTGGGTAACGAATTATGAGAAACAAGTGAAAGAATTAGCGGGTCGGGTTGACGGATTCTTGCAATCTCTAGTGAATGAGAAACGTGCGGAGAAAGTAAAGGGTAACACAATGATTGATCACTTGCTTTCCCTCCAAGAAACTCAGCCTGATTACTACACGGACGTCATCATCAAAGGAATCATACTCGTAAGTAAATGAGATATCAAAATAGTAACTATAATATAAGGTTTTATTGTAATTTATAAATGTTTTTTTTTCTTCAAATTTTGGATAGGTGATGATACTTGCCGGGACCGACACATCAGCAGGGACGTTGGAATGGGCGATGTCGAATTTGTTGAACCATCCACAAGCATTGAAAAAGGCAAAGACGGAAATCGAAGACCAAATCGGTTTAGACCGGTTAATAGAGGAGCAAGACATTGTGAAGCTTCCATATCTCCAAAACATTGTATCGGAGACTTTACGGCTTTATCCGGTGGCTCCAATGCTTCTCCCTCACTTGGCATCAGAAGATTGCACGGTGGCTGGCTATGATGTTCCACGTGGCACAGTGATATTGGTGAACGCATGGGCCATACATAGAGACTCAAACATGTGGGAAGAGTCGGAGAAGTTCAAGCCAGAGAGGTTTGAGAAAGAAGGGGAAGATAAAAAGTTGATGTCTTTTGGGATCGGACGACGATCTTGTCCTGGATCAGGGCTAGCTCAGAGGCTAGTGACGTTGGCTCTTGGGTCTTTGGTCCAATGTTACGAGTGGGAGAGAGTTGGAGAAGAATATGTGGACATGAAAGAATCTGAAAAAGGAACCACGATGCGTAGAGCTACGCCGCTGCAAGCTATGTGTAGAGCTCGTCCTATTGTCCACAAGATTTTAGATGCTTCTTCTTGTCTATAAATTTCCGTTATGTAATGTTATCATGACAACTTTATTAGGTAGAAACACTCTCATGTTGTTGCTTCTCAAGTTCTTAATTTCTTATAGTTGTACTGTGATTTGAGACGAGTTGTTTGTAAAGCTAAAATCATAAATAAGCAAAAAAAAAACAAACAATATAATGAAGTCAAGAAGCGCGTGATTTGATTGTAACTCCATGAAACTAAAAGTAGGGTGTTGCATGTCATAATCCATAGCTAAAAATTGTAGAGATGGCTACAGTTGATGAAACACACGAGCTAAAAGATTACTAGAGAATCATCGGGTATCAGAGTTTAGTTGCTGTCGGAATCGTTTCCCGAGTCGATGTTCATCGGCTGCTGAGGGTTCTTGTAATTGCTAATCTCATCCTTGTATCGCTTCTTGTCCACTTGTGCCTTAGCTTCATACGGCTCTTTTTCCTCGGCTATGGTTTACAACAAAAACACACACTATTAGGATCACAAAGACGCATCACACTATAAGCTAAGAGCAAAAAAGGCCTTTTGTAGGGAAGATTTAAAGTCTTACCAGACAGCTCACGCCACTGTTCTCCAAGAACCTTCGCCACGTCTCCAAATGCTATTCCTGGGTGAGTCTTCTTTACGTTCTGTTTCGGTTCACAAGATAGAAAATGATTCAATCCTGTTTTCTCTAAAGCCTCTACGTCTAAGGTCCTAGAGTTAAAAAGTGAGAGAAGAACTCACATCTCTTTCCATTTGGGAGAAGAACATGAAACCAGTCATTGCTCCTTTTGGTGCATTCGGATCCTTCTTCTTTTTCTGCTTCTTTTTCTTACTACTGCCTTCTTCTGTCGCTACGGGTTTCCTCTTAGGAGGCAATCCCTTGGAAGACGACGGAGCCTCCTTCTTTGTTTCCTTTTTGACGGATTTCTGAAACGGGTCAATGACAGGAATTCAATCAGATACGTTAAACATACGGAAATTTGTTGGTGAAGGATGTGAAACAGTTGTTACCTCTTTCTCTTCGTCGCTGCCTTGACTAGCATCAGAGTCGTCCTCGCCAGAATCATCAGTTGGTGAACCACCATCGTCATCGTCTTCTCCACCCACAAAGTCCTCGTCCTTCATATATTAAAAAAGTATTCATTGTCAAAAAAACGTGATCATCAGAACACCAAGTGATTAAATCAGACATAAAGTACACTTGCCTCCTCGTCACTCTCAGCAGCTTCTTGGTTTCTGATACGCTCAAGATGAGGGTCAACGGCATCGTCATCATCATTATCCCCAAGAACAGCAGTAACACCTTTTGCGGCTCCCGAACCTCCAAGGTTCATAATCTTCAAACCCTTGGAGCTGCAGGAGAAGATAATGTTTATTCACCACCAACTACACTTAAATGCACTAACATTGACGCTAAAACAACCCGTGCTAACCTTATGAAGGTATAGAGATTGTGATACTCATTCCTCTGAATGTTTCGGAACAGATGTTCATGATCAGTTTTGAGTCTTATGAGAAGATCGAAGTAATGCATGTTAGCACCACCAGAAGAATGCCTTTCAAACTCCACATATTCAATCTAAAAAATGAAAAAACAAAAACGGGTCAAACAAAACCAACTCTATCTCAAAGCCTAACAAAAAGTAAACAATCCTCGATAACAACAGAATACCTCATCATGAAGTATAAGCGTTGGAGGTTTAGGTAAAAAGAAGAAGCCTTTCTCAAGTGGATAAAGAACACCATCTTCCGCCTTAAGAGATGATTTCACTGCAAACCCATCTTGGGAACTGCGGAATTTCCCTGGTTTAGTGATCTTTGCACCAGACAGCCAACGCATCACTGTGGTGAATACTTCATGAATGAGTCCCTGAAAATTCATAGCGATATCTCGTTAACAATCTGTGTACGTAGAAATTTCTTATTGAGGAATGATAACATAAGGCGCAGACTAGACAAAAGACCTTATATGATCGCTCCAACTTGTCCTTGAACCTTGTATTCATAAGATCTTCACTAATTGAGAGTTCACTTTCGACCACGGAGTCGGTCTCAAACTAGAGAAGGTTGGTAAGACAGATACGGAAAATCAGAGATTAAAATGATGAATTAAAACACTTGCAAATAGAAAACTGAAATGAAAGGAAAATAAAAGTAGCGTTTACCTGCATCACAATATGGGGATACAATGTCTGGCCTTTCCGGATTGGTGGGTCTAGAGAGATAACAACAAACGTATGTGGCTGGCTGGACTGTTCAAGGACAAAAAAGATAACAAGAGTTCAATAAAAAGAATATGATAATTACGCTAATCTGATGACTAGCCTGAGATATGATTAAAAAGAAGTACCTTTGGAAGCAAAAACAAGCGGACAACGCTACTGTATTGGATTTTAAAGTCGTTAGCTAGTCCGACCAAACGTAAGAAAGAAAGATGAAGCTCCACAGTGTACCGACCCCTGTGGAAAAAAAGCACCAGTCATGTAAGTTATGAGATGATGCAGCTATACAACAAATGATAAAGTGATCAACTAATACTCTAAGAAGCAATATTTACCTGGGCGTGAGGACTGCGATACCCTCGAATGTGACTACCGCCTCTGCAACTCCAGGATCAACATCAGCCCGATCTATGATTGCCTGACGTAAAACCTGAGATATGCTCTTGGCATCAATAAATAGAGAATACCTGAGACACACACCCGTATAGTTAAAAAGGTTGGGAAACTTACTTGAGCAGGCGGACAATTCTCATCACCAACAAACTGGGTGTTGCAAGTAGGAACATGAAAACTTATCTCCATCAGCGAGTCTTTCTGTAAATACGTATATTATAATCAGGAAGCCACCGTTACACATATATATATAGCATGGAGATGACATGTCTAAAGAAACCAGGAAGAAGTAGAAATGAGTACCTCATTGGCACCAGCAGTATCATCAACATGAAACTCCAAAACGACGTCATTTTTCCCCTGAAGCTGAGTCTGAGAAACATCAGCTAGAGATACTTCAAAAGCTTGCTTTGTAGCAACCGAGAAGGTTAGTATATTCCCTGCACAAAGAATCGGAGACAGCAAGAGAGTTTTCACTTCAGAACCACATACGGACTATGCAGAGATTCTTTCCGACTAAAAGTCCTTCTACCACTAAAAACAGTTTTCATAAGGAGATGAAAACTTACCATTCAAATCCACCTCTCCCCAATTGCGACCAGTGACAGATAAGTGTCTCTCCTCAGGTTCTTTATCAAAATTACTTTTGAAAAAGCTGGTCAGACTTGGAACATCCTATTAACCAAAAACAAAGCATGTATGTATGAATATAAGCTCCAAATACACAACGAATACGAAATTAATCGAAACACAAGGAAGAAGATATGCGCAAACCTGATCCCGAAATCCAATGAACTTATAGTATAACCCATCTGTAGTTTTTACTCCAAGCTGATTTGTCCTCGGAACCTTCATCCAAATGAGATCTACAATATGAGATTTCTCGACTTCAACAGCTTTTCCACCACCTTGCTTCTTCCATTGAATGCCTCCAGAGTTAATTTTAAGGAGGCCAGGGTTCTGCAGTACCAAATTGAAACCCAATTAAGCACAACATCAGCCCTAAACAACTACAGGCATTTAGAAACTGAATAGTATAAAGGGATCAAACCTATGATTCATGGAACAATACATGAGCTAGGTATAAAAAAAATGCAGGGGAGATGCAAGATCAGCGACGAGATGTAACCCTTTTTGAAATTACAAGGTCGAAATTATGAAGCTCGAGATTTCGAAGAACAATTGTAAACAAGAAAAATAACAAACGCAACACTCATTTTTCCCCGAGAATCACATATTCGTCCGAATAATCAACCGGCGGAAACAAAAACGGCCACAGGGATAAGAAATTAGGGTTTCGAAGCGAACGGAAAAGGCGAAATCCTAAAAGCTAATTGAAGTGAAAGATTCTAAAAAAACCGGCGTAATTAGAGAGATAGGGAGAGGAATCGCACCGTTCCTCCGCGACCGCTGAGAGAGATGTTATTGAAGGTATGGCCTTCCGTCATGGCTCCGATGAGAGACGGGAGAGACGAAGCGAGAGCGAAAGAAGAGGAATTTGAGACTGTGTGTCTGTGTTTTTTCTTTCACACAATGATAAATAAAATTACTTTAGGCGGTGACGCGGTGTGGGGCGGTTTTTTATTTATATAAAAAACAAGAAAAAAATCAAAATTTTAAAATAATCAAGGGGCTAATTACTTAATTATGATTGATTTCTTAGCTTTCTCAAGAGAGACAGATTTCAAATTTAGGCCTAAACTTCCTTTTGTGTAAGATATATAGACGACCAAATAAAAAAAAGGAGCCAACATTTTTTCTTCTTGTTCAACATTACCAAATGGAAAAATAAGCTCATAGTACAAGTTGTATGTAAACCCTCAAAAACCAAACTATCATCAAGTCTTTTTAATCCAATGTAAATGGCCTTGGATTCTCTCAGAACTGTTTTCTCTTGCTCCTGAAGAGCCTATCTCTTTTCGAGTAAACGTAACCCAAAGCCATTAACCCTAACCCAAACACTGAAACAGATCCCCAAGGGAACGGAGGATCTTGGAAACAGATGAGACTCGCTTCCACTTCTTGCGACGCGAGGTACACCACCGAATGCATAGAGTACAAATCATGCGAGGCTGATCTCAGGTAGAACAAAGCCATCTCGAAATCATTATGCGACAGCGCAGAAACCGATTTCTCAATCTTGTACTTCAAAAGATTCCACCTCTGCATGAACTCCGAGTGCCGGTTCTGTTTCAGAAGGTTCACGTCTCCTCCATAAGCCACCGCGGAATCGATAATATCCACCGCACTAGCTATAGTCGTGTTCAAAGATGTCAACAGAACGTTTCTCTTCGCAGCGTCTCTCTGAACAAACGACAGAGAGGAGATATCAGAGAAAGGTCCAAACGGCGTCTGACCAACGCTCCATGTGTAGTCCACTAGCGTCGCGTTATGCCTCGGGCTCCATGTCAAATGCGTCGACGACACGCCCCACATGCTCTGGAGAATGGAACCGACGAGAGGTCGCTCTAAATCTCTCGTATGAACAAACACATGACGCCCGTTGCAGGTATAGTCACTCACGGTCTGTGTTCCTCTGGTTCTAACAGCAATGACCATATCTCTGAAAGCAACAGACTGGTGATACCTATCGATCAACAACGGCGTGTTGATATCAAGATCAAACACATAAACAGGTAAGACCCTAGCAAAGTCGTCTTCTTCGTGTATCCCTGCAGCTCTTCTCAGCTCCTCTGCTGATTCAGTCAACGTCCTGTGCATATGCTTGGAATCCAAATACTCACTCACAATCAATGTGTAGTTGTCAAACAAGAACCTAGACGTGTACGAGTTCATGCCACGAGATACAGCGAAAGAACAAATCGGGCACTCTCTGTAATTCACACTGAAACTTTTGAAGCTCAATTTCTGCTCTCCTAACAACAATCCACCATTGTTGGCTTCTTCCATGAACGTTCTCTTGACAAATTCGAAATCTAAACCGTTCGGATCCTTAGTCTCCGATCCGTGAATGTGAATCAGCTGAACTACCAACGAATCCTCAAAGTAGACTGGGACTCTCAGAGAAGGAACGATCAATACCTGATACGCATTGTACACGAGCGAGGCTAAATCCGCAAGCAAAGCTTTCTCCGATTTGGGACGGCCGTGGAAGGCTGCGAGCGGGTGGAAATCGCCTCTCGGTAAAACCCCGTCGCCGGATAACGCAGGGCCGTAATCCACAGGTCCGGCGGAGAGATCGATCCAGAGGTAACGCTCCTTCCCGGTCCAGATACTTCCCAGGCATTTCGTGAATCCGGCGGAGGAGTCGCCGTGGGAGTAGCTATATGCGTAAGGTTTTGACTGAGGGCCTAGCGAGATCAAGTAGATGTAGACGCCGCCGTCTCCATGCTTCTCTTTCTCGTACTCTTGTTTTATTATCTCGTCGATCGAATTGTAGGGGACGGAGAGGAGCTGAGATCGGAGGGAAGAGGTTGAGCCGGCGATTAAGGATTTCAGGGACGTGTCGAGGCGTGAGGAGAGGGAAGGGGGAGAGAGGGAAGCGTCGAGGTGGAGAGAGTGAGAGACGGCGAGGCGGTGATCGGTGGAGGAATCGGGAGGAGGAGAGATCACGTGAAAGTTGTCTCCAGTCACGGCGGCTGATATGAAGGAGGAGAAAGTGGTGGCGGCTGAGGAAGGGAACGAATCGCCGACGAAGCGGACGTGGAGGGAGACGGAGACGGAGAGAGACAGTAGTGACTGAGAGAGAGAGGAGAAGTGGTGAGAAGATGAAGCTGAAGAGAGAGACCGCTTGAGAGAGGAGGAGAGAGATCCGAAAGAGTCGTTCGAAGCTTTTGGGTCGAGACGGAATTGGTTGGTCAAGAAGGTGTCCAGTCCCGGAATCGGTGCAGAGCAAGTGGTGGTGAGTAGGAGTAAGAAGACGAAGATAGAGGCGGATCCGCCATGGAAGTAGGAGGTGTTGATGCGGTGGTGCGTCATGCGAAAATGGAGCTCCTCGGAGAAAGGAGGAGGGAAGTGAGAAAGAGAGAGAAGACTCGATCTGTGTTTCTCTTCCAAGGGGCTAATGTGAAATTGGGGCTAAGCATTAGGGATTTCACTGAAAAAATTCGTATGTTATTTTATGTCTCTCACTCATCAAATGGTAAAAGTGAAAATTAAAACGAAATGAAATAGTGTTTTGATCTCTTTAATTTAGCATAACCACAAACTCAATCAGTGATTACTGGTTATGCTTTCCATCTAAATTGCATATGTCCTCACTGAGTCTGAGATTTTGAAACAGGAAATGTAAAAAGATGTGAGAATTTCAAATGATAGGGCTAAAAACAAATGTTAGGTTCTTCAAAACCTATCTGTTTCAATCACCCAAAACTCCAATATTCAAGTAACAATGGTATTATTTTCACACACGATCAAATTTAGAGGAGTTATAAATTATTTGATATTACAAGAGTTTTATTGGCAAAGGAGAATATGGCACCAAAAACAAACAAACAAATTGGAGAGATTCTTATGTGTGTAAATTCAATACACACACTCATGGATAGCGACAGAAACAGAGGATGTAAAACCGCAAGATTGTACAGCAGATTTCTCTGGTAAACCGGAGGGACGAAGAATACCAACAACAACAAAATTGGTTCTTTCTTCTTATGACCAACACATTACACATTTTATGTGTTTTTCTCACTTCTTACCAGACTCACTCAGAACATGTAGACAACACTGTCGTGGATCCTGGACTTTTGGTTCTGTGCAACACATTCGGATATCCACATCAGATTCCTGATCTCCTGCTCCCTCAACCTCATATACGCAAAGAATACAGCGTAATGGAACTGCAAAAAAACTCAGGTTTAAACAACCATTGTTAGTATTAAACCTGAATTGAAAGAGAGCTATAACAACACATCACATTATCTATGGGCTAGTGAATGTTATTTGGTTCATTTAAGGAGAGGGAGAGAGACAAACCTGCTGCTCAAAGGCTAAGCAAAGCCTTCTGACTTCTTCTTCATAAAACGCCTTGTCGAGCATTTGGCTTTCTCCATAAGACATCTTGGAGAAGATTGCTTGATACGGAGGGTATTTCTCCATAACACCACGAACCTAACAGTGAATAATAATTGGTTTCATTGGGCCTTTATTGTCACATAAAACATCTAAACTATATTATTAGCATGCGGATTTACCTGATCAATATCCTCACATATAGCAAGCTCCTCGTGACCATATGGATAGCTGCAGAAGCAAAGAAATCCAAACGATGGTGAGAAAGATTAGTTTAGAGTTATGAAACTAGTGAATGGAATTATCGTCTGGCTGTAGAATGCTTACAGGAGACCAAAGTTAGAGTACAGTTTCTTCCTGTCTTCTCTTGTAAGCTCAGTGCCAATGCTGCATAAAAAGGAAACCCAGTTTCAGTGCCTTTCAAAACAAAGCAACACAAGGAGGGTGATATATAGTGGTTTGATGCACGAAGACATATACAACAGTAGCTATTACCTGTTGATGGTGATATTTACAGCTCTTCTGTCAGCTTCGAAGGCCAGAAGGTCAGACATTATCTCTGATGTTGCCCCACCAAGTTTCTGTTTCGGATACACAGCAAAATAAATGTTAGCTGCTTGTACAGGTAGATTCTGAAATTTTGTAAGAAGATTTATGAGTCGACTAGCACCTGACAGAACTTGTAAAAGTCCTCAAGGTATGCTTTGTAGAGGGTATTCCTCATAATCTCTATGTTCATGTCATCCAAATCCTACAAAAAAAAAATGCAAAATAAGATATGAATGTGGTACGACATAATTTACCAATGTGAAGAAAAAGTAAATGCTACAAGATTGAAAACGTAAACAACAGTAATAAACACTTCAGCTTTGTACCTCGGATGTTAAGCATTCAGAAAAGTATGGAGCCAGAGGAGTGTCCACAAGCACCAGCCTGTAGAGCTCTCTCATGTTCTGAGCAACTGCAAGTGTGGCAATACTGCAAAAACATAAAAAGGCAAAGAAAAATGGTCAAAAGCAGCTGCGGGAAGAGTTACAGAAGATGCAAAGGTCAATGCGAGTACCTGTCAAACATGCCTAAAGGATGACATTTCTCGATCAACTCTTGAACATCTCTCTCGTGCAGGGTCCCAGTCACAATCAGCACGACATTGTCAATCATGTGGCCGTATCTGCAATTATGATATTGACAGTCTTTTATTAATACATCATATACTTACGAGTTCCCGGAATTAAACAAGGTAACAATATAAGCTAGCATATAAACTACAACAAAATGATCATAATCTTTCCCCACAACATGCTTAAAAATAGTAAATGTTCCACATTTCACTGTGATCTCATTAAAGGTAAGCTTCAGGAAAGCAACAAATCTTGCACGCTATGATGTACATGGAAGAAGTGTTCTGGTAGAGGTAAATACCAACAAAATTCTGGAAACTAGAAAAAGACAACCATCCCCCCATATACCAAGTATCGTAATTATACGGAGCTTGAGAAATATCTCACTAACCTGATGTACTCTAAGAAGCTCGACATAGGCTCAGTTGCTTGGCAGAGCATGTGCTTGTAGTCATCAACAAGCTTGAGCGTACACTTCTCCACAATTGTGGTGGTATGCAGAGGTGAAGGTTCTACAGGCATAAAGTACAATTTAAGATTAGAGTAAACAAAGATTCAGATAATATAAGAACTAACAATTGTGCAGCTACAAACAAAAGAAGAAGATGTCTTTACAAAAAATCAAGGCATTGAGACTCCAGAAATCACTATTTCGTCTATACATCAGTTTTTTTCAGATGCATTGATGAAGATGAATGACATCTAAATTTAAATGGCCACTGGAAACCAATTTCATATCGGTCATCGGTAAATTTCTCCAATTTCCACATCAAATTGAGGAAATGAAAGCAATTCAAATGCCTAAAACCCAAAACCCATATACAATGAAACAAAATCCAAGTCAACTAATCTAATTCACAAGAGCGATCACGGACCCACAGAGCAATCAAATATGAAAGACGCACCATTTTGGAGGTAAGAACCGTATTTGGTGGCAGAGAGGTGCATCTTAATGTCATCAAGGTTTTCACACTGGCACAGATTGTTGTAATCGGCGGTGGTCAGAAGCCCAGCACGGTGACCCCTCACGATCGCCTCCAAGTATCCTCCATGGATGTTGAACGTAAGCGCCTCGAATCCGTACATCCTTCTCTTCCGGAGAATTACAGGATATTCAGATCTCAACGATTGACAGGGGAGATCTGAAGAATAAATCGAAGCAGAGAGCCAGAGATCGACGCGATGAAGACAGCTTTGTTTGATAGATTTTTTGCTGTTTGCAGTCTCGTCCGTGGCACGTTAAATTACGATATTATCCTTAAACCGGTCCGCTTAAGTCGAAAGCGTACACGCGCGCAATTACTTAACCGAGGAATAAACCCTGAAAATTGGAGATTGTTTTCTTTTGGGTCTCAATTTAGAATCGGTTTGGTTTTTCGGTTTACCTTTTTTTCTTTAAGAGTGGACATGAATCGAATACCAAATCATTGTCCTTACAAGAGCGACCAATGTGATAGTCTGGAGGAATAAAGTTCACTAGTTCCGTGACCCAAAAAAAAAAGCTCGTCATTCTTTGCAAATGAACTAATCTATGGAAGATAGGTTGCTTCTTGAAAAGATAGTCTGCATTTGTATAAAATCGATGATGCTACAGAGAAGATCTCCAAGGAGAGAACTTTATTGGGGAATATGGCAAAAACAGAGACAAACATTTAATACATGCGCTCACTCACAGCCACGGAACAATCAATGAATGTAAAACCGCAAGATTGTACAGCAGAATTATCTGGTAAAAAGGAGCAGTCAAGAAAACCAACAACACCGAAATTGGTTCTTTCTTCTTGTTCTCCAATTTGTCAGACAGATTACAGCTTTGGTATGTTTTATTTTTTATTTTTCACTTCTTACCAGACTCAGAACATGTAAACGACACTGTCATGGATCCTGGACTTCTGGTTCTGTGCAACGCATTCTGATATCCACATCAGATTCCTGATCTCCTGCTCTCTCAACCTCATATACGCAAAGAACACTGCGTAATGGAACTGCAAAACCCAGTTTGTAACAACCATTGTAAGTATTAGAGACCTCAATATCTATGAAACAAGTACAAAATTCAGTTCTAGAGGAAACTGAATGTAATCTCAACGAAACCAGAAAGTTCTTTGGTTCATTTACGGAGAGGGAGACAAACCTGCTGCTCAAAGGCTAGGCAAAGCCTTCTGACTTCTTCTTCATAAAATGCCTTGTCGAGCATTTGGCTCTCTCCATAAGACATCTTGGAGAAGATTGCTTGATAAGGAGGGTATTTCTCCATAACACCACGAACCTAACAGCGAATGATAATGGGATTCATTGGGCTATTATTTGTAACATGATATATTTACAATATATTAGCTTGAGGATTTACCTGATCTATATCCTCGCAGATAGCAAGCTCCTCGTGACCATATGGATAGCTGCAGAAGCAAACAATCCAAACCATGGTGAGATAAATTAATTTAGAGCAATAAAACCAGTGAAGGGAATTAGCTGTAGAGTGCTTACAGGAGACCAAAGTTAGAGTACAATTTCTTTCTGTCTTCTCTTGTGAGCTCTGTGCCAATGCTGCATAGAAAAGAAAACCAGTGTCAGTGCCTATATAATCAAAACACAAAACGAGGGTAACAACTTGTGGGTTTGTCCACTAAGACATACAGCAGTAGTAAGTTACCTGTTGATAGTGATATTCACTGCTCTTCTATCAGCTTCGAAGGCCAGAAGGTCAGACATTATCTCTGATGTTGCCCCACCAAGTTTCTGTTTCGGATACACAGAAAAAGACGTGTTAGCTAGTAGACGTAGATTTTGAAAGTTTTGTAAGAAGATTTAGGAGTCGACTAGCACCTGACAAAACTTGTAAAAATCCTCAAGGTATGCTTTGTAGAGGGTATTCCTCATAATCTCTATGTTCATGTCATCCAAATCCTACCCAAAAAAAGCAAAATAAGATATGAATCTGATACTAAATACATAATTTACCTACAGTAATAAATACTTCAGCTTTGTACCTCGGATGTCAAGCATTCAGAAAAGTATGGAGCCAGAGGAGTATCCACAAGCACCAACCTATAGAGCTCTCTCATGTTCTGAGCAACTGCTAGAGTAGCGATACTGCAAAAAACATAAAAACAAAGAAAAAGGGTCAAAAGCAGCTGCAGGAAGAGTTATAGAAGATGCAAAGATCAATGCGAGTACCTGTCAAACATGCCTAAAGGGTGACATTTCTCGATCAACTCTTGAACATCTCTCTCGTGCAGGGTCCCAGTAACAATCAGCACGACATTGTCAATCATGTGGCCATATCTGCATTACAGTATTAAGAGAAAAAAAACGAAGATCTCAATAGCCAGCGTATTGTATTTGATAGATCATATACTAAACTACTTCCAGAGAACAAACTAAAAAGGTGACAGTCTAAGCTAGAATTTTAACAAAACGAAATGATCATAATTTTTCCGTTCAACTTTGTGAAACAAATATTTTCCCTGTTTTGGTGAGATTTTGACAAAATGTGGAACTTTGGGAAAGCAACAAATTTACAGTATGATGTACATTGAGAAAGATTTTGGCAGAGTTAAATACAAAATCACCAACCTTAATTCTGGCAACGAAAAATAAGGGTCACAAAAACAACATTACAAAGCCATCACTTACCTGATGTACTCTAAAAAGGTCGACATAGGCTCAGTTGCTTGGCAAAGCATATGCTTGTAGTCATCAACAAGCTTGAGCGTACACTTCTCCACAATTGTGGTGGTATGTAGAGGCGAAGGTTCTGCAGGCAATCATGAGAAAATGTAAGGATCAAAAAGCTCTTTTGCAGCCCACAATTAGAAAATCTAAGAATAAATGAACCTCTTTTTTATTTATTTTTACAATTATGAAACAGAGATTCAGATACAAGAACTAGCAATTGTGCTGATTTCAAATAAACGAACAGTTGTCTTTACAAAATCCAGAACAATTACTCTCAGATTTCAGATCCATTTGTGTATATGAATTTCACTGAAATCAAAACTACCAACCGGAATTCAATTTCACATCAGTCACTAATTCCCAGATCAAATTGGGGCACTACGATTGCCTAAAACCCAGAACCCAAATGCGATGAATCAAAGTCAAATGATCAAATTCATTATACAAACTGAGTCAAATTTTGAGACATCACGGATCAAACGTGAAAGACGCACCGTTTTGGAGGTAAGAGCCGTATTTTGTGGCAGAGAGGTGCATCTTGATGTCGTCAAGGTTTTCACACTGGCACAGATTGTTGTAATCGGCGGTGGTCAGAAGCCCAGCACGGTGGCCCCTCACGATCGCCTCCAAGTATCCGCCATGGATGTTGAACGTAAGCGCCTCGAATCCGTACATCTTTCTCTTCCGGAGAATTACAGGATATTCAGATCTCAAAGATGATCGCGGGAGATCTGAAGAAGAAATCGAAGCAGAGCCAGACAGATATCAACGAGAAGAAGATAGCTTTGAATTTGATGATATGTTTGCAACCGCTCGTACCTGGCAGAATGACTATTTTACCCTTAAAACCGGTCTACGAAATCGAAGAATGTACACTAGAAATTTGGAGACTGTTTTTTGGTTTGGTTTGTGGTCTCAGATTTACGGTTCCACTGTTTACCTACCTACCAGTTTCAGTATCACCACCTTGACAAAAGATCACTAAATTTCATTATGTATCTTTTGTGAGATTGTTTCGGTCTCTTTTAGTCACATCACACTGGTTAGTACAAACACATGAAAAAGCAAGAATCACTCCATTGTGATCATCTCTTCCTTTTGAACTCGAACAAATTTAAATGCTACAGATCGACAAAAATGTGGTGTTATAAAACATGTGACTCGAACATAAAGCAACAACTAAACAATTCCAAAGCTTTTTTTTATTACTTTTAGTGTTAACTGAAAAACGAACCAAAAGTAGTCTGAAAGTTTTGAATCTTTGTTACTGGAATGGAGCCGGAACGCCTTGGTTTTTGTTGACAATAGCCATTGCAAGATACCTCGTGCCCATTCCGATCGGCGTTTGTTCATCGGGTCCTTCCCAGAACGGTGCTTCGCCGTCCCCAACAAGCTGCCAGTATCCTGACCTTAAGGAATCAGCTTGCTCGTCGTCGCAGTTTTGTAGCAACGCATCCACTCTGAAGTTTATTCCAAGCGAACCCAAGAACTGAGACTGAGTCATAGGCCCATGGACTGAGACATTTTCTGTACAAGAACACACACGAGTTTGGATTTGGTTAAGTAAGCTCAAGTCTCTTCTATATCACAAATGACTAGCAGCGAGTGAAGAAATGAACCTGAAGCTTCCTCAGCGGAGTGTTTTAATGAAGGAAAATCAACGTAAGCACTTAGATCTGCAGATCCAGGATCATCCAGTATATTGACAAACTTGTGTTTCCTAATAGCCTAGCCATTTAGAGATAACACAATGAAGGTTAAACCCTATCCATAGATGCTTCATGAGCATGATGAGAAACATTGTTGATGCCACAAACCTGAAGACTGTCTGAAATGATTCCATTAATCCCATAATCGATTATAAGTGCTCCACCTCCATCAGAACCTATTCTCTTGGCCATTTCTTGGGTCAAATCCATTGATTTCGGGCTGATCTCGATGTGCTCGAGTTTCTCCCTTTCCTCAAGTGTAGCCCATGTGCAACGTTTCATGAGATACAAGGCTGCAGGTGTTGGCTGTGGTGATAGAACAAACCGGAACCTAAACCAATAGCGCAGAGATTAAAAAAGTGCATGACTTTCCAAATCTCACAAGCCAAATAATGTATATCCATTTTCTTTGAATTCCCTAATACTTACTGTGAACCTTCTCCCACATCAACCATTTTCTCACACCAACCACGGGAAGATTTCTGCAGAGATTGAATCTAGATAAGAATACACACATATTACACTGGAAAAAAACAGCTTCTGATTATAAGTTGATTCTACATCACTAACCTGAAACTGATGAACTGGAAGAGCATCATAAAACTCATGAGCTATGATTATTGTTGGCACTGCCGCATAAGCAAAAGAGACACCATGAGAAAAGATGCAAACATCATTGATAGTCACAATTAGAGTCTAAATTCCAAGTAAATGCAAGAAAAGATGCATACCTCCCGATGGAACCTCTTCAAGAGTAGAGTGCCAATGCACAGGCGTCCCAGCTAATGAACTTACAGCTTTCTTCTCCGAACTAGTTTCATCTGTGCATTTCAGGTTCTGGTGCTGAAGCTTCTGCAATGCAGGACTGCATTCCACCAAGTGTATATGCAATGAATCCGTGAAATTTCTAAACTTTGATGTACCCTATACGTCCAAAGTAGAGCAGTGAGATAGATTTCGCAGTTTTGTTGACAGAAATACAAATCTCAAGGATAAAGGCTTACACGAAGGAGATCGACCATGAGTGTTCCTCTCCCTGGACCTAGCTCAATGAGATTAACCCTCTCTGGCCTTCCCATTTGCTCCCAAAGACACACAGCCCAAACACCAATCATCTAATATCACAACACCGAGTAAGAACAAACGGATTCTCAAGCTCGGATATAGAACCAAACGACAAATTTCACAACTCCTAAAAAGCAAGAAATGCAAAGTAATTACCTCGCCAAACATCTGGCTAACTTCAGGAGAAGTGATGAAATCGCCTTGAGCTCCAAAGACGTCACGATTCATGTAGTATCCTGCTTTGGGATTAGTCAAGACCTCCTCCATGTACTCCGCCACTGAGATTGGGCCACCCCGAAACTGTGATGATGCATACAAAATTCATACACTTGATCAAAGCATATTTCTAGAATCATAACAAGTTTCAATTTTTCAATTATGAAGGTCAATATGAGTGAACCGAATATACCTTGATAATGCTCTTGAGGTGCTTAACGAGCTCCGAATCCGGCGAAGATTCATGAGAGTGGTCTAATATTTCAACAACCAGAAGGAAGAGTTCAGTATGACGCAGCTGGTAAGGCTAAGATCGGGGGAGCAAGCGGGTTCAGGTCATTGAGCCACCCTCGCGAGAAACACTTAAACTGAGCAAAGGTTCGAGTTTAACAACAGATAAGGAGCCATGAGTTCACTTCTATTTTATTGTTTTCAATTTCTAATTATATGAAGGAGGGGAACGCCACGCTTATGCGATATTAATTCATACTCTCTATTTGTAACCGTTAAAGAATATTTGTAACTCAAAATATATATAAAATATCGCATGTTTTCTTCTTTTTTTTTTTTTTTTTGTTCAAAATCGCATGTTTTCTTCATTGCTATTTTCGTTAGCATTGTTTGTTTTCTTTATCTTTCTAACATCGTTGGCATTGTTTATTAGAAGAAAACAAATCGATGGTATATATAGCACATATATAATATATTAGATTGAGAATTACGAGAACAAAAATGAAAGGCTAAAAAGAAAAAGACAAAAAATCTCTTGCATGCGACTAAACCGTGCGTTCTAGTCACCCAACAACTACGCATTATTTGGATATGAGTAAAGAACTACGCATTGAAAATAAGACAACAAGAATTAATCGCATGTGCTCTCGTAATCCATGAGCAACTGCTTATGGCACCATCACATGCGCAACATCACATATATCTTGTGCTTTACGCATTATTTCGCGAGTTAAACAATTTTTACTCATCCTTCTAGGATTTCCCCCAACAAAATAAATCGGAAATAGCAAAACCATCTAGATTAGATCACAAAAATCAATATCCCAATCAGGTTTTCAGGTTTTCAAAACGTTAGGTAAATGTTAATAAGAAATGAAATATTGTGACATAAGCAATGACATCAAACACATCACATGATGAGAGTTAGCACGTGTCATGTGCAAATGGTAATATCATCTTGACATCTTCACTCTCCCACTCAACGTTGGTTGGAACAAAACATATATAGTATGCAGTGACGTCATCAGAAACTATTATCCTCTTCTTTTAATTGTCGTTCAAAAAGACTATTCTCATCGACACATGAATATGACGTTGGGACGTATAAGATTTGCTCACTAATTGAGTCAATATTATATTTTTATCGCTTCACTATAAAATCAGCTTAAGCTCATATGTTTTTAATTAACTTAACAAATAGAGAAAAAAAAAAACAAGAAACCAACTCAATAATGGAAATTCTCTACCTGATTCTATCTCTCTTCTTCCTCTTATTCCTCTCTCTGAAATTCTTGTTCGGAACACGGCAGCGCAAATTAAACCTACCGCCAAGTCCAAGTCGGCCATTTCCGGTTATTGGACACCTCCACCTCCTAAAGCTGCCGCTCCACCGGAGATTTCTCTCTCTCTCCCAGTCACTAGACGGCGCTCCGATTTTCTCTCTCCGCCTCGGCACTCGTCTCGTTTTTGTTGTGTCTTCTCACTCTATCGCTGAGGAATGCTTCACCAAGAACGATGTCGTTTTAGCTAACCGGCCTGAGTTTATCGTCGGGAAACATATCGGATACAACTCCACCACCATGGCCGCTGCGGGTTATGGTGACAGCTGGCGTAATCTCCGTCGTATTGGCGCCATTGAGGTCTTCTCGTCTCTTAGGCTCAATAGCTTCTCATCCATCCGTAAAGACGAAATCCAACGGCTGATATTATGTCTTTCGAAAAACTCTAAACAAGTAAGTGATGTTATGTCTTTTAATCACAGTTTTGATTGTTTTACATCTTTAGAAAAGGATTTACATATTTTTTTTCATATAATAATTTTGCAAAAAAAAAAAAAAAAAAAATAGTGGATTTGTTTATCTTGATATATACAAAAATATTTAAGAAAATGAAGATTTGAAATTTAACCAATTTCGTTTTCATAATTGTAAATCAGGAGTTTGCGAAGGTGGAGTTGAGACCATTGTTTATGAGCTTGACTATCAACAACATCATAAGAATGGTTGCCGGAAAGAGATTTTACGGTGATGGAACAGAGAAGGACGACGAGGCAAGACACGTGAGACAGTTGATCGCGGAGGTGGTTACTAGTGGCGGCGCTGGAAATGTGGCCGACTATTCCCCAATCATTCGTTGGGTAACGAATTATGAGAAACAAGTGAAAGAATTAGCGGGTCGGGTTGACGGATTCTTGCAATCTCTAGTGAATGAGAAACGTGCGGAGAAAGTAAAGGGTAACACAATGATTGATCACTTGCTTTCCCTCCAAGAAACTCAGCCTGATTACTACACGGACGTCATCATCAAAGGAATCATACTCGTAAGTAAATGAGATATCAAAATAGTAACTATAATATAAGGTTTTATTGTAATTTATAAATGTTTTTTTTTCTTCAAATTTTGGATAGGTGATGATACTTGCCGGGACCGACACATCAGCAGGGACGTTGGAATGGGCGATGTCGAATTTGTTGAACCATCCACAAGCATTGAAAAAGGCAAAGACGGAAATCGAAGACCAAATCGGTTTAGACCGGTTAATAGAGGAGCAAGACATTGTGAAGCTTCCATATCTCCAAAACATTGTATCGGAGACTTTACGGCTTTATCCGGTGGCTCCAATGCTTCTCCCTCACTTGGCATCAGAAGATTGCACGGTGGCTGGCTATGATGTTCCACGTGGCACAGTGATATTGGTGAACGCATGGGCCATACATAGAGACTCAAACATGTGGGAAGAGTCGGAGAAGTTCAAGCCAGAGAGGTTTGAGAAAGAAGGGGAAGATAAAAAGTTGATGTCTTTTGGGATCGGACGACGATCTTGTCCTGGATCAGGGCTAGCTCAGAGGCTAGTGACGTTGGCTCTTGGGTCTTTGGTCCAATGTTACGAGTGGGAGAGAGTTGGAGAAGAATATGTGGACATGAAAGAATCTGAAAAAGGAACCACGATGCGTAGAGCTACGCCGCTGCAAGCTATGTGTAGAGCTCGTCCTATTGTCCACAAGATTTTAGATGCTTCTTCTTGTCTATAAATTTCCGTTATGTAATGTTATCATGACAACTTTATTAGGTAGAAACACTCTCATGTTGTTGCTTCTCAAGTTCTTAATTTCTTATAGTTGTACTGTGATTTGAGACGAGTTGTTTGTAAAGCTAAAATCATAAATAAGCAAAAAAAAAACAAACAATATAATGAAGTCAAGAAGCGCGTGATTTGATTGTAACTCCATGAAACTAAAAGTAGGGTGTTGCATGTCATAATCCATAGCTAAAAATTGTAGAGATGGCTACAGTTGATGAAACACACGAGCTAAAAGATTACTAGAGAATCATCGGGTATCAGAGTTTAGTTGCTGTCGGAATCGTTTCCCGAGTCGATGTTCATCGGCTGCTGAGGGTTCTTGTAATTGCTAATCTCATCCTTGTATCGCTTCTTGTCCACTTGTGCCTTAGCTTCATACGGCTCTTTTTCCTCGGCTATGGTTTACAACAAAAACACACACTATTAGGATCACAAAGACGCATCACACTATAAGCTAAGAGCAAAAAAGGCCTTTTGTAGGGAAGATTTAAAGTCTTACCAGACAGCTCACGCCACTGTTCTCCAAGAACCTTCGCCACGTCTCCAAATGCTATTCCTGGGTGAGTCTTCTTTACGTTCTGTTTCGGTTCACAAGATAGAAAATGATTCAATCCTGTTTTCTCTAAAGCCTCTACGTCTAAGGTCCTAGAGTTAAAAAGTGAGAGAAGAACTCACATCTCTTTCCATTTGGGAGAAGAACATGAAACCAGTCATTGCTCCTTTTGGTGCATTCGGATCCTTCTTCTTTTTCTGCTTCTTTTTCTTACTACTGCCTTCTTCTGTCGCTACGGGTTTCCTCTTAGGAGGCAATCCCTTGGAAGACGACGGAGCCTCCTTCTTTGTTTCCTTTTTGACGGATTTCTGAAACGGGTCAATGACAGGAATTCAATCAGATACGTTAAACATACGGAAATTTGTTGGTGAAGGATGTGAAACAGTTGTTACCTCTTTCTCTTCGTCGCTGCCTTGACTAGCATCAGAGTCGTCCTCGCCAGAATCATCAGTTGGTGAACCACCATCGTCATCGTCTTCTCCACCCACAAAGTCCTCGTCCTTCATATATTAAAAAAGTATTCATTGTCAAAAAAACGTGATCATCAGAACACCAAGTGATTAAATCAGACATAAAGTACACTTGCCTCCTCGTCACTCTCAGCAGCTTCTTGGTTTCTGATACGCTCAAGATGAGGGTCAACGGCATCGTCATCATCATTATCCCCAAGAACAGCAGTAACACCTTTTGCGGCTCCCGAACCTCCAAGGTTCATAATCTTCAAACCCTTGGAGCTGCAGGAGAAGATAATGTTTATTCACCACCAACTACACTTAAATGCACTAACATTGACGCTAAAACAACCCGTGCTAACCTTATGAAGGTATAGAGATTGTGATACTCATTCCTCTGAATGTTTCGGAACAGATGTTCATGATCAGTTTTGAGTCTTATGAGAAGATCGAAGTAATGCATGTTAGCACCACCAGAAGAATGCCTTTCAAACTCCACATATTCAATCTAAAAAATGAAAAAACAAAAACGGGTCAAACAAAACCAACTCTATCTCAAAGCCTAACAAAAAGTAAACAATCCTCGATAACAACAGAATACCTCATCATGAAGTATAAGCGTTGGAGGTTTAGGTAAAAAGAAGAAGCCTTTCTCAAGTGGATAAAGAACACCATCTTCCGCCTTAAGAGATGATTTCACTGCAAACCCATCTTGGGAACTGCGGAATTTCCCTGGTTTAGTGATCTTTGCACCAGACAGCCAACGCATCACTGTGGTGAATACTTCATGAATGAGTCCCTGAAAATTCATAGCGATATCTCGTTAACAATCTGTGTACGTAGAAATTTCTTATTGAGGAATGATAACATAAGGCGCAGACTAGACAAAAGACCTTATATGATCGCTCCAACTTGTCCTTGAACCTTGTATTCATAAGATCTTCACTAATTGAGAGTTCACTTTCGACCACGGAGTCGGTCTCAAACTAGAGAAGGTTGGTAAGACAGATACGGAAAATCAGAGATTAAAATGATGAATTAAAACACTTGCAAATAGAAAACTGAAATGAAAGGAAAATAAAAGTAGCGTTTACCTGCATCACAATATGGGGATACAATGTCTGGCCTTTCCGGATTGGTGGGTCTAGAGAGATAACAACAAACGTATGTGGCTGGCTGGACTGTTCAAGGACAAAAAAGATAACAAGAGTTCAATAAAAAGAATATGATAATTACGCTAATCTGATGACTAGCCTGAGATATGATTAAAAAGAAGTACCTTTGGAAGCAAAAACAAGCGGACAACGCTACTGTATTGGATTTTAAAGTCGTTAGCTAGTCCGACCAAACGTAAGAAAGAAAGATGAAGCTCCACAGTGTACCGACCCCTGTGGAAAAAAAGCACCAGTCATGTAAGTTATGAGATGATGCAGCTATACAACAAATGATAAAGTGATCAACTAATACTCTAAGAAGCAATATTTACCTGGGCGTGAGGACTGCGATACCCTCGAATGTGACTACCGCCTCTGCAACTCCAGGATCAACATCAGCCCGATCTATGATTGCCTGACGTAAAACCTGAGATATGCTCTTGGCATCAATAAATAGAGAATACCTGAGACACACACCCGTATAGTTAAAAAGGTTGGGAAACTTACTTGAGCAGGCGGACAATTCTCATCACCAACAAACTGGGTGTTGCAAGTAGGAACATGAAAACTTATCTCCATCAGCGAGTCTTTCTGTAAATACGTATATTATAATCAGGAAGCCACCGTTACACATATATATATAGCATGGAGATGACATGTCTAAAGAAACCAGGAAGAAGTAGAAATGAGTACCTCATTGGCACCAGCAGTATCATCAACATGAAACTCCAAAACGACGTCATTTTTCCCCTGAAGCTGAGTCTGAGAAACATCAGCTAGAGATACTTCAAAAGCTTGCTTTGTAGCAACCGAGAAGGTTAGTATATTCCCTGCACAAAGAATCGGAGACAGCAAGAGAGTTTTCACTTCAGAACCACATACGGACTATGCAGAGATTCTTTCCGACTAAAAGTCCTTCTACCACTAAAAACAGTTTTCATAAGGAGATGAAAACTTACCATTCAAATCCACCTCTCCCCAATTGCGACCAGTGACAGATAAGTGTCTCTCCTCAGGTTCTTTATCAAAATTACTTTTGAAAAAGCTGGTCAGACTTGGAACATCCTATTAACCAAAAACAAAGCATGTATGTATGAATATAAGCTCCAAATACACAACGAATACGAAATTAATCGAAACACAAGGAAGAAGATATGCGCAAACCTGATCCCGAAATCCAATGAACTTATAGTATAACCCATCTGTAGTTTTTACTCCAAGCTGATTTGTCCTCGGAACCTTCATCCAAATGAGATCTACAATATGAGATTTCTCGACTTCAACAGCTTTTCCACCACCTTGCTTCTTCCATTGAATGCCTCCAGAGTTAATTTTAAGGAGGCCAGGGTTCTGCAGTACCAAATTGAAACCCAATTAAGCACAACATCAGCCCTAAACAACTACAGGCATTTAGAAACTGAATAGTATAAAGGGATCAAACCTATGATTCATGGAACAATACATGAGCTAGGTATAAAAAAAATGCAGGGGAGATGCAAGATCAGCGACGAGATGTAACCCTTTTTGAAATTACAAGGTCGAAATTATGAAGCTCGAGATTTCGAAGAACAATTGTAAACAAGAAAAATAACAAACGCAACACTCATTTTTCCCCGAGAATCACATATTCGTCCGAATAATCAACCGGCGGAAACAAAAACGGCCACAGGGATAAGAAATTAGGGTTTCGAAGCGAACGGAAAAGGCGAAATCCTAAAAGCTAATTGAAGTGAAAGATTCTAAAAAAACCGGCGTAATTAGAGAGATAGGGAGAGGAATCGCACCGTTCCTCCGCGACCGCTGAGAGAGATGTTATTGAAGGTATGGCCTTCCGTCATGGCTCCGATGAGAGACGGGAGAGACGAAGCGAGAGCGAAAGAAGAGGAATTTGAGACTGTGTGTCTGTGTTTTTTCTTTCACACAATGATAAATAAAATTACTTTAGGCGGTGACGCGGTGTGGGGCGGTTTTTTATTTATATAAAAAACAAGAAAAAAATCAAANTTGCTAGTTTGATTCTCTTCTTGTGTCTCTACCTTGGCTGGGATTTGAACCAAATTTAACTTGGAACATAGTTACAAAGACATGGCCGGCAAAATGTTTGGTTTGTAAATTCTACGTAAGGGATTTGCGAGTAATATTCATCGGCCTCTCGAATAATGTATAGCTTTTTCTTGTTGGCCTCAGAACCTACATCACAAGATTCACAGCACAAGGCCGTTTTCTTCTCCTCGTCGTATAAAAAGCTCCTGAAAAACGGAAAAGAATTACGGAGAGTGTGATCAAGATCCACTTTAAAGGATTTGCTCCACGACAATGCGGCTTCTCTTTCAATTCTATCAGTCACCCATATTGTCATTTGTCTCGTACCAAAGTCCAAATGTAACACTGCTAGTTTTTCATCTCTAACAGCTGATAAAGCCGTATGATCACTCTTTGGAAATAGTGGAAGAAGCGGACGCTTAAACCTCTATGTGGTAAAATCAAAACAGAGTAAGACTTTGTGCAATTGGTTTCTATCTCTACCAAGCCGGTAAGTATTTCCTTTCAAAGACGCAACACACTCTAGCCGTGGTTCTAAGTCGCATTCGAAAGAGACGTCATCAAGAACCCTCCATGAATCTGAGCTTAAATCATATATTTCAAATTCATAAACTCGGTTGTTATTATTCCACTTGGACCAAAACCTGGCTCAGTTGGACTGAAAGGGTACCGGAAGGAAGAATGACAGCTAAACAACTTTGAGTTAACTGTTGCTTTTCCTTTCAATGATATCCCTTTCTTTAGCTATCCCTTCTTAGCTATGGGGGATTCCATTTGTGGAAAGCCCATACCCAGATATGTATATTCACCGGACTTAGACATTCTAAAAAAAGATATTAATTGATATCGGTAGTTGTCCGGTCCTGAAGTAGCATCCCGCCGATCTTTCGAATAAACAAGACAAGGGAATCGTTCCTCTCTAAATCAAAATTGGCTAGAATGTTAATCTTATAGCTACGGCAAGGTTTGTTGTTGTCGTATCCTATACCAAACCGAGAGAACATCTTGAAACCAGATTTGGGTTTGATCCACCTGGCTTCCCCCAAACACGGATTCCAGACCACGGCTATATTGTTCATGGTGTTGGTGATGCATAACAACAAACCGTCGCAGTGAAAAACTTCATAAATACGGCCGTCATATTCTCAACTAGAATGGTAATCTATTGAGATATGGGCCAGAAAAGCCTTAATCTCTAGAGAGTGTGCAAATAAAGTCCCACATCGGAAGTGGGAAGGGACTGAGGCCACTTCACCTATTGCCAATTGGTTTTAGGTTAGATGCCAAGGAAACTTAACATGGTATCAGAGCAATGATCCCCACACTCTCATGACCCGGCCCAGAAAGGGCCCGACCCCCCGACCCTAGGATTGATGGTCTGCGAGATTAATGGCTAGAAGGGCCATTATCTCGAGGGAGGGTATTGGGATATTGTAGAGGTTAATGGGCCATGAGGCCTTAATCTCTAGAGAGTGTGTAAGATAAAGTCCCACATCGGAAAGTGGGAGGGACCTTGAATAATATATAAGGGACTGAGGCCACTCCACCTATTGCCAATTGGTTTTAGGTTGGATGCCAAGGAAACTTAACAACATGAGAACGCGAGATTTCTTTGGAGCTTTACGAAAGTGCTTCTGAGTGAATCATGGCTCTTTGAATAAAGTAGAGTTCCAGTACTGTTTGCAAGTAGACCGTAATCGTTTCAAAGATATGGCCGGAACTCTAAAGAGTATTTCTTCTAATAGATCCGAAGGAAGATCGGACAGCATCATTGGTTTTCTGTGTTTTCCCTAGGAAGAAGAAAGCGACTCGAGCTCTATAAGTAGAATTAGGGTTTTAATTAAATACATACTTAAATTTCTGAAATTTGTAAAATACACTTTTTAAGTTTGCATGAACCAATCCGGTCTTGTATAGACGAGTAAGAAACGCTTTTCCCCTCCAAACTACTCTTTCCCTTTTCCCATGATTACAGTTGTACACTTGTACTTACTATTTTTTCTTTTCCAAATTATTTATTGTAACCAAGGAATAATGAATTCCTTTTGATTCCTCAAAATAGGCTTGGGCGTTCGAGTTTCGGTTCGGGTTCGATTGGTTCGGGTCTTTTCGGGTTGCTAAATTTTAGACCCATTCGGGTATAGGGAAATTTCGGTTTGGTTTCGGTTCGGTTCTTGTCGGGTTCGGGGCTAAATTTTATGGACCCGTTTGGGTTTATACAAATTTTGGTTCTTATTCGGGTTTCATTCGGTTCTGACTCGGGTTGGTTTTTTATTTGTTTTTATAACCCGAATATCCAAAATCCTACAAAATAACCAAAAAACTTGTCTTTACTCCATCTTCTACTAAATGTTTTTAGACGTTTCGAATATTTTGGTTATTTTGTTCTAAATATAACTATTATATTAGATTTTAATTGTAATTTTAGTTATTTTTTATTATTATAAACCTAAAAAATAACTAATATTTTGGATATATAATTATATTTTGGATATTTCGGGTATTCATTCGGTTCTCGGTTCGGTTCGAGTTCGGGTTCGGGTTTTCGGGTATAAAATTTTTGGACCCATCGGGTATCCGTCTTGGTTCCGGTTCGGTTCGGTTTCATCTTTTTCGGGTCGGGTTCGGTTCGGGTTTTTCGGGTTCGGGTAAAATGCCTAGGCCTACCTCAAAACATTACACCATTTCCTCAAAATTATTTTATTGTTGTTTTATTTCAGTTTCTAGATCTCTGATTTAAACGGATGTGACAGAGAGGTGGGTGTGAGTCCATATGTTGTTACTGTAAGAACGCAATTTTTACAATGGGCGACTGATTAATGTAAAATATAAATATGCACAAAATAATATATCACAATATTAAAATGATACAAAAAACGTAACCCAAAGCCATTAACCCTAACCCAAACACTGAAACAGATCCCCAAGGGAACGGAGGATCTTGGAAACAGATGAGACTCGCTTCCACTTCTTGCGACGCGAGGTACACCACCGAATGCATAGAGTACAAATCATGCGAGGCTGATCTCAGGTAGAACAAAGCCATCTCGAAATCATTATGCGACAGCGCAGAAACCGATTTCTCAATCTTGTACTTCAAAAGATTCCACCTCTGCATGAACTCCGAGTGCCGGTTCTGTTTCAGAAGGTTCACGTCTCCTCCATAAGCCACCGCGGAATCGATAATATCCACCGCACTAGCTATAGTCGTGTTCAAAGATGTCAACAGAACGTTTCTCTTCGCAGCGTCTCTCTGAACAAACGACAGAGAGGAGATATCAGAGAAAGGTCCAAACGGCGTCTGACCAACGCTCCATGTGTAGTCCACTAGCGTCGCGTTATGCCTCGGGCTCCATGTCAAATGCGTCGACGACACGCCCCACATGCTCTGGAGAATGGAACCGACGAGAGGTCGCTCTAAATCTCTCGTATGAACAAACACATGACGCCCGTTGCAGGTATAGTCACTCACGGTCTGTGTTCCTCTGGTTCTAACAGCAATGACCATATCTCTGAAAGCAACAGACTGGTGATACCTATCGATCAACAACGGCGTGTTGATATCAAGATCAAACACATAAACAGGTAAGACCCTAGCAAAGTCGTCTTCTTCGTGTATCCCTGCAGCTCTTCTCAGCTCCTCTGCTGATTCAGTCAACGTCCTGTGCATATGCTTGGAATCCAAATACTCACTCACAATCAATGTGTAGTTGTCAAACAAGAACCTAGACGTGTACGAGTTCATGCCACGAGATACAGCGAAAGAACAAATCGGGCACTCTCTGTAATTCACACTGAAACTTTTGAAGCTCAATTTCTGCTCTCCTAACAACAATCCACCATTGTTGGCTTCTTCCATGAACGTTCTCTTGACAAATTCGAAATCTAAACCGTTCGGATCCTTAGTCTCCGATCCGTGAATGTGAATCAGCTGAACTACCAACGAATCCTCAAAGTAGACTGGGACTCTCAGAGAAGGAACGATCAATACCTGATACGCATTGTACACGAGCGAGGCTAAATCCGCAAGCAAAGCTTTCTCCGATTTGGGACGGCCGTGGAAGGCTGCGAGCGGGTGGAAATCGCCTCTCGGTAAAACCCCGTCGCCGGATAACGCAGGGCCGTAATCCACAGGTCCGGCGGAGAGATCGATCCAGAGGTAACGCTCCTTCCCGGTCCAGATACTTCCCAGGCATTTCGTGAATCCGGCGGAGGAGTCGCCGTGGGAGTAGCTATATGCGTAAGGTTTTGACTGAGGGCCTAGCGAGATCAAGTAGATGTAGACGCCGCCGTCTCCATGCTTCTCTTTCTCGTACTCTTGTTTTATTATCTCGTCGATCGAATTGTAGGGGACGGAGAGGAGCTGAGATCGGAGGGAAGAGGTTGAGCCGGCGATTAAGGATTTCAGGGACGTGTCGAGGCGTGAGGAGAGGGAAGGGGGAGAGAGGGAAGCGTCGAGGTGGAGAGAGTGAGAGACGGCGAGGCGGTGATCGGTGGAGGAATCGGGAGGAGGAGAGATCACGTGAAAGTTGTCTCCAGTCACGGCGGCTGATATGAAGGAGGAGAAAGTGGTGGCGGCTGAGGAAGGGAACGAATCGCCGACGAAGCGGACGTGGAGGGAGACGGAGACGGAGAGAGACAGTAGTGACTGAGAGAGAGAGGAGAAGTGGTGAGAAGATGAAGCTGAAGAGAGAGACCGCTTGAGAGAGGAGGAGAGAGATCCGAAAGAGTCGTTCGAAGCTTTTGGGTCGAGACGGAATTGGTTGGTCAAGAAGGTGTCCAGTCCCGGAATCGG